TACTCCTTATAAAATTAGTTATTGATGTACTAAAATATCCTGAATGACTAAATTTTTAATGCTAATTTTGTTTTTAATTCCATTTTTCCCCTGACGGGTCAAGAAAAGACAAGAATTGAAGGACATTCTTAGGAGCGATGGTTTTTGTCTCAGGATAGAGTGTAAACTTTCCAAAGGAGATATTTCGTTTCTTTTATACCATGTGGCAAACAAGCATACGGCCCATCTGATGGTAAACAGTTACCGCAGCCTGTGGACGCTTGAAACACCAGGGGTGTCACTTACGCGTTGCCGACCCTTAAGAATGGGTTTTATGCATGAGTGGGCTACAACCACATAGGATGTGTAGTGGCGTTTCCTCTTCAGTTTGGCAGAATCTGCTGATTTTTTTTGTGCTCAGGTCTAGGTTTGCTGTACTTACAAACTTTCTCGTTTATAATATTATTATGAAATATGATACCACACTTTTAACCTCCCAGTAAAATATTGGCATATTAAAATGAAAGTAAACAATATACTGTATTAGTACAAAGTACCCAATTCTGAGTACATTCATTATTCAATAGGCTCGGGGAGGAGCGATTTGGCCAGCGCTAGTTCCGTTGGAAGTTTGGAACATTGTGGATACGCAACCGCTCTGTCCGTGTGATTATATAAAAACAAGTTGTTAACAGAAATATTAATTCAAATAAATCTATATATATATATATATATATATATAACTCAAAGGTGACTGACATAGTGATCTATCAACGCACAGCCCAAACCTAGGAAGTTGCCTGAAATAAATGAATAAATAAAATAAATCAAACAATCTAGACACGCGGTAGCGTGTCAAGCCGAGTTTCAAGTAACTGGCTAGCAGCACCATGTGTATACATTTGCAGCCACACGAACCATTTGGAGCCACTTTTGACCCCCTCATAACTCAAAATCTCTTTCTCATAATCCCATCAAAAACCTGTGAAATTTGGTTTATATATGATATATGCCTTGATTGTTGACTTGACAAAACAGAGATAAATATGTGTTCCAAATTTCATAAACATATCTCAAACGGTTGTTTAGATATTAACGTCCAAATATCGTCATTTTTATCACTGATCAACTATTGATCAAAATTATAACCCACTTCCAGATGACCTAGGAAGTTCAAATTTGGCATGCAGATAGGTAATTAGGTAAATATAAGGGAAAAAATCTGAAACTGGTAGAATTGTTATCATTTTATATATATATAAATTTTATATATACATATATTGATTCTATTTCAACTTATATTGGACGAATACTAAAATTGCGTATGAAAACGTCGATAGCTCAAACAATGAACAGATAATGATCCTAAGTCAAAATAGCTCATCTTGTACTGGACGGACACTGTAGATATTGATGGTGAAAACGTCGATAATATAAAAATGGGCGTAACAATATTGATCCATCATATAAATGACCTTCCCTACATGGCTACCAGAGATCATATTGTACTGGACGGAAAGTAATATTGTATGTAAAATGTCGATCTTTATCATTATTTACGTTAACCCCTTCACATCAATGTGTGGATAACTAGCAATTTTGTTAATGATACAGTTTTTTTAGGAATAACAGTTTACTTCAAATATTGCATTGAGCGGTAAACACAAGTTGCATTCATAATTTAGATTCTGTATAAAATATACTCCGTACTTATAACTTGATACGACACGACTTGTATATTCGTTATTTCCAATTATCATATACATACTGCTATGAAAACATACGAAAAATACTATATTTATCAAAAAGAGCCATAATTTATGGTATGAGTTCTAGATTTACGTCAATGCTTTAAACAATCAAATATCCTCGTTGCCTCATAATTTATGAAAATATTATGTAAAAGTAATGATATCCCATCAAAAACATAAATGTGAAATGAAACTTACGAGTAAAAATAATAATTTTGATATATGCCTTACACAAAGTTAGAATTCATTTTATGACAAAAGAGATAATAAATGCCAGAGTCTACCAAGTTCAGAGAGGTATTCAAATCTTATATTAAACAATATAAAATATCAAAAAGCTTCTTATAAGATAGATAATTTATAGATGATAGCAATATATAGCAAGAATAAGTTTATTTGCGGACAACGTTATAATTAATTTTCATAATATATGATAGCGTAGTTTAGTGCGATTGCCTACCTTCTCTCTTTAAAGTGTAAATACTCTCTGTAGTAATTTTTGTACCGTGACGTTGTCTGTGGAATGAGATCATGCTCATAAAATGTCCAGACAAGTGGCCGCCTTTTGTAAAACATTTATTTTCATTGTTTTGTCATCCGTCATACTGTGAACTATGTTTATGTATGGACTGGTCTGCTCTTAACTACGACTGATTTAATTTATTGTATTTATATTTGACAAAAATTAGTGCTTGTTGGTAGTTTGTATTCACACGTTTCGACTTGTAAAGGTAAACTTACAAGGATTATTTAAAAGGCAGACACACAAGTCTTGCTCGTTCTTCTTGTGATGAGACAGCTTTCCGAACGAGAGATAAAAAACAAATTGTTATGACTATTCAAAAGTGCTTAATTATTATTAAAAATATTTTCTATTTTTATTCTCTATTATTTTTATTTCTATTGAGCACCTTTGAGTTATATATATTTAGAATATGTCATCATCATCATCATCTGCTTCTTCCTTATCCCATTTATTTGTGGTCGGCGTAATATGTTTTTCGCTTCCATTCATCCCTGTTCGCAGTCATCGCGTTATTTACTACCTTTCTTACCATATCATCTTTCACACCGTCCATTTATCTCTTTTTCGGTCTTCGTCTGCCCTTATAACCATCCACATTCATTTGTAACATCTTTCTTAAAATATTATCCTCGTTCCTACGCATTACATGTCCATACCATGATAGACGATTACTCTTCAACCTCTCTGACACCGGCGCCACTTTCATACTTCCTCTAATGTATTCATTCTTTATCTTATCCATTCTTGTCACACCACACATCCACCTCAACATTCTCATTTCAGTTGCATGCAGTCGTCTTTCATCCGTCGCCTTTACGGGGCAGCATATGTCTTGAAGATTATTATAAATAATACAAGCATATCCACACTGTCCTACCGTGGCAGGATTCTTCAACTATTAATATTTAATCACGGAGTATCGCGTGCGAAACGTTGTCTTTTATGACTTTTCGACTGTTTCTCTGTTTTATTATTCGGCTAATCTTCTCACCCGGACTCGGCCGCCCTCTGTGGAACATTTAAAAACGGTATAACATTATAACCGACATAAAAAAGTTTTATTTCTCTTTGGAATATTGTAGTAAACTTAATTATATACATACAAAGGTGTGACAGCCTCAATGGTCTGGTCGCGGGTTCGATTCCTCGCACGGTAACATTTATATTCATAAGTATGATTATTTGTATCGGTCTAGGTGTTTTCTATATATAATATGTGTATATTTACAAAACAAAATGGATGCATATATTTATATGAGTCGTCTAGTACCCATAACACAAGCTCTGCTTAGCTTGGGTCTAGATGTCGCTGTCGGAATTGTTCAGGGTTATTTATTTATTTATTGAAGTTTATTTGAATAAAGATTATTTCTTCTTTTTCGTGTTTAAAAGAACGTGTTTAAAAAAAAGTGAGATATAAGAATAATCTCATTATTATTATCTTATATATAAAATTCTCGTGTCACAGTTTTCGTTCCCATACTCCTCCGAAACGGCTTGACCGATTCTCATGAAATTTTGTGAGCGTATTGAGTAGGTCTGAGAATCGGCCAACATCTATTTTTCATCCCCCTATATGTTAGGGGTAGTCCACCCCTAATTTTTTTCTTATTTTAAGGCAAAACAACGTTTGCCGGACAGCTAGTTATTTTATATATGTATATCACTTTTTACGAGGGTAATACTTTCAAGGGTATATTAAGGTTTCTTAAGGGTCGGCAACACGCAAGTGATACCCCTGGTGTTTCAGGCGTTCATAGGCTACGGTAACCATTTACCATCAGATGGGCCGTATGCTTGATTGCCACCATAGTAGTATAAAAAAAAAATACAAAATTTTCTTACAATACGGCATGGGTTGAGAATTACGACTTTTTGTTATTATTCTTATTAGAAAAGTGGACTTATCTCTAAAATAACTCTATTAGTTAACCTATTATGAGTATATCAGTGGGTAACACTAGTGCGACTAACAAAACTTGAATGTATTCTTGCCTCGCCTCGCCTTCGGAAGGCAAGGAGACACTCCATCAAAATATAATGCAATTCTTCTAGCCCACAAACTTCACAATTAGGGGAAAGTAAGAATTTGTTGAAATTTTTATGTTTATCTCATATATAAAATTATCGTGTCACATCTGTGTGTTAGTTACCATACTCCTCCGAAGCTTGACCGATTTTTATGAAATATTTGCATATTCAGTATGTCTGTGAAACGGCTACTATCGATTTTTCATACCCCTAAGTGATAAGGGTTGTCCACCCCTAACATTATTTTTTATTTGTTGGGCAATTTATTTTTATTTATATTTTTTATTATGTGTCATTAAAAAATACATACAACCCTAAATTTTCACCCTTCTATCACAAACCCCTAATTTTTATAGCGTTATTAATTTTATAAAAATTATATAAAGTAGGACGCCAAGTTATATCTATATTTATATAGATATAACTTGACGTTCATAAGCGGCTAAAATGTCCTACATGAATAAATGATAATTTAGTCATGTAGGACATTTTAATTATATTTAAACATTTAAATAAAATTAAAATTAAAATTAAATGGACATTTAATTTAAAAATTAGAACAGTATATGAATAAATGATTATTGAATTTTGAATTTTGAATTTGATGGCAAAATAAGGTTTGTTACCTAGTTATAAGTAAAGATTATTGTTATTGTTTTTATAGTGTCAACGAGCTGTATGTGGATAAATCAGAATTTCTTATATTCCACCAGGGATCTGAGCCGCAATGAGCTCACTGCGATCAGCCGGCGCACCTTCCGAGGACTGACGGCCCTCAAGAGCTTACACCTGGATGGCAACCAGCTGAAGTGTGTTGATGAGAAGGCGCTGGAGCATCTCAAGAGTCTGGAAGTGTTGTGAGTTTAATAAATAAAATTAATAATAATAATGTTTTTTACGTATTATCTTTATTTTTTTTTTATTCATATTATTATTTTTACACATTATTCATAATACATCTATACATATAAATGAAATTGGAGTGTCTGTTTGTAATATTGAAATAACCGTTTTTTACTATATGCATATGAATATAAAACGGTGCATACACCAAAATATTTTTTTTTTACAATTTTGTCTGTTTGTTTATTTATTCCGGCTTATCTCTGAAATGGCTGGACCGATTTTGACAGAACTCTTTTTGGCAGGTAGCTAATGTAATAAGAAGTAACTTAGGCTACTTTTAGAAAAATAAAGTAAAATTCCACGCGGACGAAGCTGCGGTTACAGCTAGTAATAAATAAAATTTTATTTTTTTCTAATTTTAATTTAAAAATGATTCTGTATTGTGTAATCATGTATAAGCTCATTTGAAAAGAATACGAGCTGAGTTTCTTGTCAGTTCTCAGCTCGAGAGCACTCCGAACTGATGGTAGATTTGACATATCATTAGAGTCTGTAATATACCTACATGAATAAAGATATTTTGATTTGATTTAATAATTTGTGACCATTCAATATTGTCATTCCAGGACGCTAAGTCGAACTGACAAAAAACTCCGCTCAAATTTCTTGTCAGTTCGTAGCTCGAAAGCAATCCGAACTGACGGTAGATTTGATATATCATACAAGTCTGTAATATACCTACATGAATAAAGATATTTTGATTTGATTTGATAATTTGTAATCAATTAATATTGTAATTCCAGGACGCTAACGAGCAATAACCTGACATATCTGTCATTGGAGCCTGTAGCAGTAACAAGATTGCATACCCTACGACTGACTGACAATCCTATAGTCTGTGACTGTAGAGTTGCCAGATTAGCGACTGCCGTCCGAGCTGCTAACTTAATGGGAGTCGGTGCTAAGTGAGTATCATCGACTTACAATTGACTAGGGTTGTCAAAATTGCATACTCTACGACTGACTGACAATCCTATAGTTTGTGACTGTAGAGTTGCCAGATTAGCGACTGCCGTCCGAGCTGCTAACTTAATGGGAGTCGGTGCTAAGTGAGTATCATCGACTTACAATTGACTAGGGTTGTCAAAATTGCATACTACGACTGACTGACAGTCGTATAGTTTGTGACTGTAGGGTTGACTGATTAGCGACTGCCGTCCGAGCTGCTAACTTAATGGGAGTCGGGGCTAAGTGAGTATCATCGACTTACAATTGACTAGGGATGTCAAAATTTGCATACTCTGCGACTGACTGACAATCCTATAGTTTGTGACTGTAGGGTTGCCAGACTAGCGACTGCCGTCCGAGCTGCTAACTTAATGGGACTCGGGGCTAAGTGAGTGTCATTTGACGGCCTCGGTAGTCTAGCGGTTTAACACACTTCCACTTCCGCCTTACATCCAATGATCGCGGGTTCGATTCCTCGCACAGTACAAAAATTTGTATTCATGAGTATGTTTGTATCGGTCTGGGTGTCATTTCTACGGCCTCGGTATATATATATTACAAAAAAATATCCGTTACATTTATATCAGGGTTCGATTCCTCGCACAGTACAAAAATTTGTATTCATGAGTATGTTTGTATCGGTCTGGGTGTTTTCTATGTATAATATATATATATTTACAAAAAAATATCGTAAGTATTTATATCAGTTGTCTAGTACCCATATCACAAGTTCTGCTTACCGTGGGATTAGATGACGCTGTGTTAATTGTCCAGGGTTATTTATTTATTTATATCAGTTGTCTAGTACCCATAACACAAGCTCTGCTTACCGTGGGACTAGATGGCGCTGTGTTAATTGTCCAGGATTCTTTATACTATGTAATGAAGAATCATTCTATCAACAAAAACCATGGGAGGAGTACCGTGACATACAAATGGACGGAAAAATATAATTTTTATATTACTTCAGATGCCAGGCGCCTGCCACTTTGAGAGGAGCACTTCTAACGGAGTTGGATCACGAACAGTTCTGCAACGGTGAGTACAAACTCTTAAAAATATATATTTTCCTTAATTACGCTACCATTCACTAAATGTCGTTTAACTAAAGTTAGTAATTCGTTTTATGGTAATTGCGTAAGGTTTAACAACAAATCCGACTCTGTTATAAATGTGCCTGAAAAAAATTAAATGTACAAAACACTTCCTTTATAACTATCAGATGGCAATTGTAAGTAGCTTTGACGTGGTCTAGTGTTATGAGTAGTCATGCTCACTAAAATGTCCAGACTTGTGGCGGCGTGGTGGGCCGGGTCATTGGGCTCCCTAAAATATGGTCGAGCGCAGTGATGGCTGGCTCATCCGTCATACTCCTAAACGAGTGCTGCTTGTAGGGACTGGTCTGCTCTAATCACTATGACTGATTTCCTCTTATTAATTGTTTAACCAGTGTGTTTGGTTATATATTCAATATTTTTTCTATTTGAGTATTTAATTGAATTAGTGCTAATTGGTAGTTTGTATTCACACACTTAAACTTAAAAATGTAAAGTAATAATAAAATTATTTAAAAGAGCAACACGCAAGTTTCTTGCTCGTTTTTCTTGTGATGAAGACAGCTTTCCGAACGAGCGGTAGATTAAAACAAATGTTATGACTATTCAAAAGTGCTTCAATGTACGTTTATTTGAATAAATGGTTTTCTATTCTATTCTATTTCTTTGTAAAAAAGCATATTATAATATTGAAGAAGAGTTTGTTAACGATAATAATGTTTTTGTAGAAATACTTAAAATTTATAGCGCTGACAATAAATGGTGGTAAATGGTTACCGTAGCCTATGGACGCCTGAAGCACCAGGGGTGTCACGTGCGCGTTGCCGACCCTTAAGAAACCTTAATATACTCTTCTTGAAAAACCCCATGCTGTAGTCTCCAGGGCTCGGTAGTAAGTTTATTAGAGTAAAGAAATAGAAATAATCTTTATTCAAATAAACTTAATATAAGCACATTTGAATAGTCAAGTTTTTTTGTTCCACCGCTCATTCGGAATGCAGATGCAAGTGTGTTGCTCTTTTAAATAAATATTGATTTACTTATATTTAATTAACAACAAGGATTAGGCATGCGACAATGAACATAGAAACCGCTACGCACTTAATCTCTGTTCAATCAGATAACATTGTCAGCGCTATGAATTTTAAGTTCTATAGGATTTTCTATTCTATTCTATTCTATTTCAGGCCCGACCACTGCCATAACTGGTGAATGTTCAGCGGAGCCCCGCTGCCCACCGCCATGCCGTTGTACTCCCGAAGGCACCGTCGACTGCAGAGAGAAACTATTGTCCGAGCTACCATCCGCCATACCACATCGAGCTACTGAGATGTAAGTTTTAGAATATCGAATATACTTTATTTGCAACATACAGTAACGCACACACAAACACATGTATCGTTACAATATTTTTTTTTTTTTTATTTATTTATTTAATTCAGGCTACATGGCCCATATTATAAATACCTTATAGACTAACATACATAAGAAATAATAATAAAATATGTAAATAAAATTGTCTCTATGGTCACGGCACTGACGACGGCAATCTGCCACGGTAGCGCCGATAGACCACCCCCGTCGGCCAGTAGTCCTCCTTCATGAAGGTGGGCAGCATGTTGGTGGGGACCAGGGCCACGAACGCTTTGAAGCTCGCGTTGTGGCTCGATTCCAACTGCGTCACCCTCAATGTCAGGTTGCTTTTAGTCCAGATGTAGTCAACAATGTCCTGTTCCTTGGTAGCGTAGTGTAGGCGGGATAGGTACATTGCCGTGGTCGGTGTTGCGGCACGTAACAAGAAGTTGGGCCCTGTCAGTGCTGTGCCACAATGGTTTCGATTGACCCTCTTTGTGCGCCTCTTCTTTTGTACCGTGACAAAACCATCATCGTCACGGTCAGCAGACTTTGTACACATAGGGGTAATTTTCAGAGTCACTTTAGGCTCATTCCGCTGAGCAGTTGGTTTTTCAGCGGCGACGGTGGCAAAATCTTGGCGCTTTGATAGCGCCGCGGACTTTGCTGGTGCTGCTTCCATGCAATATGCCGGCCTTATTGCTAAAAGCAATCTTTTCAAGGCAACCTTAGGGAAACTGATTGAAACATCGAACAGGTGGGTAAAATGACAGGAACAGGAGAAAACTAAAAAGTAACAAAATATATAATGATGATGAAGAAAAATAATAATAAATATTACATGAATTAAAATTTATGTACATAATAATCATGTATTACACTAGATACACTTACAAAAACTACATACATAATTTTAAAATTAAATAGAATAAACTAAATATAAATAGTTAGTTTATATCTTTGTTATTATTATTTTTTTAAATTGTTATTTTAAATTGTATACCTAATTTTTTTTTTTTATTTTATAATGCACTGCCCACATAGATATATGTTTGCCTACTGCAACATACAGTAAATAAGAAACACAAACAACATAACAAAGGACACATGTAGCGTTACAATAAGCCGGCCTTATTGCTAAAAGCAATCTTTTCAAGGCAACCTTAGGGAAGCGGATTGAAACATCGAACAGGCAGGTAAAATGACACGAACAGCAGAAAATTAAAAAGTAACAAATTTGTAATTGTTCGCACTATTTGTTAATCTATTTTTTGTTTGTTTAATGTGTGTTTTAGTTTTCTACTGAATAAATATCATTTCATTTCATTTCATTTCATATGATTATGTAATCCCTGCGATTGACTTCAATTACGATTTTATTTATAATTGCACATATACATAAATTTCCATATGATAAATTAACAATACACGTGGACTCTGTTTAAAGAGTATGGCAATATCGTAGATGACACATTCCCATAATGAAATTTAAAATTTAGATCTGTTGTAGTGTCCACTTAGCTCCTATAGTACGTCTGGTAAAAATTCTTTTACTGTATATGTATATGTAAGCTTTGTCGGTCAGTAGTTCTTTAAGCCTTTTTTTAAATAAATTAATTTTATCTTCTTGTTTTATGGTTTCCGGGATTTTATTATATATTACAATGGATCGGTAATACGGACTCGCCCTAAACATTTCTATTTTAGGTTCTGGTAGGTCCAGAGGGCTTATTAATCTATTATTACATTTAAAATTAAAATATGATAGATGCGATAGATGATTTTGCCGTTGATGTGCTCGCATGTGACTTACGTAGACTATTTTGTGTGTAAAAATCCTCGCTTATTGCGAGCATGAGAGCACACCGCTCATATATTATAGCTGATAGTCGCAGGTGGTCGGGCTTTCAGCTCGTCGCGTCTGGCAACCAGCTCTAGGAGCCGCAGGTTTCCAAAACCTTGGACGCTAGAATTGAATTAAAATGTATGTACATAATAATCAGGTATTAAACTAGATACACTTACAAAAACTACATACATAATTTTAAAATTAAATAGAATAAACTAAATATAAATAGTTAGTTTATATCTTTGTTATTATTATTTTTTTAAATTGTTATTTTAAATGGTATACTTTTTTTTTTAATGCACTGCCCACATAGATATCTGTTTGCCCAATGCTTGAATGGGAGAAAATACATCATGGTGTTAAGTCCGCCATATGTCTGTATTTGTGTATTTGTGCATAAAAGATTTAATAAATTAATTAAAGTTTTATTCATCATCGTTATATGTTTATTATTTTTAATTACCTTTCTCATATTTGTTTATTACCTACCTGTACGATATATAAATGCGTTGCATAAAGTTACTTTATCTATATATCTATACATATAAATAAAGTTGGAGTGTACGCGCAGCAAAAAGTACATGTAAAGGTAGATAAACCTGCCTTTCGCGCAGCAGAGCGTGCATGAAAGGCAGACAAAGATGCCTTTACACGTTCATTCGCGCAAATTGCCTTTCACGAGGGAAAGAGTATGAATGTAAATATAGATAAAGAGTACGAGCAAGAACAGGCGTTTTTATCTCTTGAATACTACGATTAATTTAACATTCAGTAAGACTATAGACAATTAGTATTAAAGACAAACAATATTAATCTATTCTCAATTTGACCACAGACTATAACAGTAAACAAAAGTGTACGTGTGTGTAATGTTTTTTTTATTCATTTAATTAAATTAAATTAAAAAATCATTTATTCATGTAGGACATTTTAGCCGCTTATGAACGTCAAGTTTTTACATTATATTTTTTTTCCCTACCGTCCAGTTGGGTATATAGATCCAATTGAGAAGAACTGGCAAGAAACTCAATTGAATTACTTTTTTTTAAAGCCAGTTTATTTACAATGTATAGGTGTCTATATCTAACGATCTAGTATTTAAAGCACAAAAAAAATGTGTCAGGGCGTAATTTAAAAAATACTGATAGTTGTGTTCCATATTTTAAAAAATACAATCTACTTACGGCTCCATTCCTTTACATTTATGAGGTGTCTATTTTTATTAAGACGAACCTTGAACTTTTTAATAACATCAAAGGAATACGTAATAATGATAAATTGTGTAATTTTCCGGCTAAAACTGCTATGTCGTGTAATAGTATTTTAGGAATGGGACCTAGAATATATAATAATCTTCCAAGGGCATTAAAATCTATTGGTAGTATCCATCAATTTAAAACTGCTCTTAGAAATATACTGATTGGTAAAACTTACTACACGGTTGGTGATTTCCTGACTGATACATTGACGTAAAGACAATTGATTAATGACTATCGGTATGATGACGTAGTACAGTAATTTTATTTCCTTAAACATTAATTGTACCTACAATTTGAAATTTTGCACACCTCTTACGAGGTTAATGTACGGATCTCAACAACATATTTATAACACCTTATTGTTTACCTACATTTGGCAAATAAAGTATTATTATTATTATTATTATTAACATTAAATGAAAATCCCTTGCATGAACAACTATTGCCGTGCACGCTCGTCATTAAAATGTTGAATGTATTTTAAATGCGTAATTTCAAATAAATATTAACATTCTGTAGTCATTATCTGTATAAATTACTAGTATGTAATATTTTTACACCTTGGGTTACATTATTAGAGTTTCAGTAAGGATCCCTAATTTTTTTGGAAATATAATATAGCCTGTCTCTCGGGGATAGTGTAGCTTGCTAATGGTGAAAGAATTTTTCGAATCGGTCCAGTAGTTTCGGAGCCTATTCAATACACACATACACACGAAAATACAAATCTTTCCTCTTTTTTAATATTAGTATAGATGAGTGTGCAAAATTTCATACACCTCCGCGTAATTTTCGTCAAAAATGCTAAATTTTTTTTTTACCGGACTACTCTAATGCTGTTGGGCGCAGCTGGCCTTTACAGCTTCACCGGACGATAAGGGGCGAGTGCAGATGGCACTCCAAACCAAAGGAAGGACTTATAGAGCGGCTGAAGGCTAACTCCCGCCTGACGGATACGACTTTAGTCTGAGGGCACCGCTAGGGGTTCGAACCTTGGCTCAGGCCGTCGTCATCGGTCCCCGTTTGAATTGGACGGGGGATCGATCGGAGGGGGCTACAAAAATTTTGTTTCACGTATTAATATTGTGATCTCTTTCCAGCCGCCTAGAACAGAACGAGATAACCGAGGTGGGACCGGCCGCTTTCTCAGCTGTGAAACGCGTGGCCCGTATAGATATATCCAATAACAAGATCACGAAGATAGCTGCCGACTCCTTCAGTGGGCTCACGCATCTAACATCCTTGTGAGTGGTTCTTTTATACTATGCCTACTCTTGTAGTATGTCAGTCGACACTCGACACCCTTCCATTAGTACCTCGCCAGATAACATACATTTAAGTTCAGTGTAAAGTCAGTCCACGTTACGACTCCGCGTCGAATGTACGCGTATGTAACCTATCATATTTATTTTGAAAATGGGAGAAATTTTGAAAGTTCAGTTCGAGCGAGATTTTCAGGTAAGGGTTCGAGGGCCCCGGGGCATTGCCCCGCCTAGCCCTTAGCTACGCCACTGCTTACATATTACACTGGTATTTTATGTAATATATTAAAAATGCTGCCACGTCGATTTATTGGAAGAGAATTTAGAATGCCAATTATACGGTTACCATATATAAAAAAATATATAATATTGTCTACGTCTTTAACAATCATGACGAACGGAAAAGAAATAAATTTGATAGAAGCACTTTTGAATAGTCATAATTTGTTTTCTACCACTCATTCGGAACGCATACTAGTCACAAGAAGAATGAGCAATATACTTGTGCGTGTTGCTCTTTTGATTTGATGTTGTTTTAAATAAATACCCATTAACAAGGATTAGGCATGCGACAATCCTTTATCAATCAGGTTACAGTTCCAGCACTATGCATTCTATTTTATTTTTCTAAGGAAATAGTAAAGGAATGTTTCCTTTACTATTTCCTTCCTATACCTCTTCATTTAGTAGATTTTTGGAGTATAATTTAATTTTTTAATAAGCGATTATTCTTTTATTTGCAGGGTATTGTACGGAAACAAAATTAAAGACTTGCCTTCCGGAATATTCCATGGACTGACATCGCTACAGTTGTTGTAAGTAATTGTATATATACATACAAATAAATAAAATTAAAGTCCTTGCAATATCAAATTAACACCAAAATTAATTTTAATAAGGTTTACACCTTTATAGAATAGAATAGAACATTGTTTATACAAATTATGCCTACACTTGTAATATTTCTGTCAACACTCGAACATTCTTTATCTCTCCAAATTATGTTCAGTAAAGTCACTTGTAATATTTCTGTCACTAATAAGCCATGTAGAACACTATCAAATAAACTTACTAATGTACAATAAATAGTACAATTATTACAGCTGTACCTCCTCCTACAGTAAACAATATATTATAAGTTCAGCTACAGTGGTAAGGTGAAGTACAATATAAATTTGCATTCAAACACTTTTGAATAGTCATCACTTATTTCTTTAATCTACCGCTTATTCGGAAAGCTGTCTAATCACAAGAAGAACTTCCCCTCTGATCGATCCCCAGTCCAATTCAACGGGGATCGATGTTACGACGGTCTGAGCCGAGGTTCGAACCCCTAGTGGTGCCCTCAGACTAAAGTCGTATCCATCAGGCGGGAGTTGGCCTTCAGCCGCCCCATAAGTCCTTCCTTTGGTTTGAAGTGTCATCTGCACTCGTCCCCTATCGTCCGGTGAAGCTGTAAAGGCCAGCTGCGGCCGACAGAATTAGAGTAGTCCGAAAGAAAATAACTTGTGTTGCTCTTTTAAGTAATCCTTGTAAGTTTTTAAGTTGAAACGTGTGAATACAAACTACCAACTAACACTAATTTATTAGGGTCAAATATAAATACACAATAAGACTAAATCAATCGTAGTGATTAGAGCTGACCAGTACCTACATGCATTCGTTCACGAGTATAAGATATATCAATAGTATTATAACTTCTAGTTGAATCAGTACACGCTTTTTTTTAGATAGAATTTTAAGTTGTTTTTTATGTTTTCTTAATTGTTAATTGTAGGCACAAATTTGTCACACAAATGTCGTAGTTGCCTATAATTAAGGTTGCGCTTAGTAAAATAAATAGATTGTAATGTATTATGGCTGGCTCATACGTCATACTCGTGAACGGGTGCTGCTTGTGGGGACTGGTCTGTTCAGGTTGTGAACACTGATTAAATTTTTTGTTCTTTGCGATAGCATATGCTGGTGGTCACTCTATTCTCTCAAATTTGAATTTTAATAACTGTATTTATCATAAACATGTTCCCCTATTATTTGAAAAAATACGAGCTGAGTTTCTTGTCAGTTCTTCTCATCTCGATATCATTCCGAACTGACAGTAGATTTGACATATCATAAGAGTCTGTAATAGACCTACACGAATAAAGATATTTTGAGTTATAGTGTTGGTGAAAACTTTGTTGGTGACTTAATAAATAATAATAATAAAGTATGACGGATGACATATGATCTTATATCCAATATTAATATTGCGTTTGTTACAGATTGCTGAATTCAAACGAAATTACATGTGTGAGAAAAGATACATTCAGGGATTTGCAGAACTTAAAATTATTGTAAGTATTTATTGTTTATTTTTTAACTAACTCAGAACAATTCACACCATCAATCAGCGCCATCTAGTCCCAAGCTAAGAGCTTGTGTTATGGGTACTAGATAACTGATATAAATATATAGATATTTATTTTTTTATACATAATCCATTAACATTAAAATAATTAAAACATATTATATATAGAAAACACCCAGACCGATACAAACAATCATACTCATGAATACAAATGTTTATGCCATCCGAGGAATCTGTGGAGATGTTTTCTATGTATATTATGTATGTATTTACAAAAAAATATATCTAAGTATTTATATCAGTTGCCTAGTACCCATAACACAAGCTCTGCTTACCGTGGGACTAGATGGCGCTGTGTTAATTGTCCAGGGTTATTTATTTATTTATATCAGTTGTCTAGATGGCGCAACACAAGTGTTAATTAGATGGCCTGGGTTATTTATTTATTTATATCAGTTGTCTAGTACCCATAACACAAGCTCTGCTTACCGTGGGACTAGATGGCGCTGTGTTAATTGTCCAGGGTTATTTATTTATTTATATCAGTTGTCTAGTACCCATAACACAAGCTCTGCTTACCGTGGGACTAGATGGCGCTGTGTTTATTGTCTAAGGTTATTTATTATTTATTTATTGTAAGATTCCTTGTGCATAGAGGTATAAATTATTATTATTATTATTATTTCAGATCGCTATATGATAATAATATAAGATCTATACCAAACGGAACATTCGACTCCCTAACTGGAATACAAACCTTGTAAGTACGCCTACTTTTGTTTTTTTGTAATATCATATGCTGGTGGTCACTCTATTCTCCCAAATTTGAATTTAAAAATGAATCTGTATTATTATAAACATGTACAACATTTATTTGAAAAGAATACGAGCTGAGTTTCTTGTCAGTTCTTCTCAGCTCGAAATCATTCCGAACTGACGGTAGATTTGACATATCATAAGAGTCTGTAATAGACCTACATGAATAAAGATATAAATTTTGTAATGACATATTGTAAATTAAATATTGTAATGGGTGAAAACTGTGATCGGTACAGCCTATGCTGTAAATAATATAATTGACGTAGTGGAGTAATCTGAAACAGTCATGCTCGCTATAAAGTTCAAACTTGTGGCGGCGTGGTGGGCCGGGTCGATGTGCTCCCTCAAATGTGGTTGAGTACAATGATGGCTGGCTCATACGTCATACTCGTGAACGGGTGCTGCTTGTGGGGACTGGTCTGTTCAGGTTGTGAACACTGATTAAATTTTTTGTTATTTGCGATAGCATATGCTGGTGGTCACTCTATTCTCCCAAATTTATCATAAACATGTTCCACTAATTTCAAAAAAATACGAGCTGAGTTTCTTGTCAGTTCTTCTCATCTCGAAATCATTCCAAACTGACGGTAGATTTGACATATCATAAGAGTCTGTAATAGACCTACATGAATAAAGATATTTTGAATTTGAATTTGCCAAACTTGCAGTATGGTTTTTTTTAATAATCAACGTAGTTAAAATGAAACTATTTCTGAATATTTCTTTCATTAAAAGTTTTTACACAAAACACAATTTGTGAAACAATGGTTTTATATATGCATATAAATACAAATATTTATTAACTAAAAAAATATATTTAAACTATTACTCATAAGATATTAAGTGCGATACTTAGAAAAACGTTAGTTGACATCACAGCCAGGTTTACGAGTACGCTATATTTTTTATTTATACATATAAATAAAATTGGAGTGTCTGTTTGTAATATTGAAATAACCGTTTTTACTACATGCATATGAATATAAATACGGTACATACACCAAAATAACATTTTTTACAATTTTTGTCTGTCTATCTGTTTGTTCCGGGTGATCTCTGAAATGACTAGACCGATTTGGACGGGACCTTTTTTGGCAGGTAGCTGATATAATAAGGAGTAACTTACTTAGTACTTTTATTTTAGGTAAATAAAGTTAAATTCCACGTGGACGAAGTCACGGGAACAACTAGTTATTTATAAAGTTCTTTAAATTTGGGAAAGGAAAATTTTTCACGCGCTTTCTTATCCCTCTGGGGGTTGCGACCCACGGGTTGCGCACCACCGAGTTAGTTAATGATAAATCTACCCCTCTGGTGTATTTTACCCCTCGCGACCCACGGGTTGCGCACCACTGAGCTAGTTAATGATAAATCTACCCCTCTGGGGTTTCTTACCCCTCGCGACCCACGGGTTGCGCACTACTGAGCTATTAAGTGATAAATTTATTCTTCCATAGACATCTAGGTCACAATCCTTTCGCATGCGATTGTTCCCTCCGATGGCTGGCTGCGTACCTTCGAAAGAACCCCATAGAGACATCAGGGGCGAAGTGCGACTCCCCCAAACGGATGAGCAGGAAACGAATTGACGCATTAAGGGAAGAATACTTTAAATGCAAACGTAAGTATTAATAAAAAACTTTTTATAAAAGAAGCATAGAATAGAATAGAAAATCATTTATACAAATAAATTTAATTTAAGCACTTTTGAATAGTCATCACATTTGTTTCAAATTACCGCTCATTCGGAAAGCTGTCTCGTCACAAGAAGACCGAGAAACTTGCTAGTTTGTATTCACAAGTTTCCATTCAAGATTTTAAACTTACAAGGATTATTTAAAAGAGCATTACACAAGTTTCTTGCTCAAGAAACTTGTGCTTTCCGAATGAGAGGTAATTTGAAACAAATGTGATTCAAAAGTGCTTCAATGTAAGTTTATTTTGTACCTTTTCTTATGAATAATCTTCAAAAGACGTCTCCCACCGGATAGTGGACGAAGGATTCTTGCCTATTAAAAAACCACTCGCTCCGAGCTCGAGGCGCCCTCCCCCCGTCCCCCTGTCACTAACGAGTGGTGTGTCCAGCGGGCGAAGAGTGGGACAACGGAGGCCGCGTGCCCGACTGCGTGCTCGTGCGAGCTCGCGCGGACCTCCCCCCTACTTACCTCCCCCTGCCCCCCGTCCCCCTGTCACTAACGTGTGGTGTGTCCAGCCGGCGAGGAGTGGGACAACGTGTGCTCGTGCGAGCTTGCGCCGACCTCCCCCCTACTTACCTCCCCCTGCCCCCTGCCCCCTGACCCCCGTCCCCCTGTCACTAACGTGTGGTGTGTCCAGCCGGCGAGGAGTGGGACAACGTGTGCTCGGGCGGGGCCGCGTGCCCGGCCGCGTGCTCGTGCCCTTCTTACCTCCCCCTGCCCCCTGCCCCCTGCCCCCCGTCCCCCTGTCACTAACGTGTGGTGTGTCCAGCGGGCGAGGAGTGGGACAACGTGTGCTCGGGCGGGGCCGCGTGCCCGGCCGCGTGCTCGTGCGAGCTCGCGCCGACCTCCCCCCTACTTACCTCCCCCTGCCCCCCGTCCCCCTGTCACTAACGTGTGGTGTGTCCAGCCGGCGAGGAGTGGGACAACGTGTGCTCGGGCGGGGCCGCGTGCCCGGCCGCGTGCTCGTGCGAGCTTGCGCCGACCTCCCCCCTACTTACCTCCCCCTGCCCCCTGCCCCCTGACCCCCGTCCCCCTGTCACTAACGTGTGGTGTGTCCAGCCGGCGAGGAGTGGGACAACGTGTGCTCGGGCGGGGCCGCGTGCCCGGCCGCGTGCTCGTGCGAGCTCGCCCCTCGCGCGGTGTCAGTCAGCTGCACGCGCGCGGCGCTGCACGAGATTCCGCGCGACCTGCCTCTCAACACCGATGCGCTGTGAGTATTTTTATCTTAGTGTAAGGAACAAACGAGCTTGCAGCTCACCTCATTATAAGTATTGCTGCCCATGTATCCGCAACACCGGGGAAGTGTTTTTTTTACGGAGTATTGTAAATAGAATCAACCGACATCGTATTAATAGAAAGAAGAAAGAAAAAAATATTTACTCAGTGCTTTTCAACAATGTTACAATTTTCAACAAGGTCACGAGCTGACTGGAGCAACAGCGATGTCAATGTAGATAGGTGACAGCAGTTTTTTCTTCATCTGTTACTATTTCATTTTATTATTTATTTTTTCTTTCTTTCTTTCTTCTTTCTATTAATACGATGTCGGTTGAGACGATGTATATTACAGATTATACACTGACAATATGTACATAAAAATAATGATCTTATATAATACCCACAATTTTTTTCAGTATAATCCCAGATAATAACTTGGGTCAGATCAAGTCAGACGGCTTGTTCGGAAGACTTCCAGACCTCACCAAACTGGACTTCAGGAATAATGGTGAGCGTATTGTATCTATACGTGGTATAAAATGCGACGTGGTGGGCCGGGTCATTGGGCTCCCTAAAATATGGTCGAGCGCAGTGATGGCTGGCTCATCCCTCATACTCGTAAACGGGTGCTGCTTGTAGGGACTGGTCTGCTGTATCACTATGACTGATTTCCTCTTATTAATTGTTTAACCAGTTAGTTATATATACAATATTTTTTCTATTTGCGTATTTAATTGAATTAGTGCTAATTGGTGGTTTGTATTCACGCACTTAAACTTAAAAATGTAAAGTAATAATAAAACTATTTAAAAGAGCAACACGCAAGTTTCTTGCTCGTTCTTCTTGTGATGAGACAGCTTTCCGAATGAGCGGTAGATTAAAAAATGTAATGACTATTCAAAAGTGCTTCAATGTAAGTTTATTTGAATAAATTATTTTCTATTCTATTCTAAATGAACTAGCTTCAGCTGTAAATTTAGATTTTTTAAATTACGCAACGGGTTTTACTGTAAAATTAACAATAGATAGAGTGATTCTTTAGTATTATGCCTACACTTGTAATATTTCTGTCACCACTCGACACCCTTCCATTAGTACCTCTCCAGATAACATAGATTTAAGTTCAATGTAAAGTCAGTCCACGTTATGACTCTGCGTGGAATGTATACCATGCTACAATAAGGTGTGGTGTATCGGCGCTACCGTGGCAGATTGCCGTCTTCAGTGCCGTGATCACACAGACAATATCATTGTATTAGTTTTTAAATATTATATTATATGTATGTTAGTCTATAAGGTATTTATAATATGGGCCTAGTTGCCTGAAATAAATGAATAAATAAATAAGTAATACAAGTACATCCGTGCGGAGCCGGGGCGGTTAGCTAGGACTGTCTATACATATATATAAATTGGAGTGTCTGTTTGTAATATTGAAATAACCGTTTTTTACTATATGCATATGAATATAAATACGGTACATACACCAAAATATATATATTTTTTATTTTTTTGTCCTGTCTGTTTGTTCCGGCTAATCTCTGAAATGGCTGGACCGATTTTGACGGGACTTTTATTGGCAGGTAGCTAATGTAATAAGAAGTACCTTACGCTAACTTTTATTTTAGAAAATGAAATTGAAATTTCACGCGGACGAAGCCGCGGAGAACAACTAGTTATAAATATAATTAGTATAAATACATATAAGTATATTATCACTACATAGTATAAAACAAAGTCGGTGTCGCTGTCTGTCCGTCCCTATGTATGCTTAAATCTTTAAAACTACGCAACGGATTTTGAAGCAGTTTATTTTAGTAGATAGAGTGATTCGAGAGAAAAGTTTATATATATAATACATGCTAGTACAGAATAATAGATAAAAACGATCGCTCCTAAGAATATCCTTCAATTCTTGTCCCTGACGGGTCTAGGTAGCGAACTCTGAAAAGGGCGAGCACAATAGATCTATGTAGGTCGCAGTGCTACAGGTGCTACACATCTGACAATAGCCCAAACAACCCAATAAAAAAAAATAGTACAGAATATAAATATAATTCCTTTCTGGATTCAGGTATAACAGTGATAGAAGATAACGCTTTCGACGGTGCCGCAAACATCCAAGAGTTACTGCTGGATGGAAACCAGCTGCAAACAGTCACCGACAAGATGTTCTTCGGACTCCATAGTCTCAGCATACTGTAAGTAAATATCTGATCACCTGAATTTATTATTTAACAATAATTAATTTATAAAATTGATATTTAAATTTGATAACTTCTTTGTTATAGCATATGCTGGCGGTCACTCTATTCTCCCAAATTTGAATTTTAATAACTGTATTTATCATAAACATGTTCCACTATTATTTGAAAAAAAAATACGAGCTGAGTTTCTTGTCAGTTCTTCTCATCTCGATATCATTCCGAACTGACGGTAGATTTGAGATATCATAAGAGTCTGTAATAGACCTACATGAATAAAGATATTTTGAATTTGAAATCTAGGCAGGATCCAAATATTCATGAAGATAATAATCATTTTTACCGTCCGTTTATAAGATCTTAGTCATCAACACAATTTCTTCTATAGTTATCATTGTTTGGTGATTTCACCCCGTCATCATCAATTCTATTCCAGATCTCTCACCAACAATAAGATCAGGTGTATCACCCCTGGCGCCTTTGATCACCTCTCCATGCTGTCTACTCTGTAAGTTTTTACAAGCTTTTATAATCTTATATATAAAATTCTCGTGTCACAGTTTTCGTTCCCATACTCCTCCGAAACGGCTTGACCGATTCTCATTAAATTTTGTGAGCGTATTGACTAGGTCTGAGAATCGGCCATTATCTATTTTTCATCCCCCTAAATGTTAGGGGTAGTCCACCCCTAATTTTTTTTTTAATTTTAAGGCAAAACAACGTTTGCCGGTACAGCTTATATGTATATAAAATTCTTGTGTCACAATGTTAGTTACCGTACTCCTCCGATACGGCTTGTCCGATTTTTATGAAATTTTATATGCATATTCAGTGGATATGAGAATTGGCTACTATTTTTCATACCCCTACGTGGTAAGGGATATCCACCCCCAAATATTTTCATTTTTTTATTTTTTCGACATATTTTATTTTAATTTTATTATTATTTAGGATTGAAAAATACATATAACCCTAAATTTTCACCCTTCTACAATCAACCCCTAATTTAATAGCGATTTTAATTTATATGTCAAAACAATGTTTAGCTCTAATGCAAAACAAACTCTCAGGAACTTGGATTCCAATCCACTGGACTGCACGTGCCACCTGGCCTGGTTGTCCACATGGCTACGTGAGCGTGGCCTCTCCCCAGGAGCCACCTGCCGCTCCCCACCAGCTCTCCTCAACAACGAAATACACCAATTAGATGTCGCCGCCTTCAAATGCACACGTAAGTTCTATTTTATAAAGGACCTAGTATTGTACCTTGTGGTACTCCCTAATTTTTTTGGTTACACGAATATTTTTTTAGTAAACGAAAGGATTTACTTTTTTCGTCGTTTACAAAACACCCAAGCAAGCAATGCATTAAGTCCATCTTTTCTATAATATTAGTCAATGAAGCAGATTAAAAAAAACAGAAGTTGGTATATTGTAAACTTGTTGTTGCCAAACGCCTACTGAACCTAACCGTAAAATAATATAGGGACAATAACGGACTGTTTCTTAAATAAACACTTGTACATAATTTATTTATTTATAAATATATAATAATACGTGATATAGACAGTGCTCTTTGTTGGGGCTGCTTTGAAGCCGAAGAAACGGCCGCTCACGTAATCCTGGAGTGCTTACAGTGGCCACATAACGAACACATATCCAGGAGCCTTCTGCTCTTCTAGTAGCTTGGCTGTCTGCTTTAGTAGTCTCGGCTCTACACGCACAACCCTGATGAGACGCTAAAATGTGGGGAATAGAGTCCAATTTACATTAACATATATGTGGCCGCAGCTGCGGACGTGGGCTGCCTGTCGCGCGACTACTGCCCGGCCGCGTGCGCGTGCGCCGGCACCGTCGTGCGCTGCGCCCGCGCCGGCCTGCAAGCGCTGCCGCCCGCGCTGCCGCGCCACACCTCCGAGCTGTGAGTACACACACACACAGATATAGATACAGCGCCCCTCGCCACACTACACTCTAAGTGCGCGTCACCGTCGTGCGCTGCGCCCGCGCTGCCGCGCCACACCTCCGAGCTGTGAGTACACACACACAGATATAGATACAGCGCCCCTCGCCACACTACACTCTAAGTGCGCGTCACCGTCGTGCGCTGCGCCCGCGCTGCCGCGCCACACCTCCGAGCTGTGAGTACACACACACACAGATATAGTGATACAGCGCCCCTCGCCACACTACACTCTAAGTGCGCGTCACCGTCGTGCGCTGCGCCCGCGCTGCCGCGCCACACCTCCGAGCTGTGAGTACACACACACAGATATAGATACAGCGCCCCTCGCCACACTACACTCTAAGTGCGCGTCACCGTCGTGCGCTGCGCCCGCGCTGCCGCGCCACACCTCCGAGCTGTGAGTACACACACACACAGATATAGATACAGCGCCCCTCGCCACACTACACTCTAAGTGCGCGTCACCGTCGTGCGCTTCGCCCGCGCTGCCGCGCCACACCTCCGAGCTGTGAGTACACACACACAGATATAGATACAGCGCCCCTCGCCACACTACACTCTAAGTGCGCGTCACCGTCGTGCGCTGCGCCCGCGCTGCCGCGCCACACCTCCGAGCTGTGAGTACACACACACACAGATATAGATACAGCGCCCCTCGCCACACTACACTCTAAGTGCGCGTCACCGTCGTGCGCTGCGCCCGCGCTGCCGCGCCACACCTCCGAGCTGTGAGTACACACACACACAGATATAGATACAGCGCCCCTCGCCACACTACACTCTAAGTGCGCGTCACCGTCGTGCGCTGCGCCCGCGCTGCCGCGCCACACCTCCGAGCTGTGAGTACACACACACACAGATATAGATACAGCGCCCCTCGCCACACTACACTCTAAGTGCGCGTCACCGTCGTGCGCTGCGCCCGCGCTGCCGCGCCACACCTCCGAGCTGTGAGTACACACACACACAGATATAGATACAGCGCCCCTCGCCACACTACACTCTAAGTGCGCGTCACCGTCGTGCGCTGCGCCCGCGCTTTTTACGTTCATCATTATCTCAGCCCGGAAGACGTCCACTGCTGGACAAAGGCCTCCCCAACGATCTCCACGACGATCGGCCCTGCGCTGCTCGCATCCATCGCCTTCCAGCGATCTTGAGCAAATACTTATAAGACCATTAAAATTATTCTAAAATATAAAATTACGATTCAACAAATCGATCCTGCGATACACCACTACCCCGCTACAGCTGGTAACATTATTTAAAAATTTAATATTTACACCTGTCAATTTAATCTCAGGTATTAAAAAAATATATTATATACTAGCTTTTGCCCGCGGCTTCACTCGCGCTAATTTATTTCCTTAGGGGTGGAATTTATCAAAATCTATTCTTAGGGGATGCCTACGTCATAGTAGCTTTATGCATGCAAAGTCCCAGCCCGATCGGTTTAAAATTGACAAAGTTTCATACAAACTTTCATCACCTATTTTATCCCTTTGGGGGTAGAAAAAATCTAAATCCTTTCTTAGCGGATGCCTACGTCATAACATCTACCTGCATGCCAAATTTCAGCCCGATCCGTCCAGTAGTTTGGGCTGTGCGTTGATAGATCACTATGTCAGTCACCTTTGAGTTATATATATTTAGATTTTAAATTACTATCTGGACCCGCAAATGTACATTTGCCATATAAATTAAAATCACTATTAAAAATAAGGATTGATGAGACAAGAGTAAAAATTTAGGATTAAATGTATTGTTTAATGTCCAATCATATTTAGGGGTCACCCTAGAGGTCAAAATACATGATGACAGATTCTCAAACCTACCCCATATGAACACAAAGTTTGGTAACAAACACCGCGACACGAGTATTTTATATATTAGATATAACAATATGTATATATCTTCTGTCTGTCATCAGGTACCTGGAATCCAACGAGATAACCTCGATCTCCTCGGAGCAGATCCGCCACCTGACCCAGCTGACCAGGCTGGACCTGTCCAACAACAAGATTGGTGTACTCTCCAACAATACCTTCGAAGGTCTCACCAAGCTCTCCACCCTCATCGTCAGCTATAACAACTTGAGATGCGTTCAGGTAGGTAACGGCCTCGGTGGGTTAGCGGTTAAACACCATGCTTTACTTCCGATGGTCGCAGGTTCGTAGCTTTATTATACACAGATTACAAATAAAGAACAAAAAAGGTATGCTAAATGCTAAAGAATTGTAACTCTGTACTCAGTTTGCCAGAAAAAAATAGTAATGTAGTGTGTTATAAAATATTTTCTTTATAAAAAAGCTTATTATAAAATTTAAGAATTTATAAATGATAATAATGTTTTTGTAGAAAATATCTAACTTAAAATTCATAGCGCTGACAATGTTATCTGATTGAACAGAGATTAAGTGCGTAGCGGTTTCTATGTTGATTGTCGCATGCCTAATCCTTGTTGCTCTTTTAAATAAATATTGATTTACTTATATTGTGCTTATATTAAGTTTATTCAAATAAACTTAACATAAGCACATTTGAATAGTCAAGTTTTTTGGTTCTACCACTCATTCGGAACGCAGACTCATCTCTCAAAGAACGAGCGAGAAACTTGCGTGTTGCTCTTTTAAATAATTGTTGTGCTAAGTAAATACACATTAACAAGGATTAGGCATGCAACAATCAACACACAAACCGCTACTCACTTAATCTCTGTTCAATCAGATAACATTTTCAGCGCTAAGAATTTCAAGTTAGAATTTTTCTATAAAAAAAAAATATGTTTAAATAAGAAATGATATTTCCGAATTGATTCGATATTGAATAAGCATACGAGCTGAGTTTCTTGTCAGTTCTTCTCATCTCGAAATCATTACGAACTGACGGTAGATTTGATATAGAATAGAAAAAGAATAGACATATCGTAAGTCTGTAATAGAACTACATGAATAAAGATATTTTGAATTTAAATTTGAACTACTTTAATGCTGTTGGCCGCAGCTGGCTTCAGCTTCATCAGACGATACAAAAAAAACTTATTCCTTCCTAAAAGGCCGTCAATGCACTTGCAATTCCCCTGGTGTTACTCTACTCTACTCTGGGATACTCCTAGGGACGGTAATCACTTACCATCATCAAGCTCGATTGTTTGCTACGCTTTAAAATAAATATTTTCTTTCCCAGCGCGACGCCCTCAAAGGTCTGACGCAGCTCCGCGTGCTATCTCTGCACGGCAACAATATCTCGATGCTGGCTGAGGGCGCGTTCAGAGATCTGAAATCTATCTCACACGTGTAAGTATTCAGATGATAATAATACTTTTGAATACCTGTAGAACTGTCGGAAATTCCTGGATATAGATTGAAATTAAAAAGCTCACAATAATTACACAAACTCTCTCCATCTGTCTCCCCCGTCTACCCCCTCTCCCTCTCTCTCTCTCTCTCTCTCTCTCTCTAACTCTCTCCCCCCCCCCTCTATCTTCCCCACCTCTCTCTCTCTCTCCCCCTCTCCCCCCTCTATCTTCCCCACCTCTCTCCCTTCCCCTTACTCTCTCTCTGTCTCCCTCTCACTCTCTAAAGGGATAAAATTTGTGAGTCCGTAATTTTGTTAGGTTGTAGGATCGCTACAGTTAGTAATATGATTTGGCAATATGACATTATACCTGTCAATTTAGTCTCCATAAATAAATAAATAACCCTATAACTACATAGATACATTTTTTTTGTAAATACATACATAATATACATGGAAAACACCCAGTCCCATACAAAAAATCATTCTCCTACATACAAATGTTTGTATCGTCCGAGGAATCGAACCGCACAAGCTGCCGCTAGATCACAGACGCCGTCATTAAGATTATGGTTAAGATTGTTGACGACCTCGGTGGTCTAGCGGTCTAGCACACCGCTTTACGTCCGATGGTCGCGGGTTCGATTCCTCGCACGCCACAAACATTTGTATTTATGAGTATGATTGTTTGTATCGGTCTGGGTGTTTTATATGTATAATATGTATGTATTTACGAAAAGAAAAAAATATCGATGTATTTATATCAGTTATCTAGTACCCATAACACAAGCTTTAGCTAGCCTATATGGCGCTGTGTGAATTGTCCTGAGATTATTATTATTATATTATTGTTGATGGTGTAGTGCGCTGGGTTCGAACCCGCTGTACTGCGACTGCGGGCTGCGCTGGCTGTCGGAGTGGGTGAAGTCGGCCCGCGAGTACGTGGAGCCCGGCATCGCGCGCTGCGCCGAGCCCGCCGCCATGCGGGACAAGCTCGTACTCAGCACGCAGTCACAGGCCTTCCTCTGTCAAGGTACGTACCACTATAGTACGACTGTCCGGCTCGAAGGACCATAAAATAGATGAATTTATAGATGATAGCAATATATAGCAAGAATAAGTTTATTTGCGGACAACGTTATAATTTTAATTTTCATACTGCTTTCTTGATATATGATAGCGTAGCGGCTTTTGTATTGATTGCCGCATGCATCCTCATGTAAAGTGCGAATACTGTAACTACCATATAGTAATTTTTGTAGCTGTGACGTGGTCGAGTGGAATGAGTAGTCATGCTCACTAAAATGTTCAGACATGTGGCGGCGTGGTGGGCCGGGTCATTCGGGACAAATTCTAATTCAAATTCAAAATATCTTTATTCATGTAGGTCTATTACAGACTCTTATGATATGTCAAATCTACCGTCAGTTCGGAATGATGTCGAGATGAGAAGAACTGACAAGAAACTCAGCTCGTATTTTTTTTCAAATAATAGTGGAACATGTTTATAGGGAGAATAGAGTGACCACCAGCATATGCTATCACAAAGAACAGAAAATGTAATCTGTGTTCGTAACCTGAACAGACCAGTCCCCACAAGCAGCACCCGTTCACGAGTATGATGGGTTCACGATTTTTATCTAAATATCTAGGTAGGAGCTGGAAGCCCTTTGCATTCACGGGGCCTGAGGCTGCAGTCCATAAAGCCCGTAGGTAGATCCGCCCCTGCCAGCTGTGTACAACGTACATATATCGGCGAGCGCGCATTAGGTGTCTGACTAGAGTTAGGACGTTACTTATGGCTAGTGTGACGTGACAGGTCCGGCACCCGGTGCGCTGGTGGCCAAGTGCGACAGCTGCCACAGCTCCCCGTGCGGCAACGGCGGCGCCTGCACCGCGGCCGGCGGCGGCTTCCGCTGCAGCTGCGCGCGAGGCTTCACCGGACCCACCTGCCGCGCGCGCATCGACGCCTGCTACGGGGCGCCCTGCCGCCACGGGACCTGCCGCCTGCTCGAGGAGGGCCGCTTCAGGTGACGACCGCTCCTCTCCTCTCTCCTCTCTCCTCTCTCTCTCCTCCACTCGACACCTGCCGCGCGCGCATCGACGCCTGCTACGGGGCGCCCTGCCGCCACGGGACCTGCCGCCTGCTCGAGGAGGGCCGCTTCAGGTGACGACCGCTCCTCTCCTCTCTCCTCTCTCCTCTCTCCTCCACTCGACACCTGCCGCGCGCGCATCGACGCCTGCTACGGGGCGCCCTGCCGCCACGGGACCTGCCGCCTGCTCGAGGAGGGCCGCTTCAGGTGACGACCGCTCCTCTCCTCTCTCCTCTCTCCTCTCTCCTCCACTCGACACCTGCCGCGCGCGCATCGACGCCTGCTACGGGGCGCCCTGCCGCCACGGGACCTGCCGCCTGCTCGAGGAGGGCCGCTTCAGGTGACGACCGCTCCTCTCCTCTCTCCTCTCTCCTCTCTCCTCCACTCGACACCTGCCGCGCGCGCATCGACGCCTGCTACGGGGCGCCCTGCCGCCACGGGACCTGCCGCCTGCTCGAGGAGGGCCGCTTCAGGTGACGACCGCTCCTCTCCTCTCTCCTCTCTCCTCTCTCCTCTCTCCTCTCTCCTCCACTCGACACCTGCCGCGCGCGCATCGACGCCTGCTACGGGGCGCCCTGCCGCCACGGGACCTGCCGCCTGCTCGAGGAGGGCCGCTTCAGGTGACGACCGCTCCTCTCCTCTCTCCTCTCTCCTCTCTCCTCTCTCCTCCACTCGACACCTGCCGCGCGCGCATCGACGCCTGCTACGGGGCGCCCTGCCGCCACGGGACCTGCCGCCTGCTCGAGGAGGGCCGCTTCAGGTGACGACCGCTCCTCTCCTCTCTCCTCTCTCCTCTCTCCTCCACTCGACACCTGCCGCGCGCGCATCGACGCCTGCTACGGGGCGCCCTGCCGCCACGGGACCTGCCGCCTGCTCGAGGAGGGCCGCTTCAGGTGACGACCGCTCCTCTCCGCTCTCCTCTCTCCTCTCTCCTCTCTCCTCCACTCGACACCTGCCGCGCGCGCATCGACGCCTGCTACGGGGCGCCCTGCCGCCACGGGACCTGCCGCCTGCTCGAGGAGGGCCGCTTCAGGTGACGACCGCTCCTCTCCTCTCTCCTCTCTCCTCTCTCCTCTCTCCTCTCTCCTCTCTCCTCTCTCCTCTCTCCTCTCTCCTCTCTCCTCCACTCGACACCTGCCGCGCGCGCATCGACGCCTGCTCGTTCGTCAGCAACAGTAACCATTTATGGTATTTATTGTAAATTTGACAATTTTACCGTAACTAATGGTCGCCCCGTGATTTATTTTAGATTAATTTCAGATTCAGTGAACCTCACACATTTTTTTTATACTACGATGTTGGCAACCAAGCATACGGCCCATCTGATGGTAAATGGTTACCGTAGCCTATAAACGCCTGATACACCAGGGGTGTCACGCGTTGCCGACCCTTAAGCAACCTTAATATATCCTTCTTGATAAACTCCATGCTGTAGTCTCTCGAGAAAACCTCGGCAGGTAGTTCATTCCAGAATCTATGTGTACGCGGGAGGAAGCTCCTCTGAAACCGCACTGTCCGAGACTGTAGATTCCAGCTTGTCAGGATGAATTCCCTGTCGATGGCCTATATATTATAATCTATACATATTTATAAATAAAATTGTAGTGTCTGTTTGTAATATTGAAATAACCGTTTTTTACTACATGCATTTTAACCAAAATAACATTTTTTACAATTTTTGTCTGTCTGTCTGTTTGTTCCGGCTAATCTCTGAAATGGCTGGATCGATTTTGACGGGACTTTTTTTGGCAGGTAGCTGATGTGATAAGGAGTAACTTAGGCTACTTTTCTTTTAGAAAAATAAAGTTAAATTCTACGCGGACGAAGTCGCGGGAACAGCTCTAATAGTAATATTATTATACTACCCTCAATTCAACTTGTAGACTTTAACAATAAACAATAGAGTATATATGCGTGTGCGTCAAATACACGGTAGTATATGTTTTTTTATTGAAATAATGTATTTTTTATGCATAATTATACAAAACTATGACATCATCCTGCGCTCCATCTCTATACAAACTATAAGTGTGCGAATTTCATACTCCATCGTCCGAGCAAATTTCTTAAAAAGCGGAAGCAAAGTTTTTGTACACTTATTTTTTTTCTATTTATGATAATGTAATGGTGCACCCGCCTGCGCTAACGGTTTACGCTGGCAGCACCAGTGGGGGATGATAAGATGAGCATGAGGTCAGGTCAGTTAGCACATAGTGACAAATTCACCAGGAATTTATCACGATGGTTTCCAGGGGGAGCCGCGTGGAGGTCAACCTGACATGGTACATTGCTAGCAATGAGATCAACAGTTCACATTACTAACAATCTCATCATTTATCTCCTGTTTCACGTATTAATGAGTCCATAATTATCGTTACTGTGAAAGATTAATTTTAAATATTAGATACTATCAGACCCGACCAGGTGTTGCTGTGTCTAAGGTTCTGGAATAAAATAATATTGCGACTATAAATTGAGATGTAAGCTATCCTATCTTTCAAGTTGAATCAAATTGCACACAATGTGCAAATCAAATTTGCAATCAGTTCAGTAGTTTAGGAGTCCATCGCGGACAAACAACGTGACACGTAATTTTTATACATAAAAATTATTATTACGTATCAAGTTATCAACATTTATAGAGTATGATGGAAGATCATGGAAAGTGGCAAGAGCTCCACCGACAAGAGGGTGCTCTTAAATTATGAAAGAACTAGCTCTCCCAGCGACCTTATCCGCTTGGAATTTAACTTTATTTTTCTGAATTAAAATAGCCTAAGTTACTCCTTATAACATCAGCTACCTGCCAAAAAAAGTCGGCCATTTCAGAGATTAGCCGGAACAAACAGACTGAGCTGGTATGGGCATGTTATGCGGAGGAATGAGGACCATGTCTTATGGAAAGTGTATAATATGAATGTGGATGGATGTAAAAGGACGCCCTAAGAAAAGATGGATGGATTGTGTGAAAGATGATATGAATAAAAGAAGAGTATGTTTAGATATGACGATTGATAGAGATCAGTGGAAGAGAATGACATACTGCGCCGACCCCAAATAATGGGATAAAGGCAAGGCAATGTCTGTCTGTTTTATAAAAAAAATTGTAAAAAATGTAATTTTGGTGTATGTCTAAAAATTCCCGTGTCATTACCATACTCCTCTGAAACGGCTTCATCGATTTTTATGGATATTCTGTAGGTCTGAGAATCGGCTCCTATCTATTTTTCATACCCCTAACTGATAAGGGTTGTCCACCCCTAACATTATTTTTTTATAATGTGTATAATAATAATTAATAATTTTTACCCTTCTAACACCAACCCCTATTTTTTGTAGCATTATTAATTTATACGGCAAAACAACGTTTGCTGGGACAGCTATTCTTTATATATAACAATTACTTTTCACGTTGTTTGTCCGCGATGGACTCCTAAACTATTGAACCGGTTGCAAATTTGATTTGCACATTGTGTGCAATTTGATCCAACTTGAAAGATAGGATAGCTTACATCTCAATTTATAGTCGCAATATTGTTTTATTCAAGAACCTTAGACACAGCAACACCTGGTCGGGTCTGATAGTATCTAATATTTAAAATTAATCTTTCACAGTAACGATAATTATGGACTCATTAATACGTGAAACAGGAGATAAATGATGAGATTGTTAATAATGTGGACTGTTGATCTCAGTGCTAGTAATGTACCATATCAGGTTAATCTTCAAGCGGTTCCCCCTAGAAACCATCTTGATAAATTCCTGGTGAATTTGTCACGATGGGCTAACCGACCTGGCCTCATGCTCATCTTATCATCCCCCACTGGTGCTGCCAGCGTAAACCGTTAGCGCAGGCGGGTGCACCATTACATTATCATAAATAGAAAAAAAATAAGTGTACAAAAACTTTGCTTCCCTTTTTAAGAAAATTGCTCGGACGATCGAGTATGAAATTCGCACACTCATAGTTTGTATAGAGATGGAGCGCAGGATGATGTCATAGTTTTGTATAATTATGCATAAAAAATACATTATTTCAATAAAAAAACATATACTACCGTGTATTTGACGCACACGCATATATACTCTATTGTTTATTGTTAAAGTCTACAAGTTGAATTGAGGGTAGTATAATAATATTACTATTACTAGCTGTTCCCGCGACTTCGTCCGCGTAGAATTTAACTTTATTTTTCTAAAATAAAAGTAGCCTAAGTTACTCCTTATTACATCAGCTACCTGCCAAAAAAAGTCGGCCATTTCAGAGATTAGCCGGAACAAACAGACTGTCTGTCTGTTTTATAAAAAAAATTGTAAAAAATGTAATTTTGGTGTATGTCTAAAAATTCCCGTGTCATTACCATACTCCTCTGAAACGGCTTCATCGATTTTTATGGATATTCTGTAGGTCTGAGAATCGGCTCCTATCTATTTTTCATACCCCTAACTGATAAGGGTTGTCCACCCCTAACATTATTTTTTTATAATGTGTATAATAATAATTAATAATTTTCACCCTTCTATCACCAACCCCTATTTTTTTAAAGCGTTATTAATTTATATGGCAAAACAACGTTTGCCGGGACAGCTATTCTTTATATATAACAATTACTTTTCACGTTGTTTGTCCGCGATGGACTCCTAAACTACTGAACTGATTGCAAATTTGATTTGCACATTGTGTGCAATTTGATCCAACTTGAAAGATAGGATAGCTTACATCTCAATTTATAGTCGCAATATTGTTTTATTCAAGAACCTTAGACATGGCAACGCGTGTTCGGATCTGCTAGTCTAACATAATATCTCAGGACAATTAACACAGCGCCATCTAGTCCCACTGTAAGCAGAGCTTGTGTTATGGGTACTAGACAATTGATATAAATACGTAGAAACATTTTTTTTGTAAATACATACATATAATACAGAAAAAACACACAGACCGATATAAACAATCATACTTATGGATACAAATATTTGTGCCGTGCGAGGAATCGAACCCGCGGCCATCGTAAGTAAAACGGTGTGCTATAGCGCTAGACGCCTTCAGATACAAATAATACGCAAATATGTTATTTGCGTAGAAAAAACCATCAGGCGTTTTGACTTTATATTTTTTCACTTAGATCTTTTAAACTACGCAACTGATTTTAATGCAGTTTTTAACAATCTATAGAGTGATTCATAAAGAAGGTTTACATGTATAATACTTGTATACCCGTGCGAAGACGGGGCAAGTATTTAGTACTTTATAATAAACTTTTGTTATCGAAAGCGCCACAAGTTGAAATTCGTTCCAATGTAAATTGAGGGAATATTATTGAAACATAACTTCTGTTTTACTACCCCGTTTTAATTTTACTAAATAAATTACATTTTGGTTCCTTTAAAAAAAAAATTATGCTTGTCTGTTTGTTCTTGCTAATCTCTGAAACACGTAACTTAGACTACTTTTCACTTTAGGAATTTCATTTATTTTAACAAAGAGGAATTTAAATCCCTTATAGTCGCGGGTAATAGCTTTTTTCTCTTATAAATATTATTTTAATACTCTTTTCTATATTACACTGGCTACTCGCCTCGACTTCGCCCGGGTGTACATGTATTATATATATAAGCTTTCTCTGGAATCACTCTATATATTAAAAAAATATATTAAACATATTATTAATAAAAATAATAATTATTTAATAATCATTATATAGTATAAAACAAAGTCGCTGTCGCTGTCTGTCCGTCCCTATGTATGCTTAAATCTTTAAAACTACGCAACGGATTTCGAAGCGGTTTTCTTTAATAGATAGAATGATTCAAGAGGCAGGTTTATATATATACTACATGTACATAATAATAATATAAATCAACAAATACAATAATATTTAAACCAATCTAAACCTCATACAAATTTCTCCATACAAAATGACATAGGTAATGTTAGTTCCGCAACTTGATACTAGATGGCGCTGTGACAAATGTAGAACGCGATATGGTTTCGTTTTGGCCGCCGGTAGATAGTCCTGCCGCGCGATCGTCTCGTCGTGTGAATTGTTCAGACCTACCGAAATAGGTCCCGGGTTCGATTCTTTTGTATTTTTGCAGCGATTATACATTTTATTATGTATTGTCGCTAATTAATCCACTAAAAGCTAAATGTGTTAAGAAATTAATACGTTTATATGAAAATCATACTGTTCAAGAATTTTGAATGGTCGATTTAATTGTATTGAAAAAGAATGCAATTTGTTATTTTTTGTCTTATATATTATTTAATTGCTTATATATATATATTTAATTAATAATTCTGCTTTAATTAAAAAAAATATATAATTTTTTAATTAGATTTATTTTGAAAATAATATTTCTAGTACTTGGTAGTTCTAGTACTTCTAGTACTAGTATTGAGACAAAATGCAATTAGTTTTTTTTTATTTATTATATCATAAATTAAAAAAATAAATGTATTTTTCAATATATTTTTTTTACTAGATAAATTATAATTTAATTTAATTGTTTAAAAAGTAAAGTACTTTGAATGGTTGATTTAATTATCTAATTGTATTAAAAAAGATGCAATTTGTTTGTTTTATTTATAATATTATAAATGAAATAAGTGTTTTCAATATTTTTTTTACTAAATAAATTATAATTATAATTTATATGAAAATAAAATTGGTGGAGTACTTTGGTTGATTAATTGTATTGATCTATCTATCTATCTATCTATATATATTAATTAAAATATACCAAATACTTAATAATTCTGGTTTCTGAGTATTTGAAATTAATATGTTATATTTATTTCATTTTAAAAATAATATTTTTATAAATTGAAATATTCAGAAATAATAATAAATCTGATATTTGAAAATTCCGAATATTCAATTCATTGTTTTAATTTTTTTTTTTTTGACAAATAATTTGAATTATATTTTTAATATAAAAAATCAGCTTTATAAATATTTCAATTAACATGTTTCTTTGTAAAATATATATTTTTTAAATAAACAATATATTTTTTAATATTCAGAATTTATTCTTTTTACATTAGAATTTTTTTTTTTATATTTATGATATTAGATAATCATTTTTTTTATATATCATTTCTAAATCATTAGAACTAATGATAATCAATTAAGAAAAGATCGTTGTATGATAAATATCGAATGAAAATTATCGACGTTTGCCTAACTGATTTCATATCATAATACGTATCGAATAATCTTTTGTTTTTTAAAGAGTAACTGATTTGAATGATCATGTAATACACATATCGAATAATCTTTTGTTTTTTTAAAGAGTAACTAGCTATGCACCGACAGCGACTTTGTTTTAGAAATAGAAATAGAAATGTACATGTATGTGTATTATACACTTTAAACAGAATCACTATTTTGATAAAAAAATTCTTCATCAAATCCGTTGTTGCAGTTTTAAAGATTTATATAAATAATTACATAACAAGTAAGGGACAGACAACATAGAAATCGCTACGACATTATTAGCGACTTTGTTTTTTATACTATGTAATGATGATAATAATAATCTGAGGACAATTCACACAGCGCCATCTAGACCCAAGTTAAGCTAGCTAAAGCTTGTGTTATGAGTACTAGATAACTGATACAAACATATAGATATATATTTATAATATTATTAAGATTAAGATTATATGATCGCCCTCAGACGATTGTACCCTATTCCATAGGGTGCACAATACTGGGGTAGTTCACCCCAGTACGCCCGGGTAAAGAGCGTATGCTCGGGGTCCAGACCCGGCAGGCAAAAAGAGCTCGTATGAGACCACACTCCAGAGTCTAAACTCCAATCTGCATTCCGAATGAGTGGTAGAATCAAAATATAACTATTCAAAAGTGCTTGTAATGAGTTTATTTGAATAAAGACTATTTCTACTTCTATTTCTATTTCCAATAATTTATAGTGAACTAGCTGTACACGCGACTTCGTCCGTGTGGAATTTAAGTTTATTTTTCTGAAATAAAAGTAGCTTAAGTTACTGTTACATTAGCTACCTTGCAAAAAAGTCTCGTCAAAATCGGTCCAGGCTTTTCAGAGATTAGCCGAAACAAACAGACAGATAAAAATTGTAAAATGTTATTTTGGTGTATGTACTGTATTTATATTCGTATGCATGTAGTAAAAAACGGTTATTTCAATATTACAAACAGACACTACAATTTTATTTATATGTATTAGATTACACCGCAATACTTTACTTTACTTTACTTTACTTTACAATGTGGTAGATAAAAAACAAATTGTTGACTATTCAAAAGTGCTTAAATTAAGTTTATTTGAATAAATGATTTTCTATTCTATTCTATTCTATTCTACTTACCATAGACCTCAAAAAAATAGATTTCCGCATTCCTTCTCTATATAAACTTCGCACGGGCCCAATTTTACATTTTGATGTTGTCATATTTGTTTCTATAAACCGCCTTACTTCCGATGGTCGCGGGTTCGATTCTTTTTTTTGTAGCCTTAAATATACTTGTACTGTACTTCCAACCATTACATCACTTTAAAAACTATTATAATGTATTTAAGTAATAAATATGACAATATATATATTTTCTCTACAGTTCTCTTCTGATCTGTTTTTTTTTTTTTGGTTCGGTTTTTCCCTTTTTAGGGAAAGGCAAAAGGACTCAGCCCATACAGCCTACCATACCTTCTGATCTCTATAATATTATATCCTTTTTATTTTATGTCAATATATTTTGGCGCCAAAGTTATTTCACCTTTTTAAAATGGACTACAGGCAACAGAACAAACCCCAACAGTTATAATATTGAGACTATATTCAAAGTGGGATATTTAACAATACCCGTAGTAGAAAGTACAATAGGTACAGTCTATACGGTTTCACCTTGCCATTGTGTTTACCTCTATTGCATGATACTGATATTTTAAAACTTTATCTGTAATTGTAGTTTGTATAATGTGTCTATTTTTTTTAATGGTTGATAATGGAATGGTGCACCCGCCTGCGCTAACGGTATACGCTGGCAGCACCAGTGGAGGATGATAAGATGAGCATGAGGTCAGGTCAGTTAGCCCATCATTATAAATTCAACAATAATTTATCACGATGGTTTCCAGGGGGAACCGCGTGGAGGTCAACCTGACATGGTACATTGCTAGTAATGAGATCATCACTCCACATTACAAACAAACCTCTTTCTCCCCCTAATATGTGTATTAGGTACAGCTATATTATTATGATTATTATCATTTTGTTTTAATTAATAAACTTTAAGAATGCATCACGATGGTTTCCAGGGGAGCCGCGTGGAGGTCAACCTGATATGGTACACTACTATCCACTTTCCACACACATACATTATTACATTAAAGTGTCGTAAGTAACTGTGCCCCATATATTTAGTGAGAAGTATAATGGGTTCTGTATGTACAGATGTGCATGCCAACCCGGGTATACGGGGGTTCGATGCGAGCAGAACATCGACGACTGCGTGTCCCACCGCTGCCAGAATAACGCCACCTGCGTCGACCGCCTCGAGGGCTACACCTGCAAGTGCTCGCCCGGCTACATGGGTCAGTATGCAACATTTTTTTTTCGGACTACTCCAATGCTGTTGGCCGCAGCTGGCCTTTACAGCTTCACCGGACGGTAGGCGAGTATCATGTAGTATGGCGAGTAGTGTATCATAAAAAAATAGAAACTAAAAATTTTGTCTAAATTCTTAAAAAAAAATTTTGGTGTTGGACTACCCCTAACATTTAGGGGGATGAAAAATAGATGTTGGCCGATTCTCAGACCTACTCAATAAGCTCACAAAATTTCATGAGAATCGGTCAAGCCGTTTCGGAGGAGTATGGGAACGAAAACTGTGACACGAGAATTTTATATATAAGATTTTTATTACGAGGTAAATTTATTTATTTACCTGCACACTCTTTGGTGCGCGAAAGTGCGGGCGAGTAAATGCAGATAGTAGTTTTTTTTTATAACAATTACTAATGATGTAATTATTGATCTAAGGCGAGTTCTGCGAGAAGAAGATCCCCTTCTGTACCCCTGAGTTCAACCCGTGCGCTAACGGTGCGCAGTGCACGGACCACGGCAGCCACTACACCTGCTCGTGTCCGAGGGGCTACTCCGGACAGAACTGCACCATCAACCCGGACGACTGCGTCAATCATATGTGCCAGGTATGAGGTCAAGGGTCAAGGGTAGAAACGAGGGGCCAAGGTGGATAAGTGAGGGGTCAAGGGGAGAAGAGAGAGGTCAAGGGGGTGAAGAGAAGGGTCTTGTTTTTAAGAATGATAATGTATTGATGCATCCGTTTGCGTTAACGATATACGCTGGCGAGGTACCAGTGGAGGATGATAAGATGAACGTGGGGTCAGGTCAGTTAGCGCATCGTGGCAAAATACCAGGAAACTATCAGGATGGTTTCCAGGGACCACGTGGAGGTCAACCTGACATGGTACACTGCTAGGAAGGGGGTTATTATACCAAAATACTAACAATCCCCTACCACAGACGAGAAGGGCCAAAGGGGTGAAAAGAGGGGTCAAGAGGGAGAAGAAAAGGGTCAAAGGGGAGAAGTATTATTAGTATTGTACTTTATAAAAGAAAAGGAGCAACTTTTGAAATATACTGTATGACAAGCAGTCTACGACACGAAATACGAAATGCCTTCCGGAAAATAGCACCTAACACAAAAAAATTTAAATATATACATTTTTTTGTTTGTTTAATGTGTGTTTTAAGTTTTCTACTGAATATATATCATTTCATTTCATTTCATATAATTTAAATTAACTTTTTTAATCTAAATATCGTGAAAAGCTGTTAATTGGAAAACGCAGAGATTATTTTTTTAACTATAAGATATCGGATCTTTTATGATATGGTTCTGTTCGCAGAACGGCGCCCGGTGCGTGGACGGCCTGGAGGAGTACGAGTGCGAGTGCGGCGCGGGGTTCGCGGGACGATACTGCGAGGCGGCGCCCCACGCCGCGCTCGGGACATCGCCCTGCGCGCACCACGACTGCCTGCACGGCGTGTGCTACCTGCCGCCCGCCCCCGCACTGCCCGCCCTCGTGAGTACACCCGCCGCCCTCGAGAGCCACCCGTCACCCTCGAGAGTACACCCGACGCTCTCAACAACACACCCGCCGCCCACGTCTGTACACCCGCCGCCCCACGACTCGAGAGTACACCCGACGCTGTTGTCAATTCACCCGTCACCCTCGAGAGTACACCCGACGCTCTCGACAATTCACCCGTCGCCCTCGAGAGTACACCCGACGCTCTCAACAACACACCCGCCGCCCACGTCTGTACACCCGCCGCCCTCGAGAATACACCTGGCGCCCAAGTCAAAAGGTAAGTACACCAATAGCAAGCAGAGCAGCTAATAAGCAAAGCAGTTTTATCGTTAATTTAATAAAAAGATAGTTTTTGTTGTATTATTTAAAAAAAAGCAGATGCAGTCGCGGAATATAGGTAGTGAAATAATAAAAGAGCAGTTTCTGATCCTCAGGACGATATCATGATGGAGAGGCCGGCGCTGGTCGCTGCCAACGAGTACCTCTGCAAATGCGCGCCCGGATACTCTGGTATGTGTCAATATATAGTAACATAATAATAACGTCCAGACACTACTCTCCCTCTCTCTCTCTCTAACATACACTCTCACACACACACACACACACACACACTAATAGTTACACGAACACATATATTAGACACTATTCTCGCTATATATATATTTTTCGTAAATATATTGTTCAAAATCTACCCTGTAACATCGTAAGCACAGATTATTATATTAGAGTCCGTTAGTTTTCTGTTCCCGCGCCTTTGCCCTCCCTTACCTAGTACTGAACTGACCGTACAGCGGCCTTGACGCGCGCGCGCATTGTGTTGTGAATTAAAATAAATTAGAACTATGTTAAACCTACTGTGAAACTGGAAAGCTAGCGAAGATATCTTCGAGACCCTGAAACCCAAGAAATCCGCAGAACCATACAGGTACGTGACAGACGTCATATATATAGTAACATTTTGGTAGCAGAGCGTGGTCTCTCTCTCTCGGACCTCTGGGTTACACACACACACACACACACACTACATATTATACATATTAATACTAAATGTTTCTAAACACTATAACGCGCCGCTTACTAACCTCTCAGTTTTATATATATCCTTTACTCACTTACGGGATAATATTCTGGGGTAAATCAGTCAACGTGCAATCTACTTTCATACTTCAAAAAAAATGTCTTCGTAGAATATATAATGTCAATAGATATGACTCATTGAGAAATGTGTTTAAGGATTTAAAATTTTTAACCTTGACATGTATGTATATATTAGAAATAGCTTTGTTTGTGAAATGTTTGTAAAATAACGGATCATTTTTGTAAAAGGATAGAAATAAAGAGTAATTTAAGATCGCAATATAAATATGATATGTAGGTACATCTGTACCGTTTATTCTTCTAGTTATATGTATAGTAAAAAAACCTACATAATTTAAATAAAAATATTTAATCATTTGCCTGATAGCATCAAGTCACTGGATGCTGGACAATTTGAAAGAACCTTAAAACAATGGTTATTGTGTAAATGCTTTTACAACTTAGATGAATATTACCTTGATGGAGGGGAGTGACAAATTGTTTGATCTACAGTTTTGTTGTAGATATTTTATATATATATTTTTTGGTTTTTGTAATTTGGTTATTTGATGTAATTGTATATTTTAATTTCATATTGTACGTCCGAAATGGATAAACTGGTCGTTTCCATATATGATGTAACACAGTTATAGACAATAAATGCTTATCTTATCTTATCTTATCTTGCCTTATGATTGACTGGTAGAGAACGAGAAAGTGTTAAGTTCGCCATATGTAGGTACATTTATTTATTTATTCTTTTCCACACAAAATTGTATACGCAATGTATTGGACTTAATTGCCTGATGGCATTCTCTACCAGTCAACAGTCGCGTTGATCAGAGATAATAAGGCGGTGCAGTTTATAATTAATATATGAAGAAAAACAAATATAGATAAATAAAGGAAAATAATATTATACATATTATTATATGCAAATATATACATATACATATATAATATACCCCTATAAAATAACATATATAAACAAAATATTTATACAAAACTAAAAAGACTAAAAAGATAACCAACCATATATATATACAAGTAAGGATGTTTTATCTATCGATCCAAACTCACAAACTATATTATTATTGTTACTAGCTGTCCCGGCAAACGTTGTTTTGCCTTAAAATAAAAAAAAAAATAGGGGTGGACTACCCCTAACATTTAGGGGGATGAAAAATAGTTGTTGGCCGATTCTCAGACCTACTCAATACGCTCAAAAATTTCATGAGAATCGGTCAAGCCGTTTCGGAGGAGTATGGGAACGAAAACTGTGACACGAGAATTCTATATATAAGATTTATATATCGTATTTTTGCATTAAAGTTTAAATAAATAAATTATACATAGAAAACGCCCAGACCGATACACACAATTATACTCATGAGTACAAATGTTTGTGCCGTGCGAGGAATCGAACCCGCGACCAGGTAGTAAGGCGGTACACTAACCACTAGACTACCGAGGCCCTCAATTATCATTATATCTATGTTGTATTGTTTTAGGTCGCTTTTGCGAGTACCTCACTTCCCTCACATTCAACCACAACGACTCCCTCGTGGAGCTGGAGCCGCTACACACCACGCCGCAAGCAAATGTCACGTTAGGTGAGTTTTATTATGATATAGCTGTACACGCGACTTCGTCCGCGTGGACTTTAACTTTTTCTAAAATAATTGTAGCCTAAGTCACTCATTAGATCAGCTGACTGTCAAAAAAAGTGCCGTCAAAATCAGTCCAGCCATCAAAACAGCAGTCCATCTCTGAAATGAGATTAGCCGGAACGAATAGACAGACAAAAATAGTAAAAAATGTTATTTTGGTGTATGTACCGTATTTATATTCATATGTATGTAGTAAAAAACGGTTATTTCAATATTACAAACAGACACTCCAATTTTATTTATATGTATAGACTAGACGTTCCCGCGGCTTCGTCCGCGTGGAATTGACTTTATTTTTCTAAAAAAACAATTTTTTTTAAAGTTACTCCTTATTACATCAGCTACCTACCAAAAAATGTCCCCTCAAAATCGGTCCAGCTATTTCAGAGATTAGCCAAAATTAGCAAATATTGTAAAAAATGATATTTTGGTGTATGTACCGTATTTATATTCATATGCATGTAGTAAAAAACGGTTATTTCAATATTACAAACCTACACTCCAATTTTACATTTTTTTCACACTACAGGCAATAATAAATACGGTACATACACCAAAATAACATCTTTTGTCTGTCTGTTTGTTCCGGCTAATCTCTGCAATGGCTGGACCGATATTGACGGGTCTTTTTTTGGCAGATAGCTAATGTAATTAGGAGTAACTTAAGGTACTTTCATTTCAAAAAAATTAACAAATTAAATTAAAAAAAAAAACACTCAGACCAAAATAAATTTAAATTCCAAGTGGACGAAGTTGCTAGTACATCTAGTTACAATAAAATACCAGAGTCTGTTATAAATCTGCCAGAAAAAAGATTTAAATTTCAAATAAAACAGTTCCTTTGCAAAAAAGCTTACTATATAATTGAAGAATTCGTTAACGATAATAATGTTTTTATAGAAAAACTTTAAATCCATAGCACTGACAATATTATCTGATTACACTAATAATGAGTGCGTAGCGACTTCTATGTTGATTATCGCATGCCTCTTACTTGTTATACTGTAATTATTTATATAAAAAAACATCTATTAAAAAGAGCAACACACAAGTTGCTTGCTCATTCTTCTTGTGATGAATCTGCATTCCGAATGAGTGGTAGAATCGAAATATGACTATTCAAAAGTGCATGTAAATGAGTTTATTTGAATAAAGATTATTTCTATTTCTATTTCCATTTCCATTTCTTTCCATTTCTTTCCATTTCCATTTCCATTTCCATTTCCAGTTCCATTTCCATCTTTCCATTTCCATCCATTTCTATTTCCATTTCTTCCATTTCCATTTCCATTTCCATCTCTTTCCATCTTTCTATCCATTTCCATCTCTTTCCATCTTTCCATTTCCATCTCTTTCCATCCATTTCCATTTCCATTTCCATTTCTATTTCTATTTCTTTTAATATCTCTATTTCTATTTCATGATGAGTCTTGTTGGTAGTGTTCAGCACGACACAGCTCCACGGCGTGCTGCTATACGTCGGTGATAACGAGCACCTGGCCGTGGAGCTGTTCAATGGACGCATACGCATCAGCTACGACGTTGGCAATTACCCAACTTCCACCATGTACAGGTAACTTTACTTTATTTATTTACAACCCGACTTGACGACCTCGGTGGTCTAGCGGTCTAGCACACCGCTTTACGACCTATGCTCGCGGGTTCGAGACCTGTTCCTCGGCACAAACATTTGTATTCATGAGTATGATTGTTTGTATCGGTCTGGGTGTTTTCTATGTGTAATATGTATGTATTTACAAAAAAAATCTATGTATTTATATCAGTTGTCTATAATAATCTCAGGACAATTCACACAGCGCCATCTAGTCCCAAGTTCAGCTAGCTAAAGCTTGTGTTATGGGTACAAGATAACTGATACATATACATAGATTTTTTTTCCGTAAATACATACATATTATACATAGAAAATACCCAGACCGATGCAAACAATCATACTCTTGAATACAAATGTTTGTGCCGTGCGAGGAATCGAACCCGCGACCATCGGACGTAAAGCAGTATGCTAGACCACTAGACCATCGAGGTCGTCAAAATGTATGTAAAGTAAGTGTGACGCAGACGAAGTCGCACGGGTCAGTTAGTATATACAATTACCACACAATTGTTACCACTGCCAACAGTTTCGAGATGGTCTCCGACGGCAATTACCACAAAGCTGAACTGCTGGCCGTGAAGAAAAACTTCACGCTGCGTGTGGACGACGGGCCCGCCAGGTCTATCATAAATGAAGGTGATTCTTGATTTATTTTAGTTATTTTTTTTAAATACGAGCTGAGTTTCTTGTCAGTTCTTCTCATCTCGAAATCATTCCGAACTGACGGTACATTTGACAATATACATATAAATAAAGATATTTTGAATTTGAGACCTTGAATTTGAACTTGAATTTGAATATAGATAATTTGAATGTGAGTTTGAGTTTGAATTTGAAGTTGAATTTGAATTTGAATTTGAGTTTGAATTTGAATTTGAATTTGAATTTGAATTTGAATTTGAATTTGAATTTGAATTTGAATTTGAATTTGAATTTGAATTTGAATTTGAATTTGAATTTGAATTTGAATTTGAATTTGAATTTGAATTTTATGTCAGTTTAATAAGTAATCTGTTTATTTATTGTTTTCTTTGTCTTGTGCAATAAAGAGTTTAAATAAATAAAGATACGGTAAACTATATAAATACTTACTATACTTGTTTAAAATTGGAAAAAATATTATTCATAAGCGGATAAAATGTTCTACACGAATTAATGATTTTTGAATTTGACATGTTGTTCAGGGTCTAAGGAGTATCTGCGAGTTGAACGCCCCATGTACCTGGGCGGAGTGCCGGAAGACATCGCCAAGGACGCCTTCTCCAAATGGCATCTCAGGAACATCACCAGCTTCAAAGGTACATAGAGTAGATTCAAAGTTAACACTGTTCACATCTATATTGTTGAAAAATCTGATATTTTAAAAATATTAACAGCATTGTTATTACAAGAATTATTTCATACATATTTTTTACTTGTAATAATAATAATAATAATCATTTATTCAGCATAAAAAAGCGTTCTTTCATACATATTTTTGGGTAACTTGTAATAATAATAATAATAATAATAATCATATATTTTATTATTCAGCATAAAAAAGCGTACAGATAAAAAAGAAAACAAAAACTAATAATTCGCTATGCTGAAAAGACTTCCACTCAGCTGGTGCCGCAGCGTGTCACTACAGCGCTGATTTTCAGTGGAGCCACTTGAAAAAAAAAAGAAATAGCATTCGTGATAAATTGAAATCAAATATCTAAAATGAAGAATCAGTTAAATGGATGAATTATATGTGTGATAAATAGAAGAAAAATATATAAGGATAAAAAAGTATTGATAGAAAGACTTGTGTAATATACTTGAATTAAAATATACTTGCGCAGCGCACGCAACGGAAGCCCTCAAATATGAGTAACTAGCTTTTGCCCGCGGCGTCGCTCGCGTTAATTTATCACCCCTTAGGGGTGGAATTTAACAAAATCCTTCTTAGGGTATGCCTACGTCATAGTAGCTTTATGCATGCAAAGTCTCAGCCCGATCGGTTTATAATTGACAAAGTTTCATACAAACTTTCATCCCGTATTTTATCCCCTTGGGGGTAGAAATAATCAAAATCCTTTCTTAGCGGATGCCTACGTCACAACATCTACCTGCATGCCAAATTTCAGCCCGATCCGTCCAGTGGTTTGGGCTGTGCTGATAGATCACTACGTCAGTCAGTCATCTTTGAGTTATATATATTTAGATTTTCCCCGTTTTTGCACCATTTATCACTGATGCTCCGTTCCTATTGGTCGTAGCGTAATGTTATATAGCTTAAAGCCTTCCTCGACAAATGGATTATCCAACACGAAAATAATTTTTCAATTCGATTCAGTAGTTCCTGAGATTAGCGCGTTCAAACAGACAAACACTTCAGCTTTATAATATTAGTATATATTAATATTTGTTACCATGTAGGGTGCTTGAAGGAGGCTTGGATCAACCACAAGCGTGTGGACTACGTGAACGCAGCGCGCACGCAGCGTACCACCGCCGGGTGCGGCGAGGATGAACCCGCACTACCGCCCGCTAGAGTTGTCACTCTGCAGGAGGACGGCGCCCACACGCAGGTCGGTAACATATGCACTCACCCTGCAGGAGAAAACGCTAACATATGTATTATTGTGTATGTACCATAGAAATGCTCAAACGTAAGGGTTTGATTTTTGACCAAGAAATAATCTTTTTGACCAAGGTTACCTAATAATAAAAATTATCTGTGGCATAGAAAATCTTTTTGAACGAAGTTTACTATTACTTTGTCATATAATTTGTCAAAGAAATATCATAATTGCATTAAATTAGTCTTTCTGACCAAAATCATAAGCGTGTAATTTACCCCAGGGGCGGGCAGCATCCCCATCGTCATTTTAAATTAATATAAATCTTTGTAGTATTTTTAACGAAATAGTTTACATATCTAAAATATTAGTCTACTTCAATCCGTGTATGGTATGTTGTGTGGGAGCGCCAGTATTTTGACCAAGTGCTAGTCTGCTTCGACCCTTGTGTGGGAGCGCTAGTATTTTGACCAAGTGCTAGTCTGCTTCGACCCTTGTGTGGGAGCGCTAGTATTTTGACCAAGTGCTAGTCTGCTTCGACCCTTGTGTGGGAGCGCCAGTATTTTGACCAAGTACTAGTCTGCTTCGACCCTTGTATGGGAGCGCTAGTATTTTGACTAAGTGCTAGTCTGCTTCGACCCTTGTGTGGGAGCGCCAGTATTTTGACCAAGTACTAGTCTGCTTCGACCCTTGTGTGGGAGCGCTAGCATTTTGACCAAGTGCTAGTCTACTTCGACCCTTGTATGGGAGCGCTAGTATTTTGACCAAGTGCTAGTCTGCTTCGACCCTTGTATGGGAGCGCTAGTATTTTGAGCAAGTGCTAGTCTGCTTCGACCCTTATATGGGAGCGCTAGCATTTTGACCAAGTGCTAGTCTGCTTCGACCCTTATATGGGAGCGCTAGCATTTTGACCAAGTGCTAGTCTGCTTCGACCCTTGTATGGGAGCGCTAGTATTTTGACTAAGTGCTAGTCTGCTTCCACCCTTGTGTGGGAGCGCCAGTATTTTGACCAAGTACTAGTCTGCTTCGACCCTTGTGTGGGAGCGCTAGCATTTTGACCAAGTGCTAGTCTGCTTCGACCCTTGTATGGGAGCGCTAGTATTTTGACCAAGTGCTAGTCTGCTTCGACCCTTGTATGGGAGCGCTAGTATTTTGAGCAAGTGCTAGTCTGCTTCGACCCTTATATGGGAGCGCTAGCATTTTGACCAAGTGCTAGTCTACTTCGACCCTTGTGTGGGAGCGCTAGTATTATGACCAAGTACTAGTCTGCTTCGACCCTTGTGTGGGAGCGCTAGTATTTTGACCAAGTGCTAGTCTACTTCGACCCTTGTGTGGGAGCGCTAGTATTATGACCAAGTGCTAGTCTGCTTCGACCCTTGTGTGGGAGCGCTAGTATTTTGACCAAGTACTAGTCTGCTTCGACCCTTGTGTGGGAGCGCCAGTATTTTGAACAAGTACTAGTCTGCTTCGACCCTTGTGTGGGAGCGCTAGTATTTTGACCAAGTGCTAGTCTACTTCGACCCTTGTGTGGGAGCGCTAGTATTATGACCAAGTACTAGTCTGCTTCGACCCTTGTGTGGGAGCGCTAGTATTTTGACCAAGTGCTAGTCTGCTTCGACCTGTGTATGGAATATTGTATGGGAGCGTGTGTGTGTGTGTGTCAGGACCCGTGCGTGCCGAACCCGTGCGCGCGCGGCGGGCGCTGCGTGCGCGAGCAGGGCTCCGCCTCCGACTACACGTGCCGCTGCCGCGCCGGCACCGCCGGGGCGCAGTGCGAGCTCAGGGCCTCCGTCGGTACGTGGGGTATTCTATTCAAAAAACGTTTATTTATGACATATTTGTGTATTCTAATTATCGGAATGTAAATGTAACATAATCAAGGATGGACGGGGAGGAGGGTCACGGATACGGGGGACAAGGATAGCGGGGTTTTTTTTATGGATGATATTGGAATGATGCACCCGCATGCGCTAACGGTTTACGCTGGCGGGGCACCAGTGGAGGATAAGATGAGCATGAGGTCAGGTCAGTTAGCACATCGTGACAATTCACCAAGAATTTATCACGATGGTTTTGCCGGGGGAACCGCGTTGAGGTCAACCTGAAAGGGTACATTGTTGGTAATAAAACTACATTACTAACAATCCCCTTTCGAGGTTGAAGGGGTCGGGTATGGTGTGGGGTCAGAAATAGTGGGGGCAAATCAGACCCCATTCCATGATCTAACATTAAAAAAAAATATTTTTTACAGGTGGCGCCCCAGTAATAAGTCAGAGCAAGCTGCCACCACGCAAGCAGCCCTTCAGTAACGTGCAGGCATCGCCAGGTAACATATTTTTCATTCAATTGGTGTTTAGGCTGTGAATATACGATTATTCTGTAGCCTTTATCTAAACTTCATCAAAAATCTTTTATTCATGGCATATTTTAGTTGCTTACACAAATTTAACAAAGAAACATTTCATGTTAAACAAAACAAATCAAATCATATTTCTTTAGGAATAGAATGGAAAAGAAAAATTCATTATTTAAATGAATAAAGATTTTTCTATTCTATTCTATTCCTAACCAAAAAGATAACCAACCATATATATATACAAGTAAGGATGTTTTATCTATCGATCTAAACTGACAAACTTTATATTATTATTGTTACTAGCTGTCCCGGCAAAAGTTGTTTTGCCTTAAAATAAAAACAAAATTAGGGGTGGACTACCCCTAACATTTAGGGATGAAAAATAGATGTTGGCCGATTCTCAGACCTACTCAATACGCTCACAAAATTTCATGAGAATCGGTCAAGCCGTTTCGGAGGAGTATGGGAACGAAAACTGTGACACGAGAATTTTATATATAAGATATACATATACTATATATAAATTGTGAGCAAGAGATACTTTAGAAAGCACTCACCTTGTACTGCGAGGATTTTTTATGGATGATAATGGAATGGTGCACCCGACTGCGCTAATGGTTTACGCTGGCAGCACCAGTGGAGGATGATAAGATGAGCATCAAGTCAGGTCAGTTATCACATAGTGACAAATTTACCAATAGTTTATCACAATGGTTTCCAGGGAAGCCGCGTGGAGGTCAACCTGACATGGTACATTGCTAGCAATAAGATCATCAGTCCACATTACTAACAATCCCCTTTCCTCTCTGTACTGCGGGAATTGCCGGTTTGGTTTCAGCCAGGGTTCACAGAACTTCGGGTTTGGTCAGAACCCACCTTTTGAACGGGTTACCTGTTTACCGCCGAAACCGACCACAGGTGCACTCCAGTATCATCCTCTTGCGATTTTATTTTGTAAATGAACTAATAATATAATTTATTAAATAAATACGCATAAAAATCGACAATTACGAAAATTACGACGACGATAATCCGAACGCTTTTAAAACTACTATACGACCCATAAACTAAACACCGTAAAAAAACCTACGTACTAACGTAAGTTTTTTTTTTACGGCGTTGGATACAGTATTCTTCTTGCGTTAGTGTTGCCGTGCGTATCACTGTGAATAGTGAATAATTAGTATTAAATCTCAGATATGCCCATATCCCTGATATTTCATTCTATATTAATAATAATAATTATTATTTATGTACCAAAATTGTTTCAATACAATCACAGTAGCAGATTCCTACACTAGGCTGGGCCTGTCCTGTAGGAACCAGAATACAAAATAACTTCTAATAATTTTAAGTCTAAAAGTACAATTTGCTAAGCTAAAATATCCTAAAACTATCTACCAAAACTAAGATAACTAAACTAATATAAAACTAAACTAATATAGTAATGTGTGATGTGGCGAGTGAATATGTGTAAGTGTAAGTTGTATGTGTGCAGGTGGTGCATGAGTATGGTTGTTGTGTTTTATGGGATTACTGTGAGTATGTTTTCAGAATCATTTAACATCATTAAGCTCCTAGTATTGTTAAAATTACATTGTTTTTCAGCATCTCCGGCCGTGAAGCAAGAGCTGCCCGCGGAGCATGCGCCCACTGCAGGGGGCTGCAGGAAGGTATGTTCTGTGATATACAAGAATAATCACCATACAAACAATTTTTCCCAGGACAATTTACACAGCGCCATCTAGTCCCAAGCTAAGCAGAGCCTGTGTTATGGGTACTAGACAACTGATATAAATAAATAAATAACCCTGGACAATTAACACAGCGCCATCTAGTCCTACGGTAAGCAGAGCTTGTGTTATGGGTACTAGACAACTGATATAAATAAATAAATAACCCTGGACAATTAACACAGCGCCATCTAGTCCCACGGTAAGCAGAGCTTGTGTTATGGGTACTAGACAACTGATATAAATAAATAAATAACCCTGGACAATTAACACAGCGCCATCTAGCCCCACGGTAAGCAGAGCTTGTGTTATGGGTACTAGACAACTGATATAAATAAATGAATAACCCTGGACAATTCACACAGCGCCATCTAGTCCCACGGTAAGCAGAGCTTGTGTTATGGGTACTAGACAACTGATATAAATAAATAAATAACCCTGGACAATTAACACAGCGCCCTCTAGTCCCACGGTAAGCAGAGCTTGTGTTATGGGTACTAGACAACTGATATAAATAAATAAATAACCCTGGACAATTAACACAGCGCCATCTAGCCCCACGGTAAGCAGAGCTTGTGTTATGGGTACTAGACAACTGATATAAATAAATGAATAACCCTGGACAATTCACACAGCGCCATCTAGTCCCACGGTAAGCAGAGCTTGTGTTATGGGTACTAGACAACTGATATAAATAAATAAATAACCCTGGACAATTAACACAGCGCCATCTAGTCCCACGGTAAGCAGAGCTTGTGTTATGGGTACTAGACAACTGATATAAATACATGGATACATTTTTTTGTAAATAAATACATATTATATATAGTTAATAATATTATAATAGTTAATATTAATAAGTTTACAACTCTATTTAAAAATGCAATAAATAATATATAAAAGAGAAGAAAAAAAAGGACAAATATCCCCCTCCGATCGATCCCTCGTCTAATTCGAATGGTGATCGAAATTACGACGGTCTGAGGTTCGAACCCCTAGCGGTCATTACAACCAGACCAGCGGCGTAGCTACCTAGGAGCTAGACGAGGCAGTGCCCCGGGACCCTCGAACCCTTAACACAAAATCTCGATGGAACTGAACTTTTGAAAATTACTCCCATTTATAACCAGATCAGTGGCGTAGCTACTAGGGGCTAGGCGAGGCAGTGCCCCGGGACCCTCGTACCCTTAACACAAAATCTCGATAGAACTGAACTTTTGAAAATTACTCCCATTTACAACCAGACCAGTGGCGTAGCTACCTAGGGGCTAGAAGGGGCAGTGCCCCGGGACCCTCGTACCCTTAACACAAGATCTTGATGGAACTGAACTTTTGAAAATTTCTCCCATTTTCAAAATAAATATAACAGGTTGCAACCCAACTTCAATGATGGCAACTCAGTTGAGAGAAATTGGAAAGTTATACCTTCAGAATTCTCCTAAATTCTTTCTGTGGGCTGGCAGTGTTGTCAATTAGACGGATAGCGATATGTGTGTTTGAATAAAACTGTAATATAGGGCTCCATTGTTAGAAATAGAAAATCATTTATTCAAATAAACTTAATTTAAGCACTTTTGAATAGTCATAAAAATTTTTTTAATCTACCATACGTTCGGAAAGCTGTCTCATCACAAGAAGAACGAGCAAGAAACTTGTGTGTTGCTCTTTTAAATAATCCTTGTAAGTTTACATTTACAAGTCGAAACGTGTGAATACAAACTACCAACCAGCACTAATTTATTAGGGTCAAATATAAATATACAATAAGATTAAATCAGTAGTGATTAGAGCAGACCAGTCCCTACGAGCATTGTACTATTTGATTTGCCCCAGGGCCCTTGGTTACCTAACTACGCTACTGATCCCGACATAATTGATTAAAAATATGTCATAATAAGCGACATGTCACTGTAAGTGAAGTCATTATATCCGACTGTTATTTAAAGAATTTTATATGAAAACAAAACTTACTACTAATAATCGGTTAGTCGATATAGGCCGAGTCGTATTAAACGGATTTACTGTATATGTTATTATGGTATATTTATAAAAAATTTTAAACTATGTCTTATTCTTTGTAATATATATTCAGGAGGCCACTCGAGAGTTCATCTCTGAAGGCACGTGCAGCAGCCGCCGCGCGGTGCGGGGCGCGCGCTGCACCGGGGGCGACCGCGGGGGGGCGCCGCGCGCGGCCTGCTCGCGCGGACTCTGCTGCGCGCCCAGGAAGACCAAGAAGAGAAAGGTGAGTCCGATTTTTTTTTGTTCTTAAGAGAAAGTCAAAGAAACTATGTCTATACAGCTTTAACATATTTGTTCAAGTTTATAGAAAATATATTAATTTTTATAAAATATAATCATTTTTGTAGCTAGAAACTGATTTTTGAGGCTGTTGATAGAATATAAATAAATAGGCCATCAAATTTTGTAAAAATGTTACCCTTAAGGGGGTAAAATAAAATAGGGGATGAAAGATTTTAGATAAATTCGTCATTTTTGAAGCCAGATCTATGAAATTTTTTCCACTAGCTTTTTTGGGTTAGTTTATAAAATACCCCACTAATATTATAACTGTGAAAGTAACTTTATCTGTCAGTCTCACTTACACGGTAAAACTACGGAACCAATTTGAATGAAATTTGCTACACAGATAGTCTAGACCCTGAGAAAGGACATAGGCTACTTTTGAATGCGATAGAAGGGTTGTAAGGGGTTGAAAGAGTTATGTATGGAAGTGACGTCATTTTTGAAGATGAAACAATGTAACTTTTTCATTTGGCTTTTATTGGGTTAGGTCATTAAATATTTTTTCATTCTCAAGGTCAAGGGCACTATTTTCGCGGACGAAGTCGCGGGTACAGCTAGTAAGCTAAAGTTATTACTGTAAAGTTTTATCAAAATCCGTTACATTTTGCGTGAAAGATTAATAAATAAACATCCATCCATACATACTCACAAACATTCACGTATTTATTGTTATAAATAGTAAGATTATAAAGAAAATATTAATAAAAATACGCCGACCACAAATGAGAAGAAGAAAGAAGAACCTTAGAAGAACCTTCGCTGCCCCCTATTTTTGATAGCGATTTTAATTTACATGGCAAAACAGCGTTTCCGAGGACAGCTAGTTACAAATATGTTTTCTACCTTCAAATGCGATTTCCATGTTGATTATCGCATGCCTAAACCTTGTTAATGTGTATTTACTTAGAATAACTTTTATTTAAAAGAGCAACATCCAAGTTTCTTGCTCGTTCTTCTTATGATGTCTGCGTTCCGAACAAAAAAGTAAGACTATTCAAAAGTGCTTGTATTAAGTTTATTTGAATAAAGATTATTTCTATTTATATTTCAGATCCGGCTAGTATGTGCGGACGGTACACGCTACACCAAAGAAATAGAAATAGTGCGCAAATGTGCGTGCAGTAAAAAGTGTTCCCGCCAAACCAGCCCTTTCTTACATTAGATATCCATCCTACATCTTAATTCATAACACAACTACTATAGTATATAAAACCTGCCACAGATTATAACCGCCAAAATATATTAAAATCATTGACAGATCATAACTAAACCGCCACAGATTAAAAACCGCTAAAATACACTAAAGACATTGACAGAAACCCGCCAAAATGAATTAAAAATATTGACAGATCATAACTATAAAAACCCGCCAAAATATATTAAAAACTTTGACAGATCATAACTATAAAAAACTGCCACAAATTAAAAACCCGCCAAAATATACTAAAAACATTGACAGATCATAACTGTAAAAATCCACCACAGATTTAAAACCCAGCCAAAATATACTGAAGAAGTTGACAGGTTAAAAAAGCAAAAAGTTTAATGCCATACAGCGTTATTTTCAGCAGATGAAACGAAGTTGATGCATATTTGGTATTAATTAATACTAAATAAAATAAGTATAAAACCCATAGATTCATCTTAAAATGAGATTTTTATAATTTTAATGGCATCATACAATTATTAAGAATTTGACTTATTCTAAATAATAAAAAAATATCTTAATAGAATTATTTTATTTGTGTAATCAAGTGTAGTAATAGATCTTTCAAGGGTTGACTTCAAAATTCATAATGAAAAATCATTTTTTTAATATCATATTTTATACTATATAACACAAGGAATTAGTTAATAAACATTTTATATTTCTTTTTAATTCATCTATATTTGTTACAATTAGACGTCCACACAGAGTAAATCTAGACCTAGAGACTTTCGCGCCATTTAATGTTAATGGTTCCATTTTTGTAAAATAGATCATGTATCATCTCAAATTTAGAGTAGTTAATAAAAACCCCTTGTACCAATAACACATAGACAATAATCACAATGAATAAGTAAATGTTTTCTTAATAAATAAATACTGGGCAAGCATTTGTCTTTGTCGTGTAGAACTGTTATCTTCGAAATTTAAAACTTGAAATTCATTTTTGGAACAGTAATGAAGGCTTGGGTACACGAGAGCGAGATATAATACAGAACTTGTATTGTCTCTCTCGGAATGTGGAATTACATGCTTCTCAAGAAACGTAACTGTGCAAAGAATAACATTATCGTATGTTAATAAAATTAAGTTTTGAAAATCACACACATCTAAAAAGAGTATATTAAAGTTTATTAAAGGTCAGCAACAGCAACAGCCCTGGTGTTTCAGGCGTCAAAGGCTACGGTAACCGTTTACCATCAGACTTGCCGTATGCTTGCTTGCTACCATTGTGGTATAAAAACATACGAATTTTATTCAAACACATCAATTCTTCTATACTTTTCTAGTAATGAAATTCAAGTTTTTTTTTCTGTGTAAGTGTAAGGAAGTGTAGTAGATGACCATAATGTATCGAATTTATGGATTTTAAGATTATACAGACATGTAGTCACGGCCTAACACGTAGCTGATGTAGACGGACCTAGGTGCCGCGAAAACTGATAAAATAACCTCACTTTTAAGGGATCTAGTTATATTTATGGTTAATATTGAAAATTGCATATAAAAATTACGAATTTTTTTTAATTGAACTATTGCAAATTCTTTATCTTTTCTGTTGAAAAGCATAGACAGGAACCGCATACAGCTATTAATAGTTATAAATTAATAATGGTACTATTTTTTTTAACAAGATCAAGGCAATATGCAGTTATATATTTTATAGCATATTCAAAGGACATACGTTGTTGAATCCGTATTCTTTTTCAATCTTTAAAACAAAACCATTTGCTAATACATTTAGTAATATGCTAAGGGAATATTGTTAAATTAAATTCTCTACATATAAAATGATTAAATTACTAAATATAATAATACCATTCGTATATGTACCCAACATCTTACTTAATACAATATATACAAAATTAGTATTAAATTATATATCTAATATAAACTCTAAATAATTAAGTTTTTTTACTCAAATATTATTTAAAGTAGAGACGCAAATACACTATGTACCTAATGGATTAATTTTAATCGGATTATAATATTTTGGCATAATATACTTCGATATCTTAGCCGAATGTACCTACGCAAATAAAAAAAAAATAAAGGAAGCCATTATTTCTTTTAACAATAAATTATGTGTTCATTTGATGTAATTATAAAGTATTTATTATTATTATTGTATTTATAGTTGTTTATTTAAGTTTAGGTTTTAATATTTAAGCATATTTTATAACGATTTGAATATTTTATTTATAAATGATTTCAATTGTTTTGTCTCCATAATGGCGGATACGGAAAGGAAATGTGAATCAAAATTTGTTTTCTTTTTTAAATTAGAAACAAATTTTAAAATATCATTATACTATTTTTAAAAAGCCATATAAGCCATATCATATTTATTTGTTTGCTATTTACCAATACGAATACAAAAATATAAAATGTTCAACTTTTGTTTTATAACCATTATTTTGGAGGTAAAACTATTTTTAAAAATCGAATAATTTTTTTACATCAATTATTTCACGGCTCTAGACACGTGTCTATATTTTAGTTAACTCATCGAAATACCCCTATTCTTGCCAGCTCTCTCGTCTATGATACAATTTACATGTATTTAAGATAATATAGTTGTTAAATATATTTACACGAGAAACCCTCAAACCAAACATGTGTATTTTACAATTTTACACGCTGCCGTAGTTTTAAAAGTTTCTAATTGAAATCAAACTATATTAATGAATGTGAAGGAAGCTAATATTTGAAATAAGTAATTATTGTACCGTCATATTATAATGTATTACTATATAAGTGCGTTATAATGGTTAAAACGCTCGGGAATATCAGCCCGAGCTGAAGGCAAAGGCGTAATAAATACGCACGTATATTTACGTTTTTCAACACACTTGAGTTTAAATAAACTCAGCCTTTATGGTTGAGTTTATTTACTGTGTAGCACATTGTTACTTTCCCGCCGTTTTTCTTTTTTAAATCGGTGACTTCGAATTTGATTTTGAAAAAAATATATCAAGCAGTGCTGTTATGGAATATAACCTCACTATTTGCGTTTATAACGCACGCGTGTATTATGAACTGATTTATATATAAAACAGGTGAAATTGGATCCATTTTACGAGCAAGTGTGTTGAAAATAAATTAGTTGCATTAAGTTGACAGTGTCCAGCTACGATAACTTCATTATTCATATCACGCCGTTTTCTTTACTGAGAACATGTTTTGTAAAAATATATAACTTTTATGCATTTTTGTTGCAAAAGCTTTAGGCGTTATTGTAAATTTATTAGAAATAATTCTATTATTAGTGTATAAGCATATTTTACGCGTTTATTTTATGCATTCCGTATTTATTCTTATTTCTACCAAATTAGTAGAAATTATGGTAACATTGTAAACAACGCATTTATCGACCTAACTTATTATGTCAGTATTAAAGATTTTATTATTATAATGCAATTTATAGGAGAATCTATCAGGAATCTGTTTGGAACACTGCCATTTTGTCTTACAACCAATGTTGCCATGTCAAATAAATAATAGTTTTTGGTAGATTTTTCTTAAATGTATGGTAGTGTAAGTAAATGTTTAAGATGTATTCGAAACGACGCGAGATAGTTTTCGTAATGTTTCGTGTCGTGTCGGCTGCGCCGTTATCGATTAAGCTTTAAGTTATGTACCTAGATGTGTTGCTACCGAGTGATGTGCCGCCCGGCGTTGCATGCGCTTTTTATGGAATAACTATAAATAATATTGTAATAAAATATGCCATTTATAATTTATTTGATGTAATAAAAGACGATGTTAGATAAAAGTTGTCGTGTTTTATTTTATATGTCCTAATCATTTATATTTATATAAATGATGATAATATCAAAATATCTTTATTCATGTAGGTCTATTACAGACTCTTATGATATGTCAAATCTACCGTCAGTTCGGAGTGCTTCCGACCTAAGAACTGACAAGAAACTCTGCACGTATTCTTTTCAAATAAATATTGTACATAATAATAATAATAATAATCTCAGGACAATTCACACAGCGCCATCTAGACCCAAGTTAAGCTAGCTAAAGCCTGTGTTATGGGTCCTAGACAACTGATACAAATACATAGATAATTTTTTTTTTTTCGTAAATACATACATATTATGCATAGAAAATATCATACTCATGAATACAAATGTTTGTGCCGTGCGAGGAATCGAACCCGCGACCATCGGTCGTAAAGCGGTATGCTAGACCGCTAGACCACCGAGGTCGTCTATACATACATACATACATGTTTACAATAATACAGATTCGTGTTTAAATTCAATTTGTGAGAATATAGTTACCACCAGCATATGCTTTGTTATTTCTCTCAATATCTCCTCAGGATAGAGTTTGAACTTTCCAAAGGAGATATTTCGTTTATGCATGAGTGGGCTACAACCACAGGATGTGTAGTGGCGTTTCCTCTTCAGTTTAGCAAAATTAACCTCCCCTTAGCTATATAGTTAGCGACGTATCAAGTCGTCGACTTGACACCGTTCCTGGAAACCGTCGTGATAAAACCCTTGGTGAATTTGTCACGTGCTAACTGGCCTGAGCTTATGCTCATCTTATCATCCTCCACTGGTGCCCCGCTAGCGTAAACCGTTCGCGCAGGCGTGCATGAGTCTACTTTCTAGTACCATGGGGAGGAAGGGTATTGTTAGTAGTGTGGACTAATAACCCCATTGCTGGCAATGTACCATGTCAGGTTGATCTCCACGCGGTACCCCCTGGATCATGACAAATTTGGTCACTGGTGAATTTGCCACTATGTGCTAACTGACCTAACGTCATCTTATAGTCCTCCACTGGTGCCCCGCCAACGTATACAGTTACCGCAAGCGGGTGCACCAATTACATTATCAAACTTTGTAGTACCAAAATAAAAAAACACAAATTATATTCATACACTATGTACCTAATGGATTAATTTTAATCGGATTATAATATTTTGGCATAATATACTTCGATATCTTAGCCGAATGTACCTACGCAAATAAAAAAAAATAAAGGAAGCCATTGTTTCTTTTAACAATAAATTATGTGTTCATTTGATGTAATTATAAAGTATTTATTATTATTATTGTATTTATAGTTGTTTATCTAGATCTTATGTCTAGGTTTTAATATTTAAGCATATTTTATAACGATTTGAATATTTTATTTAGAAATAATTTTAATTTCGATCTGGCTAATGATATCAATAGGTTTGTCTCCATTATGGCGGATACAGAAAGTAAATGGAAATTGTTTTTTTTTAATTTAGAAACTAATTTTAAAATATCATTATACTATTTCTAAAATGCCATATTATATTTGTTTGTTAACCAATACGAATACAAAAATATAAAATGTTCAATGTGAAATTTATAACCATTATTTTGGAGGTAAAGCTATTTTTAAAAATCGAGAATCTTTTTTATATCCTTTATTTCACGACTCTACTCGTCATCTTATAGTCCTCCACTGGTGCCCCGCTAGCGTATACAGCTGACGCAAACAGGTGCACCCATTACATTATCAAACTTTCTAGTACCAAAATAAAAAAACACATACTTTAAAATATATATTTATTTTCATAATAATTTGTACGTAATACTATTCTCATTTACAATATCATACATAATTAACTATATTATGTACATACTAAGGCCGATCCAGTAATTACAATACTCATTCACCCATCAGGCCCGCCTTAACACCTCAGGCGATCAGTTAACATAGAAAACCCATTGTGCTAAGGGGGCATCTATAAATTACGTCACACATTAGTGTGGGACACAGGGTGACAAAAAGGTGGTAAACATAAATTACGTCACACATTAGTGCGGGACACAGTGTGACAATAGAGGTCATCCATAAATGACGTCTTATGTTAAAGTGGGAGGACATTGTAGCATTGTGTGACAAAAAGGTGGTAAATATAAATTATGTCACACAAAATGAGGCGTATAGTATCTGATTTGTCACATGGGAGTATCAATAAATTACGTTACACGTTACTGACGGACATAGTGTGACAAAAGGGGGTCCCAAATTTCATGACATCACTTCCAAATTCATATCTTAATAATAATATAAACGCGAAAGTTTGTGAGTTTTGTAGTTTGTTACTCTTTCACGCAAAAACTACTATTATTATTATTATATATTATTATTATTATTATTTGGATAATATTAGGAAAAAACACTATGTGCCACACTAGGGAAGGGGAGTCTCGTAAGCTGTGACAAGGACGGGACAAGATATCTTAAAACCATTCAATTTGTGAACCCCCAAAACTATAGCGTATGTATGCACCGCCGTCTTAAACTAGGCTGGGGCCTTTGGGCACACAAGAATTTGGGTCCCTTGGGCACACAAGAATTTGAGACCCTTGGGCACACAAGAATTTGGGGCCCTTGGGCACACAAGAATTTGGGGCCCTTGGGCAAACAAGAATTTAGGGCCCTTTTGGAAAATAAAAAAGCTTCTTAGGTAAGAACATAGGAATAGGCGAAGTAATCGGTATAATGGCGTAGTATATGCCTTGTAAATACCTTCTGATAACATTACTGATTTGAATTTTTGAAAAAAAGTGTAGTGTGCCCGACAAAAATCTTTAATGTGTGAGAAAAATTGTCCCCACTGAGAATGGGGGCCCTGAGGCACGGGCCCCGTGTGCCCTTATGGTAAAGACGGTATTGTATTTATGGACTCACATTGGTTACCTTCACACGATACGTTTCACGATTCAGCTGATATGAAGGTCGAAAAAGGACTGGTCGCACAGTCGATTCTTTTCGGACTATAATACTGCCGCAGCTGGCCTTTACAGCTTCACCGGACGATAGGGAACGAGTGCAGATGGCACTCCAAACCAAAGGAAGGACTTATGGAGCGGCTGAAGGACAACTTCCGCCTGACGGATACGACTTTAGTCTGAGGGCACCACTAGGGGTTCGAACGTCGGCTCAGGCCGTCGTAATTTCGATCCCCGTTTGACTTTGACGGGGGATCGATCGGGGGCGCGCAGTCGTGTGTGCTTGCATTTAACTATTTCTTGCTCTTGTGAATCTCGTATGCGCGTATGTTTGTTTGTTATTCCACTTTAACGAAAGAAGCGTACATGTAAAGACTTGCTATTAATACTATCATGTTAGGACATCTGTAATAATCGCTAGTAACGTCAAATTAGCATCAAAACATTCTCCATTATTTCACTATTAACACGTTGAAGACCGCATGCCCAGCGGTGGGCTACTCTACAACGAAACAACACGTGGGCACTTTAATTTCAAATGTAGGTGTTAAATAATGTCTACCTCAAATTATTGTACACTCAAAACATATTTAAAAATAATATATGTAATTAACAATAAACGAAATTCCGGTCCCTATGTGAGATATAAGATCTTACAATGCGATCTTCAACGTGTTAACCTATACACACTTGTGTACAGTCCGACCGCTCAGTTTGCGTTTCTGACAGGTCGGAATCGAATCGATGTAACTTTGAACTGACGTACAATTCACGGCAAAAATTTTTGTCCTATTAACGAGTGATAACATTAAACATTTACTAACTATTACAACTTACAATAAACGTAATAATTTCGTACTAAATTCTAAAAACAATAGATTTTTCAAATTCAAATTCAAATTCAAAAATCATTTATTCATGTAGGACATTTTAGCCGCTTATGAACGTCAAATTTTTACATTATAAATTTATTTTTTCCCTACCGTCCAAAAGCCAAACCACATGTAACTGCGCCATTTCAAGGTTATGTCAACTGTTTTTGTGGAGATGTGACCAAATAACCTTAAAACAGCGTAATTTGATGTGATTTGACTTTTGAAAACTATGTACGTACGTCTGTTCAAAGTTACATCGCCCGTTTGATTCCGACCTGTCAGAAACGCAAACTCTGAGCAGCCGGACCTTACAAGGTCGGGGTTAACACAAAAACACCCACAAACAATCATACTTATGAATACAAACGTTTGCATCGTTCTAGAACCGAACTCTACCTTTGGTGACACACGAAAATGTGCTCTACCACCACGAGATAGAGGTTAGATCGGAATGGAGATCTCTCCATAAGGCTGTTAATAATTTAAAAAAATATGAATAATATAAAAAAATCAATTATTACTCAATATAAAGGCATTACAATAATAGGTCAATATTTACAAAGTTACAATAATTAAAAATAATTTGTGTTTACAAAAATAATTACCCTATGATATAACTGACATAATGCGCCGACCCCAAATAATGGGGTAAAGGCAAGGCGATTATGATGATGATGATGATGATGATGATGATACATAACAGAATTATAGTAAAAAAATATTGTACAATACAGTTGGTTAGAAAAAACATTTATGTATAAATGATCTTAGACCATGAAAACATTTTTTTTTTGTAGAATAAGAGGCCACCCATAAACCGTCACACCAGATCCGTGTTTTTTTTTTTACTTTGTCACATTTGTTACTCTCCAATCCCCTAGTGTGACATGACATGTCTTGCAATTTTACTAATTGCTGAAATACTTTTAGGTATTTTGTTAGAAGTTTAAATTTCGCTTTAATTCTTAGATATTTGATATAGAAATGTGACATCACGAAATTTAGAACCCCCAAACCTCCCTTTGTCACACTCTACTGCTCTTAACGTGTGATGTTTAATACTTAGTGATTATATTTAGAAATGTCACATCATGAAATTTAGAACCCCCTGACCCCCCTTTGTCACACTCTATTGCTCTTAACGTGTGATGCTTAATACTTAGTGATTATATTTAGAAATGTCACATCATGAAATTTAGAACGCCCTGACCCCCCTTTGTCACACTCTATTGCTCTTAACGTGTGATGTTTAATACTTAGTTATTATGTTTAGAAATGTCTTATCACGAAATTTAGAACCCCTGACCCCCTTTGTCACACTCTATTGCTGTTAACGTGTGATGTTTAATACTTAGTGATTATATTTAGAAATGTCACATCATGAAATTTAGAACCCCCTGACCCCCCTTTGTCACACTTTATTGCTCTTAACGTGTGATTCATTTATGGATGGCCTCTACAACCAAATATTTATATTTAGAGAATACATAATATTCACTTTCAAAGTAAATGCTTCTTTAAATGTGATGCATTAAAGTAAATTATACATTAACAATATTGTGAAACCAATTTCATATTATAAATTATATAATATATTGAATTTTAACCGACACTTCGTCTGGTCGAAGCTTTCAACCCTATTTCACCCCTTATTGTAATATTTTTCTTAGTAACTGTTCTTGTGATATAATCCAGGGATCAGCATCACGGGGGCCCCGTGATGCTCATCCTTAATTTCACCCCTTTCCAGATAATTTTCTGTGATAAAAAAATATGTCCATCTTTGTGATATAATCCAGGGATGAGCAACACGCGGCCTTTCATCCCTAATTTCACCCCTTTCCAGATTATTTTCTGTGGTAAAAGATATATTCATCTTTCTGATATAATCTACGGATGAAAAACACGCGGCCCGCAGGCCTCTTGCGGGCCGTTAAACATATTTCTGCGGCCCGCAAGCATTTCTTTCCAATGTCATGAATACTGATTTTTATTATACGTTTTACAACTAAGAACATATCGTAAATAATGTTTTGGTGTTTTTTATAGCATAGGGGACAAACGAGCTTGCTCACCTGATGGTAAGTGACCACCACCGCCCATGAGCACATGACACTAGGGAAATAGCAAGTGCGTTGGTCTTTTAAGAAGGAACAAGCTCTTGAAGGTTGCAATATCGTATCGGTTCGGAAATACCATTAATCTGATGTGTGATTAGAATTATTTATGTACTATTCAACAGTGATGTGGCTCGTACAAATCCGGCTCCAGGCGTCGAACCCGCACCCGTTGTCGGTAGTGATACTCCTTGAGGTACGCGCGCATCCGCGCCGGTAGGGGCAACTTCTCAACACCTGCAAATAACAGAGATTGTAACTTTTATTTTTACGTTTGTGTCAAAATGGGCTCGACGACCTCAGTGGTGTAGCGGTTTGGCATCTCACTTTACTTCTATTGGTCGCAGGTTCAAATTCAAATTCAAATTCAAAATATCTTTATTCATGTAGGTCTATTACAGACTCTTATGATATGTCAAATCTACCGTCAGTTCGGAATGATTTCAAGATGAGAAGAACCGACAAGAAACTCAGCTCGTATTCTTTTCAAATAAATGTTGTACATGTTTACAATAATACAGATTCATTTTTAAATTCAAATTTGTGAGAATACAGTGACCACCAGCACATGCTATTGCAAAAGCAAAAAGTCTAATCAGTGTTCGTAACCCGAACAGACCAGTCCCCACAAGCAGCACCCTGCTTGAGGAGACTGTTCCGATTCACGAGTATGACGGATTTCAATTCCTAACGCAATAAAAACAATTGTATTTATGAGTATGATTGTCTGTAGCGGTCTGTAGTGGCACCGGTGTCAGAGAGGTTGAAGAGTAATCGTCTATCATGGTATGGACATGTAATGCGTAGGAACGAGGATAATATTTTAAGAAAGGTGTTATATATGAATGTGGATGGTTATAGGGGTAGAGGAAGGCCGAAAAAGAGATGGATGGACTGTGTGAAAGATGATATGGTAAGAAAGGAAGTAAATAACGAGATGACTGCGAACAGGGATGAATGGAAGCGAAAAACATATTACGCCGACCACAAATAAATGGGATAAGGAAGAAACAGATGATGATGATTATCTGTAGCGGTCGCGGTGTTTTGGAATCGAACTCGGTACCATCCGAAAGTAAAGCGGGTAAACCACTAGACCACCGAGTTCATCGAAATAAAATGGTCACTTGAGTACATTTTATAATAAAATAAATTTTATTAATATTATTAACACTAAAGTTTTGTGAGTATGGATGGATGTTTGTTACTCTTACTCAAAAACTACTAAACAGATTTTAATTAAACTTTACAGTAATATAGAGTATAGGAATAACACATAGGCTACAATTTTAAAATATACACTAGCTGTGCCCGCGGTTTTACTCGCATGAAATTTATAGCCTATGTGTTATTCTGATGTATTTATTACCTGTAAATTTCATAAAAAGCTCCTTTCAACAGTTTTTGCGTGACAGAGTAACAAACATACTCACAAACTTTAGCGTTTATAATATTACCAGCAGACCTGGCCACGCGTTGCTGTGTCTAAGGTTCTTGAATAAAATAAAATAAAATAAAAAATAATATTGCGACTATAAATTGAGATGTAAGCTAACCTATCTTTTAAGTTGAATCAAATTGCACACAATGTGCAAATCAAATTCGCAACCTGTTCAATAGGAGTCCCTCGCGGACGAACAACGTGACACGTAATTTTCATATATAAAGATTAAGATATCTCAAACATGTTACCATCGTATGTGGTGTGTGAAACGATGAGGGCCCTCGCTAGTTGCTGCAGAGTGAACGGCTCGCAGCGCGGCAGTGGAGCCGTCAGCATCGGCTCGAAGAACATCACGCACGCCGGGTCCTGACAGACAGACAGACATGTTACTATGTCATGTATGGGACACAGTTACCTACGGCCTTATTACAAAAAGATAAACCTGGTTTAGCACTAGTAATAAACCATTCATCAATGTATTCCTTATTACAAAATAAAGTTTATCTCTAAATCGTGATTCGTCTATGGTCTAAAGTTAGACCTGCGATGCCCCTAGTTTAACAGTGGTCTAAATGCAAAAATACAAACTCCATTTTAAAAATTCTATTGTTAGTTGTAGTTTTTGGAAAAATAGTTTAACAAAATTAAAAATATATTAACTAAAAATATTTAAAGCAAATTTTACGACAATAAAAATATATAAAAGACGTTATTTGTTATTTTTTCACTCATTTGACTTTGAAATAGTCACCATCCGAACGATCCAATAAAAATATCTCGCCGTTCCTTTTCTCCGTATAGGACTCCTACTTGTAATTTAAAACTGATTTTCAGCCTAATAGTAAATTAATAAATATTATATATTAATGAAATAGTTATAATGAAGACATAGATAAATAGAAATAAATTTATTTTTAGTTTATACATTTTTCTTTGACCTAATATTATTTTTGATCTTTTCAGTTTTCTGGTAAAATGGAACGTAATTGTACGGTGACAGACATGAGTGACTGATTTCTGTATGGAATACATAATGAACGATTTAACTGTAGTACTAAGTAGTCCTCTGTTAGATCTGGATTCGTAATAATGTTAGGTCTATTCCAAGTATTAACTTTAGGAATGGTTTAAACCACGGCCATTTAAACCACGTTTCGTCCGAGTTTTAATAGATTTTTTGTAATAAGACCGCTAGTGTTCAAAATCTACCCTGTATCATCGTAAGCACAGATTCTTATATTAGAGTCCGTTAGTTTTCTGTTCCCGCGCCTTTGCCTCCCCTCCCTTACGTAGTACTGAACTGACCGTACAGCGGCCTTGACGCGCGCGCGCATTGTGTTGTGAATTAAAATAAATTAGAACTGTGTTAAACCTACTGTGAAGCTGGAAAGCTGGCGAAGATCCCTTCGAGACCCTGAAGCCCAGGAAATCCGCGGAACCATGCAGGTACGTGACAGACGTTTCCACACATATTTTTCCCTATATATATACAGAGTAAATTCCCTAACACCTAGATACATCAAAATAATAATTGCATTTAATAATGTCTAGTAAGACAAATCCAATATTGTGTACTAAGCACTGCCGTGTCTAAACTGTGTCACCCCACCTTACATTTCCCTATTGTCATTTAGTATATAAGATCATTATTTCTATGTACATATTGTCGGTCTATTATCATCTATAATATACATTGTCTCAACCAACAACATAGTATCATTTACCCGAAATATCTTGAAAAATAGTTCTGGCATTATAATTTTTTTTAAACATTTATAATTATTTTTTATATTACTATGGTGGCAAACAACCATACGGCCCATCTGATGGTAAATGGTTACCCTAGCCTATGGACTCATGAGACACCAGGGCGGTGTGTGTGTTAGTATGAGACTAGACTAGGTGGCCCCAACCCATCGCGGAGCCCTAGGCACGTGCCCGGTGTGCCCTGTGGGGAAGAAGAGCCCGGTATGAGACTAAACTAGGGGGCCCCAACACATCGCGGGACCCTAGGCATGTGCCTGGTGTGCCCCATGTAAGTAGGGCCTGTTGAGACTAAACTAGGGGGCCCCAATTCATTGCGGGGCCCTAGGCACGTGCCCGGTGTGCCCCGTATAAGTAGGGCCTGGTATGAGACTAAACTAGGGGGGCCCCAACCCCTCGCGGGGCCCTAGGCACGTGCCGGGTGTGCCCCGTGGGTAGAAGGGCCCGGTATGTACCTTGTAGTGCTCGATCAGGCCGGTGACGGTGGGCGCGGCGAACACTGCGGGGTCGTGCGAGTCGAAGCTGAACCGATGTTGATAGTGTTCGATGCGCGCGTGCAGCGAGCGCCCGTACTTGCGGAACGACACCGAGAACAGGTGCTCCTCCTGCGCCGAGTCGCGCAGCAGGAACGTGCCTGCATTGGAAATAATCATCACAATCGGAACATAATATTGACGGAAGAAAGACAGAATACAACTTTACAAACATTCATCATTAGTAGGACGACCTCGTTGGTCTAGCGGTCTAGCACACCGCTTTACGTCCGATGGTCGCGGGTTCGATTCCTCGCACTGCACAAACATTTGTATTCATGAGCATGATTGTTTGTATCAGTCTGGGTGTTTTCTATGTACAATATGTATGTATTTACGAAAAAAAATTATCTATGTACTTGTTATCTAGTACCCGTAACACAAGCTTTAGCGATCTTAACTTTGGACTAGATGGCGCTGTGTGAATTGTCCTGAAATTATTATTATTATTATCATTCTTAGTAATATTATAAATGCGAAAGTAACTCTGTCTATCTGTCTGTCTGTCTTGCTTTCACGCCAAAACTATAGAACCGATTTAAAGTAAATTTGGTACACAAATAGTCCTGAGAAAGGACATTAATTCAAAAATTTTAACTCATGACTAAATAAACTAATAAATTATGACTTAATCATAACTCATAACTCCACTGGTGCCCCGCCAGCGTATACCATAAACTTATACGGGTGTTAAAACCACTCAGGTCCCTTAGGACCCTTAGGTAAGGTCCTAAAGGTCCTAAACCAAAACACTACACTCGTGTATACAAGGATTGGTCGGTTTCAAATACAGGTACCAAAATATTACAAATAACATACGAGAAATCAATAAAACGAAACATTAGCGCGTTTCAAGTTTGTTACAGCGCCATCTATTGGCGTTGAATGCAAACACTATTGTTTCTCTGATTACTATCTATTTAAACCTTAACAACGGGTGAACCATTCCATTACACATATCACTAAGAGGGTGTGAAAGGGGTGGTTTCTTGTTCTCACCCTCGGGCTTGTTGTCCAACAATCTCTCTGCTTCGTATCTGTCCATCTTGCCCCAGTAGAACGAGCACGCCGTGATCTGCTGCAGGTCCGGCACCAGGCAGTGGATGTAGTCCACCTGCAGACATCACCACACATTATCATCATTATCAAACAGTGGATGTGGTCCATCTACAGACATTACCAATATCATCATCACCATCAAACAGTGGATGTGGTCCAGATGGACCACATCCACTGTCTGTAGATACAAACATCACCAATATCATCATCACCATCAAACAGTGGATGTGGTCCAACTGCAGACACCACCACACATAATCACCAATATCATCATCATCATCAAACAGTGGATGTGGTCCATCTACAGACATTACCAGTATCATCATCACCATCAAAAAGTGGATGTGGTCCATCTACAGACATCACCAATATCATCATCACCATCAAACAGTGGATGTGGTCCAACTGCATACACCACCACACATAATCACCAATATCATCATCATCATCAAACAGTGGATATGGTCCAACTGCAGACACCACCACTCATCATCATCATCACATGTTAACATACATAAAAAAATCTGTTAAATCATATTTACTGAGCTTGCTCAGTAAATATGATTTAACAGATTTTTTTATTACTCACTAAACGATTACTTGAATGACGAGCGTGCATGGCAATAGTTGTTCATGCACGGGATTTTCATTTAATGTTAGACATAGACACCTATATAAATATACATTGTAAACAAACTGGCCTTAAGAGAAATATTCAATTGAATTTCTTGCCAGTTCTTCTCAACTGAATCTATATGCTGAACTGGACGGTAGGTAAAAAACATATTAATACAAAAAAACTTGATGTTTATAAGCGGCTTAAATGTCCTACATGAATAAATTACTTTTTAATTTGAATTTGAATAAAAAAAAAAGAAATCCTGTTGAGTTTCTTGCCAGCTCTTCTTAATTGGATCTATATACTGAACTGGACGATAGGGAAAAATGATTAATACAAAAGACTTAATGTTCATAAGCGTCTAAAATGTCCTACATGAATAAATATTTGTTTTGATTGGTTACCGACCTGCGTGTGCACCTTGGTGGGCGTGGCGTGCAGCTGTTCGAGCTGCTGCAGTTGTTGCTGTACCGGCAGCGGCGGACCTCGTAGCAACAACGCGCGCAGCTCTCCACCACACACCACCTGCAAAACAACATTTATTTATCAACTAGCTGTACCCGCGGCTTCGGCCGTCAATTTCTGGTATAACTGCCATGATGAGCAGAACAGAACTGAGCAGACTTCATCCTCCACTGGTGCCCCGCTAGCTTGTACCAGGCGGATCCTCAAATATTTATTAATGACTAGCTGTCACCGCGACTTCGTCTGCATGGAATTTTGCAACATTACTATATTTTTCTAAAATAAAAGTACCCCAAGTTACTCATTACATCAGCTACCTGCCAATAAAAGTCCCGTCAAAATCGGTCCAGCCATTTCAGAGATTAGCCGGACCAGACAAAAATGGTAAAAAATGTTATTTTAGTGTATGTACCATATTTATATCCATATGTATGTAGTAAAAAACGGTTATTTCAATATTACAAACAGACACCAATTTCATTTATATGTATAGACAAATAGCTAACACATAGTGGAGGGACTTGAATCAATCATGCTCTATGCATAGTCCATACTAGTGGCGGCGTGGTGCTCCCTCTAATACTATACTCCACTCACAAAAGCAATTAATCCAACAGGAAACCGTTCTGAAGTGAATTTCATGCATTCCAAAGCCGTCACAATCGATATGGTTACCTGGAAATGTGGATGGAACCGTAGCGAGCCGTCGCTGGGCTGCATCAGCTCAGATCCTCGGCCACCGGGAGTTGTTTCACCCTCAGTCCTGAAAACACAAGAACACACTTTATTATTTCATTTGAATATAATAATAATAATATAGCCCTGTTTCCGAAAGTTGGGGTACATTTATATACGACGACCTCGGTGGTCCAGAGGTCTAGCACACCGCTTTACGACCGATGGTCGCGGGTTCGATTCCTCGCACGACAAACATTTGTATTCATGATTATGATTGTCTGTATCGGTGGGTGTTTTCTATGTATATAGTGTATGTATTTACAAAAAAAAATATCTATGTATATGTATCAGTTACCTAGTACCCATAACACAAGCTTCAGCTAGCTTAACTTGGGTCTAGATGGCGCTGTGTGAATTGTCCTTAAATTATTATTATTTCCACTGAACTTAATCTTCCCCAACTCTATTCCAGAACGGTCCCAGAGTCAGGTTGATGTCATCTTTCCATCGTGTTCTTTGGCGACCCTGTCTTCTAGTCCAGTCTCTAGGATACCAGAGTCACTTAGAACTGAGAGAATCTTAGAATAAATGATTTTCTATTCTATTCTATACATAGAAAACACCCAGACCGACACAAACTATCATACTATTTAATACACCTTGAGAGGAATTAAAACCGCGACCATCGGTAGTGAAGCGGCGTGGTAAACCACTACACCAGCGAGGTCGTCGTTCATATTATGGGTATAATAAAAAAAACCGCTATACTTACGGTCGTGGTGCCACCGACAGTACGTAGACCTCAGCTGGCGCCTCGCCGTTCTCCCGCACGCTGTCACCATCTGGAACGAAACCATATCATTTACTGCCTGTCTTCACACGTACGCGTTCACGTGTAAAACCACTACTTATGAAGACCACTTAGGCTCTGATGCCGGCCACCGATGGTTCAGGTAGAGAACCCCAAGCACCCGTGACTGCGCCCTTGTAACTTTAATCTTATATATAAAATTCTCGTGTCACAGTTTTCGTTCCCATACTCCTCCGAAACGGCTTGACAGATTCTTATGAAATTTTGTGAGCGTATTGAGTAGGTCTGGGAATCGGCCAACATCTATTTTTCATCCCCCTAAATGTTAGGGGTAGTCCACCCCTAAATCTTTTTATTTTATTTCTTAGACAAAATTTTTAGTTTCTATTTTTTATGATACAACATACAAAAATACATACAATCCTGAATTTTCACCCTTCTGTCATCAACCCCTATTTTTTTATAGCGTTATTAATTTATATGGCAAAACAACGTTTGCCGGGACAGCTAGTAATATTGTAAAGACACTAATTGGGATATTTTTTTTTTAAATCACAAAATTCAGAATAACTCGAAATACATTAACTATCGGCCAAACATGTAGAGAGTCAAAATGATTGCACTCCTCTATCTGGACCTGACGGGAATACGTAGTTTCCAGTAACCCTGTATATGTATGTATTTAATTATAGGAGCCAGCATAACATCAGGTCTGCAGACTTATCTGTAGCTTCAAGCTGAGTTGGTTGCCTCTTCATCATTGCGACTCATAAGGCCACCTTCATTTTTTAATTTATAACATTCAATCAAGCATTCAATCATTTGCCAGCTTTGAATCCTCTGTCAAATCCCATTGTCTTTCCCTTTAATTAATTTCTTATTATTCTCATAACTAATCTTCCTTCATTCTTTCCAAATGTATGTGCACTATTAAGTATATGTATGTGTATGTATATATGTATTAATGTGTCATATATATTTATTTTTGTTTATTACGTGCGCCACCTACCCTGTTCTTATTTTTATTTCTCTATCCACCTAAAGGTAGTCTAGAAGAGATTGCTTAGCGATAAGACCGCCTTTTGTATCAGTGTATATTTTCCATTTTAATTGTTTTTTGTTTTTGTTCTATAATTGGTGCAATGAAGAGTATAAATAAATAAAATAAACATTTATATTTCTGAATTTTTAATTCGTAAATTTTGTCTTTATCTCATGCTATATGTTTGTAATTGTTGAATAAAATATTTATTTATCTATCTATCTAAAGCGATGTGCCAAACAGTGGTGTAGTAGTAACTAATAGGCCTGGGGCAAATAAAAAAATGGGGTCCCACTGTTCAGCAGTGGAGCCCTATATTACAGTTTTATTAAAACACACATATCGCTATCCGTCCAATTGACAACACTGCCAGCCCAAAGAAAGAATTTAGGAAAATTCCGAAGGTATAACTTTCCAATTTCTCTCAACTGAGTTGCCATGATTGAAGTTGGGTTGTTCAATTTTCAAAAGTTCAGTTCCATCGAGATTTTGTGTTAAGGGTTCGAAGGGCCTATGGCACTGCCCCTTCTAGCCCCTAGGTAGCTACGCCACTGGTCTGGTTGTAAATGGGAGAAATTTTCAAATGTTCAGATCGATCGAGATTTTCTGGTGAGGGTTCGAGGGTGATCTGAGTTTGAGGGCCCCGGGGTACTGCCCCATCTAGCCCCTAGGTAGCTACGTCACTAGTGCCAAACCAATGAGGTCATCATAAGATCAATGTTTTAAAACTTACCTGTATTCCTGACGATCGCGTCCAACTCTCGCCGGAGGTCTCTCGCGCCGAGGGTCAGCACCGCTGCTAATCTACAAATATAAACATACAAAATTACATACTATATTACTGTAGTATATATAGTCTGTGGTATCATCTATGTTTATGATATAACCATAGAGTATAATACTAAATGTTCACGCGACTTCGTCCACGTGGAATTAAACTTTTAAATGTATGTTACTCCTAATTACATTAGCTACCTGCCAAAAAAAGTCCCGTTAAAATCGATCCAGCCATTTCAGAGATTAGCCAGAACAAACCAAAAACAGTGAGTGGAGTGTCTGTTTGTAATATTGAAATAAAAGTTTTTTACTACATGCATATGAATATAAATACGGTACATACACCAAAATAACATTTTTTACAACTCTGTCTGTCTATCTGTCAGTTTGTTCCGGCTAATCTCTGAAATGGCTGGACCGATTTTGACGGCACTTTTTTGGCGAGTAGCTGATGTAATTAGGAATAACTTACGCTACTTATATTTTAGAAAAATAAAGTTAAATTCCACGCGGACGAAGTCGCGAGTATTATATAGCTAGCCAGCTATTATATATATAAAAAAAGAGTATACCTGTCGTCTGTGCAGGCATCGTTGACGTTGACGTCTACGCGGCGGTAGGCCGTACACACGCAGCCCGCACGTCTCCAGCGACGTCTCCGGCACGCACATTCACGACCGCCGCCCACCCATCTATACAGACGGACAGACACTCAAATAAGAAATAAATCGTTTAAATATTTCATTAATAATAATGTACACAGACGGACAGAGGGTCAATTTAAAATAATGTAAGACCGAGATGTATTCGATGTATGGTAAGTACCTACGCCGTTGCGTACGCGAGTCGAGACGTCGGGTACATATCTGTGACGTTGTTGTCACAGCTGCGTACGTGAATTAGGACGGCTAGTACCTATCTGTGACGGTGTTGTCACAGCTGCGTACGGGAGTTGAGACGGCTGGTACCTGTCTGTGACGGTGTTATCAGTTGCGTATGTGACTTGAGACGGCCGGTATCTGTGTTATCACTGTCTGTGACGGTGTTATCAGTTGCGTATGTGACTTGAGACGGCCGGTATCTGTCTATAGCGGTGTTGTCACAGTTGCGTAAGTGAGTTTAGACGGTGTTGTCACCGTTGCATACGTGAATTGCGTATGGAGTTGAGACGGCTGGCACGGTGTTATCAGTTGTATGTGAGTTGAGACGGTGGTCACGGTGTTGTCAGCTGCGTGAGTTTAGACGTGAGTTGTGACGTTGTTGTCACAGCTGCGTACGTGAATTAGGACGGCCGGTATCTGTCTATAGCGGTGTTGTCACAGTTGCGTAAGTGAGTTTAGACGGTGTTGTCACCGTTGCATACGTGAATTAGGACGGCTGGCACCTGTATGTGACGGTGGTCACAGCTGCGTACGTGAGTTGTGACGGTGTTGTCACCGTTGCGTACGTGAATTAAAACGGCTGGTACCTGTCTGTGACGGCGCTGACGTAGCGGTGCACGCTGCTCGGAGTCTCCGCGTACCGGCGCCGCTCCCACGCGCCGCACCCGCACGTGCACTCCGCGCCTGGAAACACCATATATCATTGAACACACAGACAGGGGCGTAGCTACCGCCGTATCAATTATACAGGGCCCCCAGACCATGGGGGCTCCATATTTTTTATTTTACTACTATGGTGGCAAACAAGTATGCTTGTCATCTGATGGTAAATGGTTACCGTAGCCTATGGACGCCCGAAGCACCAGGGGTGTCACGTGCGTGTTGCCGACCCTTAAGAAACCTTAATATACCCTTCTTGAAAAACCCCATGCTGTAGTCTCTCGAGAAAACCTCGGCAGGTAGTTCATTCCACAATCTAAGTATAAGTGCGCAATCAGAAATTAACTTTCCAATGTTTTTTATTTCTCAAATTACAAAAGTAAAAAAAAGCAATTTCTTTATTTTCCGTATCAGCTATAAATGATTTAGCAAATCAGTTTGCCGTAAAAAAAGGCAAAAAGAGTGTTTATTTAATTTGAATTGTTTGTAAATATTTAGGAATAAGTGACAGATAGATTGATGATGAATTATGATGAATAAATATTTCATTTAATTTTATGCATTTTTTTTTATGAATATTTTTTACCGGACCCGAAATTTGTTTATACCCTAAACAAATTTTTATACCGATCCCGCCAAGGTACGCTACGCATTTGACCACAGATAAGGCTCCATGCTTCCATGTAAACGGAGTTACAGTGTGCTCACATTTTGCTTGCAGCTATTATTCCAGTCGAGTTAAGTATACAGTAATGTTTCGAACATAGCTTGATTCATCTCCGAGGAGAGATTCCCAAACAGAAATGGTCCTTCGAGCCGGATCCTCCTCGGAGATGACTCCAACTTGGGTGGACTGTACGAACTGGTTTGTTAATTTATATCAGAGAGAAATGATAAACACGCGCTTACGCCGATGGTGCAGTGGCAAATGTATGTGACTTTGAATTTACTAAATTTAAATACTCACTCTTCCTAGATGTTTGTTGGCCCATGGCAATATATTATATGAACAATGGGGGATTCGGCCAGCGAACTACCATCTGTAAAAGATAATAAATCACACATTATATTACTATATTAGTACTCTGATATATCTATATATGAATACTATCTATATATAAATAGCACTCTACCCGCGACTTCGTCCGCGTGGAATTTAACTTTATTTTTCTAAAATAAAAGTAGCCTAAGTTACTCCTTATTACATCGGCTACCTGCCAAAAAAAGTCCTGTCAAAATCGGTCCAACCATTTCAGAGATTAGACGGAACAAACAGACAAAAATTGTAAGAAATGTTATTTTGGTGTATATACCGTATTTATATATTCATATGCTTGTAATAAAAAAATCGGTATTACAAACAGACACTGCAATTTTATTTATATATATAGATTATATGACATTTTGAAGGTATGTACAAATTTATTTCGTCCCATAATAGTCTGGTTATTCAGCTATGTTCACACAGCGCCATCTAGTCCCAATCTAAGCAGAGCTTGTGTTATGGGTACTAGACAACTGATATAAATACTTATTTATTTTATTTTTTTAATATATACATATTATACATAGTAAACACCCAGACCGATATAAACAAACATACTCATGAAATCATACATCATACAAATGTTTGTGCAGTGCGAGAAATTGAACCAGTGACCATTGGAAGTAAGGCGGAATGCTAAACAGCTAGACCACAGAGGCCGTCGAATTGATTGAACGCCGAATTGAACTTATAATTAAAGTAATTTTTCTAAAAATGAATACACACTGTTTTAAAAAAATAGAAACACAGATACATATAAAAAATAAACTGTGCTTAGTGACACAGTCTAATATAGACTGATCAACTAAAATTTAAAAAAGGAACATTCTTTTTATTTCATTTATTACTGTAGCACAGGAACAAATTTAGAATGTATTGGTTATTGCATAGTCGAAAATTTTAAAAAGGAATCCCGTTTTTATTTTATTCATTACTTTTTAATTTATTACTGTAGCACAGGAACAAATTTAGAATGTACTGGTTATTCCATAGTCGAAAATTTAAAAAAGGAAACCTGTTTTTATATTATTCATTACTTTTTAATTTATTATTGTAGCACAGGAACAAATTTAGAATGTATTGATTATTCCAAAGTTGAAAATTTAAAAAAGGAATCCTGTTTTTATTTTATTCATTACTTTTTAATTTATTACTGTAGCACAGAAACAAATTTAGAATGTACTGGTTATTCCATAGTCATTATCAAATTAGTAATTTGTGGTTTTCTGTATTATTGCTATTAATAAAGTAATGTTAATTACATTATTATGAGTCATAAACCACCATGGCGACACAATGGCTAAGGAAGAAAGAATACTCAATGTAATAATAGATTTTTTTTCGTCGCATATTAAGAGGAGTTGTAAGTCCAGTCACATTTATAGTCCACATTTGGGTTACATACACTGATTAGTCTATTTGGTTTTGCAATAGCATATGCTGGTGGTCACTATATTCTCCAAGTTTAATTTTAGAAAGTAATCCGAATTATTGTAAATATGTATAATATTAATTTGAAAAGAATACGAGCTGAATTTCTTGTCAGTTCTTCTCATCTCAAAATCATTCCAAACTGGTAGATTTGACATATCATAAGAGTCTGTAATAGACCTACATGAATAAAGATATTTTGAACTTGAATTTGACATAATGTGACATTGAATGACAAGGGGTCGGTAGAGACATATGTGACTTTTAAGGGGAGTCTAAGATTCTCTCAGTTCTAAGTGACAGGTATCCTAGAGACTGGACCAGAAGACAGGGTTGCCAAAGAACACAATGGAAAGATGATATCAACCTGACTGACAACCGTTCTGGAACAGGGTTGCGGAAGATAGAGTGAGCTGGAGGAGCCTATGACAGAAGGCACACAGAGTTGTGGGACATTTTGTAAACATCAAAATGTACCCCAACTTTTGGAAAAAGGGCTTTATTATTATTATTATTAAGATTCTCTCAACTTAAAAGATGTGACATACAGGGACTAACAGCGCAACAAACGACAAACACTCCTGTAAGGCTTACCGGCAAAAACTTCAACACCATACCAACCCTTTAGCAACAACTCTCTTGGACTCTAAGGATTACATATGCAGGCTGAAAAGGTCACTCTGGCTACGATTTAAAACAACAGATGTATATAAAAGAAGGACCACATTACTGAATATGGTTGTTGTAGCATGTAACCTATGGATTATATTATTTTGACGTTGATCATCACTCTACTTCTTGTATTACAATTTTACTAATGTCTACCAATACATGTTGTTTTCTTTAATAATGTTTCTCCAGTAGTGGTAACTCAAAGCGTCAGATAACGAAAGCTATAAAATCTGATTGGCTAATCCCAGATAGATAAGGAGACTAAAATTAAAAAAAAAAAATTCCGGACTTTTCGTAAACATCAAAATGTACCCCAACTTTCGGAAAAAAGGGGTATATTATTATTATTATTATTAAGATTCTCTCAATTCAAAAGATGTGATCCAGGGCCTAATAGCAATATTCACAGACAGCACCTCAAAACTGACTCATTGGAGCAGCATCAAGAAGTTAAAGGAATACAAAATTAAGAGAGATTACAAGAGTTTAAGATAACCTTAACATAGTTTTGTTCATAGCTGTTAAATCATATTTACTGAGCAAAGCCTTAATCACTAAACAATTACTTGAATGAGGAGTGTGCATGGCAATAGTTGTTCATGTACGGGATTTTCATTTAAGGGGGTCTTCCTATGTGACGGCCTGTTTTTTAGGGATATTTTAGGATTTTTTTTCTACGACCAGTAAATATTTAGAGCTTCAAGTTTTTTATCATTTATTAACACATATTTGGACAGTATAAATATAAAATTTCAGCTAAAAATATTCAGTCAAACTAGAGTTACAGCGCTCTGAACACCCCCGCCTCGAAAAAAAGAGCTCCCACTTCCTCCACGATTCCGGCTGATCGGCTTATCTGAAAAAAAAAAAAAACGGCGTTTTAATTTGTAGGCTTAAAAGCACGGAATGACCTATAATCAAATGAATATAAAAAAAATTGGATTTTTGATAGACATTTGAAATAAAAGTTGCAAATTAGGCGTTTTTTTTTTTTGTTTTTTGCTATAAAAAAATCGAAGTTTTGAAAATTTTCGATTGATAATAGTTCATTCCATGCGTTTACATATATTGAGTGTGCCCTGTAAATTTCAAGTAATTCGGTCCAGCCGTTTCTGAGATACAATGGAGGAAAGTTTGAAAAACACAGTTTTGAGAAAAACGCGTTTAAAGTTTCAAGTCCGTTAAAAACTATTAAAATATCAACTTACTCTCAATCGGCGATGCCTGGTCCATAGAGTATTCCTTCCTCTTCCTCGTGAAACTCTTTTAAAGCAGATTGTTCAGCTCTTGAGTCAATCCTGGCTTGTTTAACGACATCACTTACGCGCCGCTCAGAGCGTAAGATTCGCTTTTCATCCCGTTTCTCAACATACGCTTGGGCTTCACGACCAACAGGGCATCCCATAATCGACATAACTTTTAAAATACCTTGAAAACCTTCATTAAAGATAATAACTGCTAAGTAGCTAGCAATTTCAACAACTTTGGGACCAGAATGAAGATGTTTAGGAGCGAAAGTCCAAATCAAAGAATTCAAAGATTCGTTATTGTTTTGTGTCTCTGCTCCTAAACAACGAATTAATAATTCGTCTTTCGATAAATCTTCGAAAACCGGTTTGATAGCTTCTTGGACTTGCGGAATTAGAGGTGGTTTATCGTGATGAAATTGGTCCAGTTCATTATTAGCTTCAGCCTTACGCCATTTACACCAACTGTCTTCGCCTTCTGGACAAAATTGATGCTGAGGGTTTTCATCAGAAGAACATTTGTGATAGTACGTTGCCCAAACTTCCTTTCTCATATCTTCAAGCGAATCTGGATGGCGTCGAATTGCTAATCCGTAGAATTTTGTAATTTCTTGGATAACTTTATCAGTAAGTTTACCTGCTCCTTTTCCTCCTATTCCTTTATTGGTTTTATCCTTTTTAAGTCTGTAGAAACGTGTCTAAACTTGTATAAACAAATATATTAATAAAAGGGAGGCCAGGTATAAAGCCGACGGTACACAATAGGCCCGGTCTCTAACTGCCAACTCACTGCTCCGAACCGCTCTTTCTTTTACCTGCTGTATCTTTAAAACGACTTCGAATTTTCTAAAATCGTACTTTACTACCGTATTCTAGACATGTTAAGGGAGCAATTTATGAAAAAAAAAAATCGATTTTTTCAACCCATCACATAGGAAGACCCCCTTAATGTCAGACATAGACACCTATATAAATATACATTATAAATAAACTAGCTTTAAAAAAAAATCTATTGAGTTTCTTGCCAGTTCTTCTCAATTGGTATATACTGAACTGGACGGTAGGAAAAAAAATTATAAAGTAAAAATTTGACTTCCATCATCATCTGCTTCTTCCTTATCCCATTTATTTGTGGTCGTCCTAATATGTTTTTCTCTTCCATTCATCCCTGTTCGCAGTCATCTCGTTATTTACTCCCTTTCTTACCATATCATCTTTCACACAGTCCATCCATCTCTTTTTCGGCCTTCCTCTACCCTTATAACCTTCCACATTCATATGTAACATCTTCCTTAGGATATAATAAAGTTTGATGTTCATAAGAAGCTAAAATGTCCTACATGAATAAATGATTTTTTAATTTCAATTCAAGCTGGAACTTATTGGAATGTATCAACCACGTTGAGCTGGTCTGTCTGTATGTCTAATTGGGGACAATCATTTTAATTGATGACAATTAATATGTAGTTAGTCATTGTAGTTGCTATAATTAAACTGTTCTAGTACATGTACCTACACTACATGTAGCAGTAACTAGATATATTATATGTATCTACACTATAAAAAGTAGTAACTACTTGATTCCTGCCACTTTGACTGCTTTTTTTGAGTTAAAACACATTCATGAGATATTTTTGTAATTCACTATTTTTTTCATAAATCATTTTTATTTATTTATTTAACTTTAATGGGCAAAAATAATGTGTACATATGGCAGACTTAACACCTAGTGGCGTTATATACCAGGCAACCAGACGTGGTGCAGAGAAAGATTGTTGGCGGTGCATTGATATAAATGAGAAATGTAAAAAACAAATTTTGAAGAGGAATCAATTAGATGTATTTTTACCAAAAAAAATATATAATATACCAGGATTGTTAGTAATGTGGACTAATAACCTCATTGCTAGCTCAATGTACCATGTCAGGTTGACCTCCATGCGGTTCCCCCTAGAAACCATTGTGATAAATTCTTGGTAAATTGACCATGATATGCTAATAAACCTGACATCATGTTCATCCTATCATCTTCCACTAGTGCCTGCCAGCGTAAACTATCAACACAGGAGGGTCCAAAGTGCATAAGAAAATAAAAATTCTACCATATATATAATTTATTTCAATGGCATATATATTTAGACTATTATAATTGACAATGTTAGCTGTTACATGTCAGTGATGACCAAATGCAAGAGACAATTTTAAAGCCAACCTTTGCAATTGTCCCACATTCAAGGCAAAATATATATACATAAATAAATAAACAAAGTAAACGTGAAAGCTGGTGAAATTAGTAAAACAGCGATACTCACATAAACGATTTTGTAAAAGTCTACCAAGATCAAAATTTACAAAAAATACCACACTTTACTAAACAATAAAAACTTGGACATGTTTCAACAAGTTCAATAACCTCAAACGACTCAATAGTGACGTCAACAAAACCCAATATTCTCAGTCTAAATTATATCACAAGTTGTGTGAACGTAAATTATAGTAATATCAGTATATTTTCAGGCAAATTTAAAAAATAACATTAATAAAAATGGGACATATGAAGATCACATCCGCCATTTTGGTTTGGTACATCAATCACATTTTAAGGCAAAATAAATAATAATTCGAAATAAATATTAATTACTCACGTCTAATGGGTTTAATTATGTCTGCAGCCGTTATTCGGGTCGTTTTCGTTATTATAACAAAATCCTATAACAATATTTCGTTTTTCGTTCGAACATTATTCAATACATGTACTTGATATCACACACTACAGTAAATTCAAATATGAAAACACAATAAGATTAGCATTGAAATGATTCACACGATATTTACACATTGACTAGTGTATTGTGATTAATGCTATTATTAATATTTTTATTGCTTCACGGAGTCAAAATACGCAATTCCTTGTTGGTGTGACTGACTGACATTTAGGAATTATGACGTTCCGTTCTACGTAATCGTACTTGCATTATAGAAGTTCGCAGTGAAATCAGAAGGGCAACGCAACAATAGAAGACCTGTGTACCCATGTAATTCATTGAAGTAATTCTATAAAAAATCTTATAAATGTGTTATATCAGTTTTTTATTGCTAATATAATTCAGTATTTAATAAGAAGTCTACTTCATTCCTTCATGGGAAAAATCTGAATAAAACCGAACGCAATTACAATATTTTTCGACAATAGGAAGCAAAGGAACAAAGCTCAGACCATAAACTAGATATTGTTGTGAAATAATAATATTAATTATCTATTTAATATCAGAACAATTACATTTCCAAGTAAAATGATAACATTAATTCATATAAATGTAGTTTATTGTAATTGTTACGGAGAGAGTATAGTACGATTCATTTCAAAAAATGCCAAACGTCGAACTGGCCATTACCATAAACAATAGATCGTCCATCTATAATTTTTTTAAAGCTCTTCCATCGCCATTTTGTTGGTGTCGTACTACTTTTAGAAATTATTGTTTTATTGTATTTTATCATAAAATTCGTTAATTAAGTTTTGTGTAAGTTATGTCTAAACGACGAATAGAAATGATGGACCCATTCATTAAGAAAAAAAGGTCAGTAATTGATTTTGTTGACTTTTTGAAAGCTCGAACCACGCGTTTTTCAGCCTTTGTTTGTAGTTTAATTTTCTCGTAACACGTTGAAATTGCTTCTATTTATCGTGATTACCGTTATTTTATTACTTTGTTATGTGTTTTTATAAATTGTATGGAAGTAGTTTTGTCTTATAACGGCCTCGGGACCGGTCGATATATCGTTCCAATATCGGAACAGCACATGAGCGCAAAAACGCATTTTTTCTATTTCCTAGCAATTAACTTGACAAAACTATTAATTTTATTAATGGTTTAATCACATTACACTTATTTTTTATATTACAATACAATGATTGATCATTCAATAATAGGATTTATATTTATTTGTTTAACCCGTAAAATTAACAAATATTAAGTTGAAACAGCTAGCGATGGTAGGAGGGGATTTTTAAGGGGAGAATTGTTAACTATAAACTAAACATTGTACATGTACAAACGCTGCTGTGCTCACTAAGCAATTTTATTATTGTAAAAATATTGCCAAAAAAGTGTCGAGTCGTGGCCCCCACCTTTTCTATCAGTGTACCCTATCAGTTTGAACTCCACCTAGTGTCCTCTGGAAATTCATGGCTAATTCCTGGTGAATTCACCATGTTGAGATTGGGAAATCATGCTCATCCCATAATCCTCAACTGCTGCTTTGCCAGCATAAGCAAGTGCATCCTTTAATATTTAACAAACTAGTACACCCAATGTCATTTTTTGGTGTTTTTTTTAACAAGTGTATCATGTAAAACACATTTTTATTTTTATATTAAACTAGTTCTTCCCGCAACTTCGTCCGTGTGGAATTTAATTTAATTTTTATAAAATAAAAGTCTAAGTTACTCCTTATTACATCAGCTACCTGCCAAAAAAAGTCCCGTCAAAATCAGTCCAGCCATTTCAGAAATTAGCCAGAACAAACCGAAAGACAGACAAAAATTGTAAAAAAGTGTTATTTTGGTCTATAATTATTTCAATATTACAAACAGACACTATATTGTACAAACAGACACATCAGCAATTTTATTTCTATTTCAGAGATAGATTGTGTCATCCATCATATTTGTGAAGGGACTTATGGGGACTTGTTTAGTTAGGTTACAAACACTGATTACACTATTTGCTTTTGACAAAATTGCAATAGCATATGCTGGTGGTCACTCTATTCTCACAAATTTGAATATACAAATGAATCTGTATTATTGTAAACATGTACAACATTTATTTGAAACGAATACGAGCTGAGTTTCTTGTCAGTTCTTCTCTTCTCGAATTCACTCCGAATTGACGGTAGATTTGACATATCATAAGAGTCTGTAATAGACCTACATGAATAAAGATATCTTGATTGATTTGATTGATTGATGGCCTCAGTAGTTCAGCAGTTTAGTACACTGCATTAATAGTTGTAGGTTCAATTCATTAAATGATGGAAACATTTTATTTTTGAGTAATTATTGTTTGAATTCCTCTGACTGTTCTATATGACTCTACATGTATTATATATTTACAAAAATGTATTTAATATTTGTATCCTATACATTAGATCAAGATGGCAATGTGTTAATTCTTCAGGGTTATTTATTTATTAAATTCCTGGTGAATTTGTCATGGGTGTCTGACCTGACTTGATGTTCTTTTTGTCATACTCCAAATTAATATAATGTACTATCTCCACTGGTGGGGCACCTGCATAACCCTTTGTTAAACCTTTGATAAGTGCACAATCCCTTTATCATTCAATTAAAAATTCAAATTCAAAATATCTTTATTCATGTAGATCTATTACAGACTCTTATGATATGTGAAATGTATCGTCAGTTTGGAGTGATTTCGAGATGAGAACAACTAACAAGAAACTCAGCTCGTATTTTTAAATAAACATTGTACACATTTACAATAAAACAGATTCATTTTTAATTTCTAATTTGGGATAATAAAATATATATATATATATTTCAACATAATTTATAACATGTTGAAATATGGAATTATTTCAACATAATTTATGAGAAATATTTATTATGTTGAAATTAATTTGATTGATATGCAATACAACATGATTTCACATGATATGACAAGAGTCATACACACAGTTGCATTAAAAAAACCAACAAGAGTGGTTAAGTCGACTATTTGCGAGTGAATAAGTGAAATAACAAATTACATAGTGATCATTAAAAGTTATTACAGTTTAGATTATTTTAATAATAAATATTGTGCTGATGATCTATATATGTCAACTCTAAATAATGTTTAATCAAATAAACTTATAGTGTAGTACAATCCATGTACTACTTTGTCTTCTTTCCTCTACCCAAAGGTTGTCTGGAAGAGTAAAAAAAAAAATATTAGTTTTTTATTACAATAAATTGTGTATTAAATATATAAATACTTTATAATTATTGACTTTACAAAAAATAATCAAGTATTTGTGATCTATAGGAGGATTTAAAAATATAAATACTTCATAATTTATTGAAAATTATTGACTTTAAAAATTTAACGGTATTTGACTCAAGTAATTGTGATATATTCGAAAATTTTCGATGTTATTTGACAGGGAAGAGAAGGCGGCAGCTGCAGCCAAGTCTGGAAGCAGTGGGGAGTCGTCTTCAGATACTGTGGCCACCCTCGGGACAAGCATGCCACCCACTGCCACCAGCACGCCTGGTGTTAACCCATTCACAGGTATTTGGAGATTTATGTTTACATACTTAGTTTTCTATGTATAATGTGTATGTATTTATGAAAACAAAAATATCTATGTATATGTATCAGTTGTCTAGTACCCATAACACAAGCTTTAGTTAGCATAACTTGGGACTAGATAGCGCTGTGTGAATGGTAAAGAAATTATTATGATTATTTTATTACTTAAATACAAATTAAAAAATCGTTTATTCATTTAGTACATTTAAAAAATATATATCTATGTATTTATTAGTTATCTAGTACTAGTACCCCTAACACAAGTTTTAGATAGTGTGACTTGAGACTAGACGTCGCTGTGTGAATGGTAAAGAAATTATTATTATTTTATTACTTAAATTAAAATATCGTTTATTCATTTAGGACATTTAAAAAAAAATATATCTGTGTATTTATCAGTTATCTAGTACCTGTAACACAAGCTTTAGATATCGTAACTTGAGACTAGGCGGCGCTGTGTAAATGGTAAAGAAATTATTATGATTATTTTATTACTTAAATACAAATTAAAAAATCGTTTATTCATTTAGGACATCTTAGTCGGTTATTAACGTGAAATTTTTTATATAATATTTTTTCCCCTACCGTCCAGTTCGGTATATAGATCCAATTGCGAACTGGCGAAAATCCAGTTTAGACTAGGAATCTGCACTGATCTCTCAGAGGAGCAATCATTAACAGATGATAATTGTACAAAGCATCGGGCTCCGGTAACAGTTTACGTTGGCGGCGCACCAGTGAACTATGGTAGGATGAGCATGGAGTCAGGTCAGTTAGCACATCATGATGAAGTCCCTATTGCTGTGGGTTTGTCAGGAATTGGCCGTAGCCGCTTTATAAGTCCTTTCGGTTTGGAACACTATCTGCACTCGCTCCTTATCGTTCGGTGAAGTCGTAAATGCCAGCTGCGGGCAACAGTAGAGTAGTTTAAAACATCACTGAAAAAAAAAAACATTTCGTATTGTTTGTTTCAAATTAACTCCAGTGTATTTAACACTATACACTTTGTGTAAAGGGTAAGTAAAGTAATTACGTGAGGGTTGAAAGGCCCTCCCTTTCAAGGGGTTTGAAAAAAATCATAAAATATCACAAGGGGGAGGGGGGGGTTAAAAAATTCTAAGTTAAAGCATACATAGGGACGGACAGACAGCAATACACTTTGTGTAAAGGGGCCATCTATTGATTACGTGAGGGTTGAAAGGGGAGGAGGGGTTGAAAAAATCACAAAATATCACAAGGGGGAGATATATGCATACATCGTGGAGATCTATGGGGGAAGCCTATGTCCAGCAGTGGACGTCTTCCGGGCTGCGATGATGAAAGCATACATAGGGACGGACAGACAGCGACAGCGACTTTGTTTTATACTATGTAGTGATGTGTATTCCTTAGTAATTGTTCAGGGTTATTATTAAGTACTTTATCTGTTTATCTTAAGGTATTTTTTTTATAAAAGTAGCGCTTGACTAATCTACCATTGTCTTCCCGCAGGCCTGCCGCACTCGCAACGCTACCACGAGCTCCTCCGCCGCCGTCTCGGGCTCCCAGTGTGGGAGTACAAGAACGACTTCATGCGTCTACTGAACACACACCAGTGCGTGGTGCTGGTGGGCGAGACGGGCTCCGGGAAGACGACCCAGATACCGCAGTGGTCGGTGGAGTTCGCAGCGGTGACGGCCGGCAAGTCTAAAGGCGTGGCGTGTACGCAGCCCCGCCGGGTGGCTGCCATGTCGGTCGCTCAGAGGGTCGCCGAGGAAATGGACGTCGCTTTAGGTAAGAAATATGTTTATTTTGACTGAAATATTGTTTAGGTTAGGCTCGCATAATATATTTTATATTGTAATATTTATATATAAAAATTACGTGTCACGTTGTTTTCTTCTTCTTCTTCTAAACTACTGAACCGATTGCAAATTTGATTTGCACATTGTGTGCAATTTGATCCAACTTGAAAGATAGGATAGCTTACATCTCAATTTGTAGTCGCAATAATATTTTATTCAAGAACCTTAGACACAGCAACGCGTGGCCGGGTCTGCAAGAAATATATATATACTAGTTGTGCCCGCGATTTTACCCGCGTTAAGTTTCAATAATGACTTGTACATATACATGCACATACTGCCATTCTCTCTTAAAGACATCCAGAGAAGCACTATTTATCAAATACGTGGGGTGCACCGACCTTTGACCTTATAACAGCCGATTCGCGCGTAACGGATTACATAGCTACTTTTTGGTATTTTATAGTGGATATTTACTATAAAATATTATTATTTCTTTAGATTATGACATAATAACATAGTTTACATGATTTTAAGGGAATACGATAAAAAAAATCCCGTAAAATGTAAAAGATAAAAAATGGTTATTGTTGGTTATCCTTAAGAGATAGACATATACCATCACGGACTTTTTTGTTGACCTTATTTTGATACATCTCAAAGCACTAGACAATACGCATTTTCATTAAACAGTAGTGTATTTTTATTTATTTAACTTTAATGCACAAAAAAATTTGTACATGTGGCGGACTTAATATCTTGCCGCGTTATGTACCAGGCAACCATGAGTGGTGCAACGAAAGATTATTGGCGGTGCACTAATATAAATAAGAAATGTCAAAAAAAGCCTATAAAATATAATATAGCCTATATGTTATTCTGATGCATAAGCTATATTACTGCTTACCTTAGCTACTTACTTTACCTAAGTGCCGTTTGACGAAAGTTAGTACTTCGTTTTATGGAAATTGCGTAAGATTATACAACAAACTTCCAGTCTGTACTCAATTTGCCAGAAAAAAGATTCAAATGTGTTATAAAATATTTTCCTTGTAAAAAAGCTTATTATAAAATTGAAAAATTTATAAATGATAATGATGTTTTTGTAGAAAATATCTAACTTAATGTTCATAGCGTTGACAATGTTATCTGATTGAATAAAGATTGAGTGCGTAGCTGTTTCTATGTTGATTGTCGCATGCCTTGCTAAGTATCTACTTAAATCAATATTTATTTAAAAGAGCAACACACAAGTTGTTTCATTCTTCTTGTGATGAATCTGCGTTCCGAATGAGTGATAAAATAAAAAAAAATGTGACTATTCAAAAGTGCTTATATTATGTTTATTTGAATAAAGATTATTTTTATTTCTTAAAAGTAAAGTTTCTTCAAAATTCAATCTATCTATTAAAATCCGTTGCGTAGTTTTAAAGATTTAAGCATACATAGGGACAGACAGCGATAGCGACTTCATTTTATACTGTGTAATGATCCGTTATTTTGACGTATAATTTCTATTACTGTAAAGTCAAAATCCGTTGAGTAGTTATTGCGTGAGAGTAACAAACATCCATACTTACAAACTTTCGCATTTATAATATTAACCAGCTACTCGCCCCGGCTTCGCACGGGTTTACATGTATTATATATATATATATATATATATATATATATATATATATATATATATATATATATATAACCTTACTCTTGAATCACTCTATGAATTAAAAGAAACCGCTTCAAAATCCGTTGCGTAGTTTTAAAGATTTAAGCATACATAGGGCTATGCTCGGAGTTACTCTGCGTGATCGAATCAGAAATGAGGAGATCCGCAGAAGAACCAGAGTGACTGACATAGCCCGAAGAATTGCGACTCTGAAGTGGCAATGGGCAGGGCACATAGCTCGTAGGACAGATGGCCGTTGGGGCAGTAAAGTCCTCGAGTGGCGATCACGGACCGGAAGACGCAACGTAAGTATTTGCTCAAGATCGCTGGAAGGCATTGGATGCGAGCAGCGCAGGACCCATCGTCGTGGAGATCTTTGGGGGAGGCCTATGTCCAGCAGTGGACGTCTTCCGGGCTGCGATGATGATGATGATGATGATGAAGCATACATAGGGACGGACAGACAGCGACTTTGTTTTATACTATGTGATGATAAGATATATGTTATATGTTCTCCAGGTCAACAAGTCGGCTACAGCATCCGCTTCGAAGACTGCTCCGGTCCGCAGACAGTACTCAAATACATGACAGACGGTATGTTGCTCCGAGAAGCCATGTCCGATCCCATGCTGGAGCAGTACAGAGTGATACTCCTCGACGAAGCCCACGAGAGAACGTTAGCTACAGACATCCTTATGGGTGTGCTGAAGGAAGTTATAAAACAACGGTCAGATCTCAAACTGGTCATCATGTCAGCGACCCTGGATGCTGGGAAGTTCCAACAGTACTTCGACAATGCACCCCTGATGAACGTACCAGGGCGCACGCACCCCGTCGAGATATTTTACACTCCGCAGCCCGAGAGGGATTATTTGGAAGCTGCGATCAGAACTGTGATACAAATACATATATGTGAAGAGATATCCGGTGATATTCTTCTGTTTTTGACGGGACAGGAAGAGATAGAAGATGCGTGTAAGAGGATCAAGAGGGAGATAGACAATTTAGGACCGGATGCTGGAGAGTTGAAGTGTATACCGTTGTATTCGACTCTGCCGCCGAATTTACAACAAAGGTTAGTGGTTTGCAAAGATATCATGTTGACAACCACAGTGGTCTAACGCCGGTACTATATTTATGACTAGCTGTACCCGCGACTTCATTCGCGTGGAATTTAACTTTATTTTTCTAAAATAAAAGTAGCCTAAGTTACTCCTTATTACATCAGCTACCTCCCAAAAAAAGTCCCGTCAAAATCGGTCCAGCCATTTCAGAGATTATTCGGAACAAACAGACAGACAGACAAAAATTGTAGAAAAAGTTATTTTGGTGTATGTACCGTATCTACATTCATATGCATGTAGTAAAAACGGTTATTTCAATATTACAAACACACTTCAATTTTATTTATATGTATAGACTAGCTGTTCCCGCGACTTCGTCCGCGTGGAATAGTTACCTCATAAAATATGTAATAATTATAGAAAACCAAAGGAAAAAGTTTCTTCATTCTAGTTTCAAAAGCAACGAATTTCCGTACAAACTTACCTATTTTATTTTTATAATAATAATATACATTTATTTAGCAAAAAAGTGTTAGAAATAGAAATAAAGTAACATACAGTTAACATTAGCATACCTACAGTAAATTAATTTGACAGTAAATATATCATTTCAATCTGTTGAGTAATTTTGACACGAAAAACCTGACAGACAGAGTTACTTTGGCATTTATAATATTAGTAACGGTGGTCGCGGGTTCGATTCCTTGCACAACACAAACACTTATATTCATGAGTGAAATTTTGTTTGTATTGATCTGGATATTCTCTATGTACAAGACAAGTTTCTTTAAAATCGATTCAGTAGTTTATGCGAAAAAGTATATTAAATATATTGTTAGGGTCCACATGCATATTTTCGAAAAATCTGATATTTTATATTAAAAAAAGGTAGTTTCATTATTACTCGGTATCGTTAAACTAGTTGCATATAACCCCCACTCATATCTTCTCTGTATAAAAGGGAGGGTTTTTGTAAGCCGCGGCATTCGGTCTTTGTGCAGGTTGTATTTTAATTGCTAAAGTGAATTATGTTAGAGACATAGTTAAATTAATGTCATATAGTTGTTATTTTATTATAATACATACTTTTACTAGTACATAGAGTTGATATATCTAACAAATGTACATACGGCAAAGTTTCGGTTTATAACACAGGATGTGATTTTAAACAAATATATATACAGACATAGAAATTAATGAATATAGAAAATATTTTATTCAAATAAACTTACATTGAAGCACTTTTGATATATCTAACATTATGTACACACATACAAAGTTTCCAGTTTATAACACTAGTAAGAATACGAACTCTGTTTCCAGAATTTTCGAGGCCGCCCCACCGAATAAAGCGAACGGCGCAATAGGACGGAAGGTGGTCGTCTCAACCAACATAGCGGAGACCTCGCTCACCATAGACGGCGTTGTGTTCGTCATTGACCCAGGCTTCGCTAAACAGAAGGTAAGTTTTTTATACCGCTACTAGCTGCAATGCGTGGGAAGGCCTCCAAACCGAAGTGGCAATGGGCAGGGCATAGCTCATAGGACAGATGGCTGTTGGAGCAGTATAATACTCGAGTGGCGACCGCGGACCGGAAGACGCAGCGTGGGAAGGCCTCCAGCAAGGTGGACCGACGATCTGGTCAAGATCGCGAAGGCATTGGATGCGAGCAGCGCAGGACCGATCCGTGGAGATCTTTGGGGGAGGCCTATATCCAGCAGTGGACGTCTTCCGGGCTGAGATGATGATGACTATCTGCAAACCGCGACTTCGTCCGCGTGGTAATTTAACTTTAGTTTTCTAAAATGAAAGTAGCCTAAGTTACTCATTATATCAGCTAGATGCCAAAAAAAGTCCCGTCAAAATGGGTCCAGCTATTTCAGAGATTAGCTAGAACAAACAGACAGACAAATATTGTAAAAAAATATATTTTGGTGTATATACAGTATTTGTATTCATGAGCATGTAGTAAAAAACTGTTATTTCAATATTACAAACTCAAATTTTATTTATATGTATAAACTATCAGACCCGGCCACGCGTTGCTGCGACTAAGGTTCTTGAATAAAACAATATTGCGACTATAAATTGAGATGTAAGCTATCCTATCTATAAAGGTGGATCAAATTGCAATTGGAGTGCCATCTGCACACGCCCCCTATCGTCCGGTGAAGCTGTAAAGGCCAGCTGCGGCCCAACAGCATTAGAGTAGTCTGAAAAAAAAAAGCTTGCCTAAGGCCCGTGTGATTGCGCGTATTACTCCCGTGAAAAGGGAGATGTGTAAAACATATATGAAAGAATAATAATAATAATGTTTGAACAGGTGTACAACCCTCGGATCCGCGTGGAGTCTCTACTAGTGTCTCCGATCAGTAAGGCGTCAGCGCAGCAGCGAGCCGGACGAGCCGGACGTACGCGGCCCGGGAAGTGCTTCCGGCTCTACACAGAGAAGGCGTACAAGAACGAGATGCAGGACAACACCTACCCCGAGATACTGAGGTGACAGCTCAGACGGTTTGAAAGAGTATTTGTTTTTAGTTCTTATGTTACTAGATGTGCCGCTCTGGCTAAATAGGTCACGTCCGGAGGAATGAAAAAAATAAATTCTTTATGGTAATCTTATATATAAAAACTAGCTTTTGCCCGCGGCTGGAATGGCGTGGAATTTATCAATACCTTTCTTAGGGGATGCCTATGTCATAGTAGCTTTATGCATGCAAAGTCTCAGCCCGATCGGTTTAAAATTGACAAAGTTTCATATAAATTTTCATCCCCTATTTTATCCCCTTGGGGGTAGAAATAACCCAAATTCTTTCTTAGTGGATGCCTACATCATAGCATCTACCTGCATGCGAAATTTCAGCCCGATCCGTCCAGTTGTTTGGCTGTGCGTTGATAGATCACTACGTCAGTCAGTCAGTCACCTTTGAGTAACATATATATTTAGATAGCTGTACCCGCAATTTCGCCCGCGTGACATTGATAGCCTATATGTTAATCTGATGTTCAAAATCTACCCTGTATCATCGTAAGCACAGATATTATATTATATTAGAGTCCGTTAGTTTTCTGTTCCCGCGCGTTCCCTTCCCCTCCCTAACTAGTAACAAACGGACCGTACAGCGGCCTTGACCCGCGCGCGCATTGTGTTGTGAATTAAAATAAATTAGAACTGTGTTAACCTACTGTGAAACCTACTGTGAAGCTGGAAAGCTAGCGAAGATACCTTCGAGACCCTGAAGCCCAAGAAATCCGCAGAACCATACAGGTAAATGACTGACGCTTCCCTAACATTTTGGTAGCAGAGTAGTTTCCCAAACACTGATGTTAAGCTATATTACTGTAAAGCAGGCATGTTATGCATATGAAATTTCGGATACGGATAGGTTTCAGATATAGGAATGATTATTATACCGGATAGGGATATGAAATCGTGTCGTTTACCATTCCATATGAATCTCTAATACACCAATAATGTGCATGCAATCAATTTATTGTATATAAATTGACATATAAAAAAGCAACACACAAGTTTCTTGCTCATTCTTCTTGTGATGAATCTGCATTCCAAATGAGTGGTAGAATAAAAAATATGACTATTCAATAGTGCTTGTAATGAGTTTATTTGAATAAAGATTATTTCTATTTCTATTTCTATTTGGCACTGTAGGAGTTAACCAGACTTTCGTCCTAACAAACTGACAGACTAAAATATGGAAAGAGTCACATACGAATTTGAATTTTGAATTTCAATTTGAATAGAATGAAATTCCGAAAAAAAAAAAGTCCGGCTCGAAGGACCAAAATTCTATTCTAATCTATTCTATTTCTATTTCTTATAAATCAACAATACACACAAGGATTCTGTTTAAAGAGCATAGCAATTTCGTAGATGACTCATTCCCAAAATGAAATTTAAAATTGAACCTTCAGTATTAAAGCTAAAAGGTGTGGAGGTGTAGGTGAAACAGAATCGAACCCGCGACCGTCCGTCCCCGCCGCCGGCACGTCGCAACATATCTAATGCTTCACCGCATTGCGTTGCAGATCAAACTTAGGATCTGTAGTTTTGCAGTTGAAAAAGCTGGGCATCGATGATTTGGTGCATTTCGACTTCATGGACCCGCCCGCGCCGGAGACGCTCATGAGGGCCCTCGAGCTGCTCAACTATCTGGCCGCGCTCGGTGAGTAGCTGTTGTTTTTTTAATTATTCAGGGTGGTAGAACCTAAAGTTGAGCATAGGGGTTAAGGGAGTTTTTAGTGGTCCTTGCTAGCAATATACTATATTTGGTTATGTTCAGGGTGGAACTCTATGTTTTGATTATAGAGATTGATGATAATGTTGAGCAATGTTGAGAAAGGGGATTGTTAGTAATATGGAGTAATAAGATCGTTGCCAGCAATGTACCATGTCAGGTTAGGTTAGGAGACACTCATGCGGACCATCGAGCTGCTCAGCTATCTGGCCCGCGCTCGGTGAGTTTGTGTTTTATTTAATTCTTTATCAAGGCTGCGGAACCTAAGGTTGAGCATAGGGGGTAAGGGGATTGTTAATAATGTCGCTCGGACTGCCCAATTATCTGACAACGCTCAATGAGTTTGTTTTGTTAATTATTAATAATAATAATAATAATAATAATCTCATAACAGTATACACAGCGCCATCTAGAAGTTAAGCTAGCTAAAGCTATTGTTATGGGTACTAGGTAACTGATACATAACATAGATATTTTTTTTTTTTTCGTAAATACATAGATATTATACATAGAAAACACCCAGACCGATACAAACAATCATACTCATGAATACAAATGTTTGTGCCGTGCGAGGAATCGAACCCGCGACCATCGGACGTAAAGCGGCGTGCTAAACCGCTATACCACTGAGGTCGTCAATTTAAGGGTGGTAGAACCCAACGTTGAGTATAGGGATTGATGAGACAATGTTGAGCAATGTTGAGGAAAGTTGTTAGTAATTTGGAATAATAAATATTGTTACTAACAATTTTAAATTTTTTCTATATTACGATGGTTGCAAACAAGCATACGATACATCTGATGGTAAACGGTTACCGATACCTAAGACACCGGTTGGCTAATTATCTAACTTCGTTCGCAACTACTTTTGTATGTAACGTAGTGAAAATGACGTCATCAGTCAATAATGCTATTGAAACCGATAAGATATTGAAACCTTCAAGAAAAGAGCTTATTCCTTTTTAAAAGGCCGACAACGTACTTGCAATTCGCCTGGTGTAGCGGGTGCTCATGTGCGGCGGTGATCACTTACCATCAGGTGAGCCGCATGCTCGTTTGTCCTGGTTATAAAAAAAAATGCGATTATATTGACGCCATTTGACGCTGTCAACTAGCATTGCAACGTAAACGCAACTTTACATATCGATAGAAAATATTTCTATCGAATGTCGATTTAGTAACCTCGTTGCAATGTCACGTAATCGCTATTTTGCCGAAATGACAGCGTGGAATTGAAACGGTTTTTAGATTATGAGAAACCAGGGATGTTACGGAGCTTCGACTCCGGTTCCGTTAAATCGGAACTTCCGATTATTATCACCTTCGGTTCAGACTTCGGCTCCGACATTTTTAAATCGGAGGTCGAAGCATAACATAGCGGCGAGGGCGGCCTGTGTCGACTGTTATGAACAGGTTCATACATGTCGCGCGGGGAATCCCACCGACCTCCGCTACGTGAAGAGAAAAGAGAAGACTAACAGTCGTCGAAAAGAGAAAATTCATTGTTTTGTACCCGACTCTGGATCTAATATGATACGAGCAATGAAACTCTGCGACATACCTGTGGTCTAATTATCTAACTTTGTTCGCAACGATTTTCGTATGTAACGTAGTGAAAATGACGTCATCTGTCAATAATGCGATCATATTGACGCCATTTGACGCTGTCAACTATAACGTAAGTAATGCAACGTAACTTTACATATCGATAAAAATTATTTCTATCGAATGTCGATTTAGAATGTCACGGAATCGCTATTTTGCCGAAATGACAGCGTGGAATTGAAACAGTTTTTAGAGTATAAGAAACAATTTAGAAGGTGTTTCTTTTGGTTAAAATCTTTAAAATACCAGCATTAGCAGTATTATTTATCTTGTTTTGGTAATTTTCAGTATTACATATATTTTTATTATATTAAATATTACATAGAAAGTCGTGAAAAGGTTTTAAATTTATTAAAATGGGAAAATCGTCACGACTCACAACACGACATCAGTGTTGCCAATTCGATATTTAATTTTTGTCCCAAATCACATTGAATAAAAAATGTTGTATCAACTAGAGTAAACGTTTAATATAAAATTAGGGTTGATTATGATATTAATATAATTTAAAAACTATTTCAATGAATACGGTGCTCTGTGAACGGAATACGGAACGTTTATGATGCTCTGTGATTTGATGAAGTAAATAAATTTATTTGTTTAAAGTTTTTACAATTATGTACAAATTTAAAAAGATGTGCCCATATCATTTTAAATTTATATGGATAAAAATTACTTACCTAGGTATCTATAATAGAAAAGAAAATTTAATTTGTAGGTTAGATTCATATTATTAATGATTATAAATAGTTTGTATAAAATATGCTTTTATATTCAAAATTATTAACCTTATTTTTTCATTATAGAATAGAATAGACTTTCTTTATTTTATTTTATTAAGTGTCTATTAATAAAATTAAAATAAAAGAACAAGTGAACGCTGCAGTTTATTTTGTAATTTTTGAACGCCGTGAGAAGTCAAGTCAAGAAGAAAGTCGTGAAAAGGTTTTAAAATTATTAAAATGGGAAAATTCTTACGACAGACAACACGACTTCAGTGTTGCCAATTCGATATTTAATTTTTGTCCAAAATCACATTGAATAAAAAATGTTGGTCCAAATTAATAAAAAAAAGTTGTATCAACTAGAATAAACGTTTAATATAAAATTAGGGTTGATTATGATATTAATATAATTAAGAAACTATTTCAATGAATACGGTGCTCGGGGTGTCACGTGCGAGTTAAAGAGGTACAGTTTTTGTTTCATGTGTTAATATGTATATATGTGGAATTTGCAGATGATGATGGTAACCTGACGGACCTGGGCGCGGTGATGGCGGAGTTCCCCCTGGACCCCCAACTGGCGAAGATGCTGATAGCCAGCTGCAACCACAACTGCTCCAACGAGATCCTCTCCATCACTGCCATGCTGTCAGGTGCGTGTTGGTTGCAGATTTTTTTTTATTACTCTTTATTGCACCATAATAACAAAAAAACATATATACAAACGAAAGCAATATTTAGATTATGGGTACAAAAGGCGGTCTTATCGCTTATGCGATCTCTTCCAGACAACCTTTGGGTAGAGGAGAAAAGACAGAAGGTGGTGAATATTATTCTAAAACAGCTATTCAAAAGAGACACAAGTTTCTCGCTCATTCTTCTTGTGATGAGTCTGCGTTTCGAATGAGTGGTGGAATAATAAATATGTGACTATTCAGAAGTGCTTATATTAAGTTTATTTGAATAAAGATTATTTCTATTTCTTGTTTGTCATTCTAATTATATATAATTACTAGCTGACCCGCGCAATGTCGTCGGTATTTCATTTCCGCGCCTTTTACAATATTTTTTATTGCAGCTCCGCCCCTATTGGTCGTAGCGTAATGTTATATAGCTTAAAGCCTTCCTCGACAAATGGACTATCCAACACAAGAAGAATTTTACAATTCGACCCAGTAGTTCCTGAGATTAGCGCGTTCAAACAAACAAACTTCAGTTTTATAATATTTATATATTATATATATTTTTTTCACTTTTATGGATTTAAAAGAAGCTAATACTCACCTACATGGGCCTTAGCCAAGTGTGGGAGAGGTTGTGCTGGGTGAAGATATTGTTGAGGAGGTTAAGAATTATTATTATATATATTATTAATATTATTATTGTATTATATAATTTTTTATTAATATATTTGTGTTGTATGTTTACAGTACCGCAGTGTTTCGTAAGGCCGAACGAGGCGCGTAAGGCGGCAGATGAGGCCAAAATGAGGTTCGCGCACATCGACGGTGACCATCTCACGCTGTTGAATGTTTACCACGCCTTCAAACAGAGTAAGAGCAGTGGCAACACATTTTATTGAGTCATGTCTCCCTACATTATCCTTCCTAAAATTCTTGAAATGGCGTCTACCACGCCCTCAGAGTAAGAGCAGTGGCATTACAAGATTTTTTTAGGCTACTTACTACGTATGTTTAATTTTTTTTTCCGACAACTCAAATGCTGTTGGCCGCGGCAGGCCAGGCAGGTCTGTACAGCTTCACCGGACGATAGGGGGCGAGTGCAGATGGCACTCCAAACCAAAGAAGGACTTATGGAGCAGTTGAAGGCCAACTACCGCCTGACGGATACGACTTTAGTCTGAGGGCACCGCTGGTTCGAACCTCGGCTCAGGCCGTCGTAATATCGATCCCCGTTTGAATTGGACGGGGGATCGATCGGAGGAAAATTGTTGTAGTGTAATAATAATAATATAATATCTCAGGACAATTAACACAGCGCCATCTAGTCCCAAGCTAAGCAGAACTTGTTGCTTGCTTGCATAGATTTTTTTTATTAATACATACATATTATACACAGTAAACACCCAGACCGATACAAACAATCATACTCATGAATATAAAAGTTTGTATCATTCGAGGAATCGAAGAAGAACCAGAGTGACCGACATAGCCCGAAGAATTGCGACTCTGAAGTGGCAATGGGCGGGGCACATGGCTCGTAGGACAGATGGCCGTTGGGGCAGTAAAGTCCTCGAGTGGCGACCACGGACCGGAAGACGCAAGGTGGACCGACGATCTGGTCAAGATCGCTGGAAGGCATTGGATGCGAGCAGCGCAGGACCGATCGTCGTGGAGATCTTTGGGGGAGGCCTATGTCCAGCAGTGGACGTCTTCCGGGCTGCGATGATGATGATGATGAGGAATCGATCCCGCGACCATCAGATAGTACAGCGGTATATTCCACTAGACCACCGACTACTCTATTCTGATGAACTATATGTGTGTTGCAGACATGGAGGACCCACACTGGTGCTACGATAACTTCATCAACTACCGCTCGCTGAAGTCGGGCGACAACGTGCGGCAGCAGCTCAGCCGGATCATGGACAGGTGAGGCAGTCCCTACTAATTTTTTTTTATGGACGATAGTGGAATGGTGCACCCGCCTGTACTAACGGTTTACGCTGGCGGGGCACCAGTGGAGGATGATAAGATGAGAATGAGGTCAGGTCAGTTAGCCCATCGTGACAATTTCACCAGGATTTTAACACGATAGTTTCCAGGGGGAACCGCGTGGGGGTCGACCCGACATGGTACATTGCTAGCAATGGGGTTATCAATCCACATTACTAACAATCCACTCCCCCCAGTCCCTACTAATTATATAAATGCGAGAGTAACTCTGTCTGTCTGTCTCGCTACTCGAGCTCGTCAAAACTACTGAATCACGACGCCACGGGTTAAATTAAAAAAAAAATTTGGGTTAGACTACCCCTAACATTTAGGAGGAAGAAAAATAGATGTTGGCCGACCTACTCAATACGCTCACAAAATTTCATGAGAATCGGTCAAGCCGTTTCGGACGAGTATGGGAACGGAAACTGTGACACGAGAATTTTATATATAAGATAAAATTTATATTATATAATATAATGTAATGCCATATTTTAAATAGTAATAGTTTTTGTATTTACATATAATCTATACCTGAAGCTATTTAAATGAATTTTATAATATAGTTTTGTTATTTAATATTATATATATTATTTGACGACCTCGGTGGTCTAGCGGTCTAGCACACCGCTTTACGTCCGATGGTCGCGGGTTCGATTCCTCGCACGGCACAAATATTTGTATTCATGAGTATGATTGTTTGTATCGGTCTGGGTGTTTTCTATGTATATTATGTATGTATTTACGAAAAAAAAAAATATCTATGTACTTGTATCAGTTATCTAGTACCCGTAACACAAGCTTTAGATAGCTTAACTCGGGTCTAGATGGCGCTGTGTGAATTGTTATTAGATTATTATTATTATTATTATTATTATAATTATAATGTTTGTTCGTTTATTGCAGGTTCAATCTGAAGCGTACTAGTACAGAGTTCACCAGTAAAGACTACTATATTAATATAAGGAAGGCACTCGTCAATGGTTTTTTCATGCAGGTATGTTCATTCGTTACTAGATGACTCGAGAATTACGGCCACAGGCAGAGGCTGCAAAAAAAATGCAATTTCTAAATATATATTTGACGACGTTTGACGATCTCATTGGTCTAGCACACCGCTTTACGTCCCGTCGCGGGTTAGATTCCTCGCACGGCACAAACATTTGTATTCATGAGTATGATTGTTTGTATCGGTCTGGGTATTCTATGTGTTTACGAAAAATATTATCTATGTATTTGTATCAGTTATCTAGTACTCATAACACAAGCTTTAGCTAGCTTTAGCTTTAACTTGGGTCTAGATGGCGCTGTGTGAATATATATTGTTATTTGTTTACATATATGTATATTGTTCTTTGTTTGTCTGTGCGCAATAAAGAATTATTATTATTATTATTAATTTATTTACTCTATTGCACCAGAAATATATATATATATATATGTATATATAATAGATAAAAAGTTATACAAAAGGCGGTCTTATCACTAACAGCAATTTCTTACAGACTCAATTAATATCTATACTCATTTTAATTAATTTCATATTCTCTGTTCACTTTATAATGTGCTGTTGCCTTTATACGTAGTGATGTCAATTTTTAGAATTAGTTTGTTGTTATTTGTGGAAGCCTATCAGTGGCTTAGTAGGACGTCTATATTGATTTTATTTAAGACTAGCTGTTCCCGTGTGGAATTTAACTTTATTTTTCTAAAATAAAAGTGGCCTAAGTTACTCCTTATTACATCAGTTACCTGCCAAAAAAGTCTCGTCAAAATCGGCCCAGCCATTTCAGAGATTAGCCGAAACAAACAGACCGACAGACAGACAGACAAAAATTATAAAAAATGTTTATTTGGTATATGTACCGTATATATATTCATATGCATGTAGTAAAAAACGGTTATTTCAATATTACAAACAGACGCTACAATTTTATTTATATGTATATATATACTTAAATAGCCTTGGTTTTCCTGTAATAAATTAATAATTTAATAATGTTTGTTATTCACAGGTGGCACACTTGGAACGTACAGGGTATTACTTAACAGTGAAAGACAATCAGGTAGTCCAGTTACATCCGTCCACCTGCCTCGACCACAAGCCCGACTGGGTTATATACAATGAATTCGTGCTCACAACTAAAAATTATATAAGGACAGTTACAGACATCAAACGTGAGTATCCGTAGTGTAGCTACAGTATTACATATGAAATAAAATCCAAAATAATTCTAAACTTTCGTGTTTAATATACATTATTTTAATTATTAACCGGGTCTTAAGAAAGAAAAGAAGAAAGACAATGAGATTAAATCAGTCGTAGTGATAAGAGCAGACTGGTCCCTACAAGCAGCACTCGTTCACGAGTATGACGGATGAAATGCTAACGTTAAAGACGTTTAGAATCTACATAGACATTCTAAAATTGGTTAAGTTAAAATATGTGAATCCAATCTACCAACTAGCTCTAAACTTCATCCTCGATTATCTTTTATATCAACCACGCGAATGTTATAAGTGAAGAAAGAAAAATATTTTATTCAGTGCAATGTAAAAGATACAATATAAACAACAAACGAAAAAAAAAGAACAAATAAAATGTACATATAATTAAACTTAATTTACCATAATTAGAAATAAACATAAAATAATCAGGTTTACTTACCTTTAATTGTCATAAAATTATTCGTGTTAGGTTAGGTTAGTATCCACCCCAATTTTATTTTTTTATTTTTTAGACAAAATTTTTTGTTTCTATTTTTTTTATGATACAACATACAAAAATACATACAATCCTAAATTTTCACCGTTCTATCATAAACCCCTATTTTTTTTATAGCGTTATTAATTTGTATGGCAAAACAACGTGTTTAGACCCGGTTAATAATTTAAATAATCCAAAATAATTTATTCTAAATAAATGTCCTACAATTTTAGGTCGGATTTCACTAAAGAAACTGATCGCGTTCAGTTCGAACTGAACGCGATTAAAACGTTTAAACGTGTTCAAAGACCCATTGAGAATAAAGGATACTTAGGAACAAGTTTGTCTTTAAATCTAGTATTAATGTAATGAATATGACTCTTTTGGATTTTGAATATTCAGTAATAAAATTTCATAATATTTATCCGTCTTATTTTATTAATTTCAGCCGAATGGCTCCTGAAAATCGCGCCACAGTACTACGAGCTGAATAATTTCCCACAATGCGAGGCGCGGAGACAGCTCGAGCTGCTGCAGGCGAGGCTCGACTCGAAAGTGTACCAAGAAGGCTTCTAAAGCCAACGGAGATGCAGCATCTCACACCAAGAATGAAGACTAAGTTAACAAGTGATATAATGTTCAGGACTGTAGTGATGTGCGGACTATATCTAATGTGTTTGAAAGTGGTATCACGGGCATAGACAATGGCTCAACAACATTTTTTTTTATGGATGATAATGGAGTTTTGCGGATATCTATGGTTATAGTACATGGTACCAGGATCTTAGAATGTGCGTGGAGTTAAGTCAGTTTGTTGCAATATAACCAGAATATTTATCATGGGCATAGACAATGACCCGCCAGCATATTTTTTTATGGATGATAATGGATTTTTGCGGATATATATAGTAAAAGTACAGTTGGTACCAGGATGTTAGAATATGTGTGGAGTTAAGTAGTTATATCAGCATCATTTCAGTTAGGAAGATATCCACTGCTGAACAGAGGCCTTCTCCAAAAATCTTCACGACGATCGGTCCTGCGCTGCTCGCATCCAATGCCTTCCAGTGATCTTGACCAGATCGTCGGACCACCTTGCTGGAGGCCTTCCCACACTGCGTCTTCCGGTCCGCGGTGGCCACTCGAGTATTATATTGCCCCAACAGCCATCTGTCCTACGAGCTATGTGCCCTGCCCATTGTCACTTCGGTTTCGCAATTTTTCGGGACCGAAGTTTGTTATAATTTAACTATGATTCTCAGGGCATAGACAAGTACCGGCATGTTTTTTTTTTAATGGAATTGTGCCTATGCGGCCGTACACACTAGCACCAGGATTATCATCCTGATGAAATAAATAAAGTTAGATAACAATTTAACCAAAATGGTTAAACGGAATTTAGAGTCGGCAACGCGCACGTGTCACTCCTGATGTTTCAGGCGTCCATAGGCTACGGTAACCATTTACCATCAGATGGGCCGTATGCTTGTTTGTCACCTACATGGTATAAAAAAACTTGGAGGGCCGCCTGACATTGCACTTGCTAGTAATGGATTGAAGATACGATGTATAGGCGCGGTGGCAATTCTACTGGCTCTATCTAAGGCAGAGTATAAGGCACCGGATGCCTCAGTGTAAGGCAGACGTAGGTTCTAGGAAGTCGTACGACGTTGTGTTGCTATTGATTAACATAAGATTAGGATCCAGCAAATTCACTGCCAAGAAACAACTTACGAAGCGAGCTGTTTGGCAGCTGTAATAAAAGTTAACAGATTACTTTTCCCCCCATAAGGGGAAAAAGCTTAAATAGGCAAAAAAATAAGGGAATTTAGTTTTTTACCCGGGACAAATTGTCTAGCGTAGATCGATCGATTTAATAATAAAAAACGGAGCATGATTCCCATACGGGACAGTCAGTTCCGGACATTTTAAACTAAGCCTAAAATACGGGACGATTGGCAACGCTAGCTGAAATATGCGAGATTGAGGTACACACGCAGAAAACTCAAGGTCTACCTTCTGTTCTTTTTTGAAGAGTTTTAGACTCTGCTAAGAATCTTTAGTTGCCATTCATAAATTGTGTGACATCATTTTTTATTGGGTTATGGGCTATTGTCAAACGTGGATCGAAATTACGAGTTGCCAGTTGCATAAACGAATTATGACATTTCGTGACATGTTGGGTGTTTGTTCAGGAACCGGCGTGAGTGATGTTCTTCTATAATTTATATCACTTAGCACCAGGTGGGCCGTTGGTCTGTCCGGGGCTATTGTCTGGTGCTAAGACCTGTAGCACTGCGACCTACATATATCTATTGTGCTCGCCCTTTTTCAGAATTCGCTACCTAGACCCGTCCGGGACGAGAATTGAAGGATATTCTTAGGAGCGATGGTTTTTGTCTCAGGATAGAGTGTATACTTTCCAAAGGAGATATTTCGTTTATACATGAGAGGGCTTCAACCAGATAGGATGTGTAGTGGCGTTTCCTCTTCTGTTTGGCAGAATCTTTAGATTGTTTCATATATAAAGCAGCTCGTATAACAATGTTCGTTTTATGCGCGTACTTGCTTTTTTTTATCAAATTCAAAGAGCCAGCCAGTAGGCAGTGCGATGATTTAAAAAGTTAAAACGACAAAAAAATGTCAAAATGAAAATTCACAAATTTTTATTGTGGGGTTTGGGCTATTGTCAAGTGCTAAGACCTGTAGCACTGCGACCTACATACATCTATTGTGCTCGTCCGTTTTCAAAGTCCACTACCTAGACCCGTCAGGGACAAGAATTGAAGGATATTAGGAGCGATGGTATTTATCTCTTCAGGATAGTACACACAGGTTCCTCTTCCCCACTGGGCACACTGAGCACGTACCCAGGGCCCCGCGAAGGATTGTGACCCTAATCTAGTCCCTACTCCATTACCAAACTATACCCTATAGCTACTCTACTCTCACTAGAAAATCAGTCTTAACAAATGCTTACCGATTATGGTCAATTTGTTCGATTTTTTTATAAATGTCTAGCAAGAACTTATCGCAACGATTTTTTTATATTTTTTTTTGCCTGGTTTGCTTTTAAGGTAGAGCATCTGTATATAGATCATGTTCAAAATGACTTTGTCTGTTCTAACAAAATAGTGCTTTATTACTATGGTCCTAGGCGCCCCTATATCCTAATGTGCCCAAGGCCTCTAATAGGAGAAAGACGACCGAGTACACACCTCAGCTCCACGTTGACGTAATTTGTGAATGGAACTATAAGGTATCCGGGAATGTTTTGTATGAATTCACATCAGTAAAGTGATACAAAGTGACGATGAGTAACGGCCAGCCGTATGGTTTTATAATATGGACTATATACACTAATGTATCGACCGCAGCGCAGTAGCGCGGTGTTTTGGTGTTTAAAATAATGTTATTAAACATAGGAAATAAATGATTCTACTGTATATGAATTGATTTTTATTTAACTCGTTACTGGTGGCCTCATGTGGAATTAGATAAAATAAAATTTCAAAATTCAAATATCAAAATATTTTTATTCATGTAGGTCTATTACAGACTCTTATGATATGTCAAATCTACCGTCAGTTCGGAGTGATTTCGAGATGAGAAGAACTGACAAGAAACTCAGCTCGTATTCTTTTCAAATAAACGTTGTACATGTTTACAATAATACAGATTCATTTTTAATATCAAATTTGTGAGAATAGAGTGACTACCAGCATATGCTATTGCAAAAGCAAATAGTCTAATCAGTGTTCAGTGTAACCCATTTCTAAAGTAAAGTAGCATATGTTTAAACATTCGTGTTTAATAGGTTTTGCCCATGATATTTGTAGTCTAGGGTAGACGAACCTGTATGCATCAACGTGCCATTTTTTCCAAAAAATTGTTTAATGGGGTCATTGACGTGCCATCAAACAATTTTGACTTGCTGATTATTTGGTAAATAATAATAATAAATACTATCAAAACTCTATATGAAATAAAGTAAACAAAAGAGGTACATTTTGGATTGTTTTCATTACACGCATAAATTAAATTAGTGTGACTTCTGTTGCTGCAGGTTAGATGACAAATAATTTATGTCAGGCTTGTACGATGTTACTTTTAGCAAAGTGCATGCTGAACTGGATTCATCTGTCAAACGGTTTCTAACCGAGTTTTTAGTGTTATTCATCTCTGAAAATAATGACTCGCAGGCATAGGTAGGTGGAAATATTGTTAAAATTCAAATTCAAAAATCATTTATTCATGTAGGACATTTTAGCCGCTTATGAACGTCAAATTTTTACATTATAATTTTATTATTTCTCTACCGTCAATACGTCAAAATGGCATGAGTCAGCTTCTTCAAACAGTTTTATGATCGACGACGTGCCCAAAATATTGTGTCGCGTGCCGTCAATAGCCGCCTACCCTAGTCTATTGGTGTTATTCTGACGTATAAGCTGTATTACTGCTATTTGCTGAAAACTTCATGTATACAGTATTGCACTGTAGAGTTTGATATCAACAAATAACTTTTGTAGCATCAAGGCAAGAAGTTTAATAGTCATACCCTTAGTTTCCATATAAATTGAGATATGCGTCGTCTATCTATCGTTTGTGGCTACGATGGTCTCTGCAGTACGTAGCGGATACACCTACTTACAATAAAATTTATTCTCAACATTATAATACGTAATTATAAGAAAATAATAACTTTCGTTGAATTATTAATGAAGCTTTTAAGTTCATTATGTTGGTAACTATGCTTTTATAAGCGTCCAATTTACTTCGAACTTTTCGATATGAATTCTAATTAGTTCACTTTTAGCGTATTTTCAATTTAATTTTGATAGGATTTTATTGATCTTGCTTCGTATACTGTCTTTAACTTACCAAGGACCTAAATGATCCAGCGGTTTATCGCACCGCCTTTTGTGGTCGTGGCTTCAATTCCTTGCACGATGCAACCATCTTATTAATATAATAAACGCGTAAGTTTGTGAGTGTGGATGGATCATCATCATCATCGTAGCCCGGAAGACGTCCACTGCTGGACATAGGCCTCCCCCAAAGATCTCCACGACGATCGGTCCTGCGCTGCTCGCATCCAATGCCTTCCAGCGATCTTGACCATGGATGGATGTTTGTTACTCTTTCACGCAAGAACTACTCAACGGATTTTGATGAAACTTTCAGTAATATAACTGTACAAGGGACGTATTTTGATCTCTTTTTCCCAGGAAGTTTACGGCTTAAACTGAACTGCATGGAAACTGACTGGATTTTAAAAAGTTCATAATACGCCCCCTGGTCTAAAGCGCCTAATATATTTTAATAGAATAGAATAGAAAATCATTTATTCAAATAAACTTAATTTAAGCACTTTTGAATAGTCAACATTTTTTTCAAATCTACCGCTTATTCGGAAAGCTGTCTCATCACAAGAAGAATAAGCAAGAAACTTGTGTGTTGCACTTTTAAACAATCCTTGTAAGTTCACATTTTACAAGTCGAAACGTGTGAATACAAACTACCAACCAGCACTAATTTATTTAGGCTCAAATATAAAAACACAATAAGATTAAATCAGTGGTAGTGATAAGAGCAGACCAGTCCCTACAAGCAGCACTCGTTCACGATTATGACGGATGAGCCAGCCATCACTGCGCTCGACCATATTTTAGGGAGCCCAATGACCCGGCCCACCACGCCGCATGTCTGGACATTTTAGTGTAGTAGTAATAGCACCAAGAAGATGCACTTAGTGGTCGCATTGCATATATACTCGTTTTTTTATACCTGCATTATTTTTATTTTTTTATCTTATACAGATAGACGTCAGTTGTCGAGTTCACTTTTGTACTAACCTAATTGGTAAAACGTTGATATTAAAATACTTACAGATAATAAAATATGGGTTTCATTAGAAGCTCCATTATGTCATACCAGACAAAAACTCATACGTCAAAATAACATATCATTACATAATATAAAATAAAGTCGCTGTCGCTGTCTGTCCCTATGTATGCAAATCTTAAAAACTACGCAACGGATTTTGAATAGTTTTGTTTATAGATAGAGTAATTCAAGAGGAAGGTTTATATATATAATACATGTACACCCGTGCAAAGCCGGGGCGAGTAGCTACTGGCCTATAAATTCCACGCGGATGAAATTGTGGGCACAGCTAGTTCGAAATAAAACTAAATATAACAATAAATCAATTTAATCATACAACAACTACCATCGCTCGCTCATTATAATATAAACTCAATTCGTACACCTGGAAAGTTCTAAGTATAGTCATGACCATCGACAATAATCTATAGACGCCGGTGCCAATCAAAATTAAAAAATATTCATGTAGGACATTTTAGCCGCTTATGAACGTCAAATTTTTATATTATATTTGTTTCCTTACCGTCCAGTTCCGTATATAGAGCCAATTGAGAAGAACTGGTAAGAACTGAATTGTTTTTTTTTTCCAAAGCCAGTTTATTTACAATGTATATTTATATAGGTGTCTATGTCTAACATTAAATGAAAATCCAGTGCATGAAAAACTATTGCCATGCACGCTCGTCATTCAAGTAATCGTTTAGTGAGTAAGGTTTTGCTCAGTAAATATGATTTAACAGATGTTTTGAATTTATTTAAGTGTAATTCCAACATATCCTTTGGTATCTTATTGTAAATTTTACCTATTCCCATAAGAGACCGAGAAGAAGATTGACTTTCTAAACGATACATGGGGACAGCAAGATTGTCTTTAAATCATTACATAGTATACAACAAAGTCGCTGTCGCCGTCTGTCCATCCCCCTATGTATGCTTTAAAACTACGCAACGGATTTTGAAGCGATTTTTTTAGTAGATAATGATTCAAGAGGAAGGTTTATATATATAATATATGTGCACCCGTGCGCAGTCGGGGCGAGTAGCTAGTCTAGTATATTTACGTTCTATATCAACTGTTGGCAAAATCTCTGATCTCATTCTTGTTCTTTTGATTTGTGTGGCTTCCATCAATGATTATAATAATGTCAACGAGAAAGAGCAGAGAGGAAGACCAAGGCACAGCTACATCCAGCAAATTAAAGACAGAATTGGAGTCGTGTAGTATCAAAGCTTAGAGTCTGATGGAAGATTGTGGAAAGTGGCAAGAGCTACACCGACAAGAGCGTCTCTCTTAAATTATCAATGAAAATTCATTGATAATTTAAGAGTAGACTTTTTTTCATTCATTCATTCATTCATTTATTTATTGCTATTACAAGTTATTACTTTATTTTATTATTCTCAAGTAAATACTTAACAAAAAAATCGCTTTTTCTGCATTTTTGCCACAAACATTCTCACATTGTCACTGCTATTTAGGGCCGTAAACTTCATCTTTTTGGGCACGGCATGCTTACATTACTGTCGATGATCATAACTGTCATATCTACAATTAACATTTAAGTATAAAATTAAATACAACATTAGGGGCCATCCACAAACAACGTCACATTTTAAGTATCTAGTGTGATAAAGTGTGACATTGTATAATAAAAGGAGATCGATGAGATATCAAAATTCATGTAACAAGATCTGAGACCCCATACCAACCTCGTAGGGTCTTATATTCATGTAACAAGGTCTAAGGCCTCTCCCGACCTCGTAGGGTAAGACCCTATTCATGTAAAAAGGTCTAAGACCTCTCTCAACCTCGTAGGGTCTTATATTCATGTAACAAGGTCTAAGGCCTCTCCCGACCTCGTAGGATCTTATATTCATGTAACAAGGTCTAAGACCGCTCCCGACCTCGTAGGGTCTTATATTCATTTAAAAGGTCTAAGACCTCTCCCGACCTCGTAGGGTCTTATATTCATGTAACAAGGTCTAAGACCGCTCCCGACCTCGTAGGGTCTTATATTCAGGTAAAAAGGTCTAAGACCTCTCCCGACCTCGTAGGGTCTTATATTCATGTAACAAGGTCTAAGACCTCTCTCGACCTCGTAGGGTCTTATATTCATGTAACAAGGTCTAAGACCGCTCCCGACCTCGTAGGGTCTTATATTCATGTAAAAAGGTCTAAGGCCTCTCCCGACCTCGTAGGATCTTATATTTTATGACAGTACATTTCAAATTTGGCATTACATTTTAATTATCATCAAGTCAAGCAAAATGTATGTATGATATTCCATGACGTAAGGTGTATGGCCCCATACAGATGTGTGGTACACAGAACCATACGGACTAAAATTTCAGCCATTTTTTTTTTACTATCCACAATTTTTTTGAAACTAATGCTGTTGGCCGCAGCTGGCCTTTACAACTTCACCGGACGATAAAAGCATTTCTACCATTGAATTCAAATTTATACAAACGCTAGTTTTCTTGATTTAAATTCATTTTGTAAATACATACATTCATTTTGTAAAAACATTCATGCTCAAATGTTAAATCTTGTGAGGAATCGAACCCGCGACCATCGGAGGTAAGATTAAGGAACAAACATTTGTATACACGAGTATGACTGTATCTGTCTGGGTGTTTTCTATGAATATTATGTGTGTATTTACAAAAAAATCTATGTATTTATATCAGTTGTCTAGTACCAATAACACAAGTTTCAGCTTAGCTTGGGACTAGATGGCGCTGTGTGAATTGTCCTGAGATTATTATTATTAAATATTTCGTTTATATGATAATAATAACTGGACAATGCACAAAACGCCAAGTCTCGAGGTAAGCAGAGCTTGTGTTATGGGTACTAGACAACTGATATAAATACATTTTTTTTAAATACATACATATTATACATAGGAAACATTCAGACCGATACAAACAATCATACTCATGAATACAAATGTTTGTCGAACCCGCGACTTTCGGTACTAAAGCTAAACCGCTGGATCCCCGAGCGGTCGATCTATACTATAATCAAATTTATACCATATACGGTGTAGCATGGTGCAGGTGACATTTACTAATTTTACATTTAACAATTGCAATATTCAAGTTTATAAAGTTATGAATAATAATAATAATAATTTATTTGTATGTATATATATATGTGTGTATGTATATTTTATATATAATGATTATTATGTAGTTATATGTATGTGTATATGATATGTAAATTGTACATCCAACAACAAATTGTTATACCTCGACCAGACACAGTCTAATCACTCCTCTCCATCCTAAGGTTGCCTGGAAGAAATCGCTATTTAGCGATAAGGCCGCCCATTGTTACCTCTATATTATAATTATTTTGTTATTATTTTCATATTTAATGTACATATTAATTTATGTAATTACTCTTTCTGTGAGAGGAACAATAAAGTGTTTTTCATTCATTCATTCATCTCAGGACAATTCACACAGCGCCATCTAGACCCAAGTAAACCTTGTGTTATGGGTCCTAGACAACTGATACAAATACATAGATAATTTTTTCGTAAATACATACATATTATACATAGAAAATACCCAGACCGATACAAACAATCATACTCATGAATACAAATGTTTGTGCCGTGCGAGGAATCGAACCCGCGACCATCGGACGTAAAGCGGTGTGCTAGACCGCTAGATCACCGAGGGCGTGTTGAATGATTTAATATATTATGAATATAGTACAGTTGAAGTATTTATTTATTTTTACACTTTTTTGCAGTTACTGAAAATATTAATTAATATAAAAATATGTATAACAATGAGTACAAAAGGCGTTCTTATTGCTGAGCAATTTCTTACAGGCAACGTTTAGGTAGACGGTGAAGATATAAGAAAAAGAGTAGATGGTACAAATGACAACACGACTAATATAGGTATAAATAATACATGCAAATATACATAAATATATATAGACACTAGCTGTCCCGGCAAACGTTGTTTTGCCATATAAATTACTAACGCTATAAAAAAATAGGGGTTGATGATAGAAGGGTGAAAATTTAGGATTGTATGTATTTTTGTATGTTGTATCATAAAAAAAATAGAAAAAAAAAATTTTGTCTAAAAAATTAAAAAAATAAAATTTAGGGGTGGACTACCACTAACATTTAGGGAGATGAAAAATAGACGTTGGCCGATTCTCAGACCTACTCAATACGCTCACAAAATTTCATGAGAATCGGTCAAGCCGTTTCGGAGGAGTATGGGAACGAAAACTGTGACACGAGAATTTTATATAAAAGATATATATGTACATACCTACATAAACATAAACTTAATAATACACATATCCATGGAAAGTTTGAAGGAAAGATAGGGACTACAAGAAAAGAAAAGGGAAAGGAAATGAGTTTTTAGTGATGCTTTAAAGCCAGCAAGAGATTGAGCGCGCCGAATAGGAGCGAGTTCCACAACCAACAGGCTGGACGGAAAAGTACTAAGTCATAATTTGTAAATCGCGGCAACTTGTACTGGTGAGTACTGGTCTACTGAGATACAGGCCTCGTGCCTAGTTCAGTTCCCAGGCTCATACAATCACAACATATTGTTTATAAAAAAATGAATTTATACCTGTACATGATTGTGGCTTAATAAAATTTATTATTATTATTATTATTATTGTAAGAGTGAAACGAAACGTTAATTGAACTGTCACCTGCAGCATGGTATAGTTACAAAACAATAGTAAATGCATTGTGAATTCTGGTTGTGCGCTCGTGTACACACCCTAATGTTGTTATTTGTGATATATATCTATGTACAGTGACGCCCTGTCTTTCGTCCGGAGTGCTTGAAGATCAAGTGGAGACCCCAGCTGTGTGGGTGGAATGGAACGCACCCTGTCGCCGCGCCATCTGCAATAATACACTTATTTATGGGTGCTGCTTATGACAAAAAAGTTTTAAAAAACAACATTCCATCCATATATCTTTGCTGTTTAAAAAAATATATCCCCAAACATAGTACTTTTCACATTGGGTCCCCAAGTATCGTTTAGAAAAAGTTAATAGGTCTTTTATAGGAATAGGTATAAAAATTTACAATAAGATACCAAAGGATATATTGGAATTACCATTAAATAAATTCAAAACATCTGTTAAATCATATTTACTGAGCAAAGCCTTACTCACTAAACGATTACTTGAATGACGAGCGTGCATGGCAATAGTTGTTCATGCACGGGATTTTCATTTAATGTTAGACATAGACACCTATATAAATATACATTGTAAATAAACTGGCTTTAAAAAAGAAGTAATTCAATTGAGTTTCTTGCCAGTTCTTCTCAATTGGATCTATATAACGAACTGGACGGTAGGGAAAAAAAAATTTAAATGTAAAAATTTGACGTTCATAAGCGGCTAAAATGTCCTACATGAATAAATGATTTTTGAATTTGAATTTGAATTTGAGGCCCCTTTGCAGCTCAGTATATCTTTGTTCTTTAAAAAAAATATTTCCCCAAATATGGTCCTATTATTTTATATTTTTTGTTTGTTTATTTTTAACTAGCTGTACCCGCGACTTTGTCCGCGTGGAATTTAACTTTATTTATACCTTTATACGTAGTGACGTCAATTTTTAGAATTAGTCTGTTGTTATTTGTGGAAGCCTATCAGTGGCTTAGTAGGACGTCTATATTGATTTTATTTAAGACTAGCTGTTCCCGTGTGGAATTTAACTTTATTTTTCTAAAATAACAGTAGCCCAAGTTACTCCTTATTACATTAGCTACCTGCCAAAAAAAGTCCTATCAAAATCGGTCCAGCCATTTCAGAGATTAGCCGGAACAAACAGACCGACAGACAGACATACATAAATTATAAAAAAATGTTATTTTGGTTTATATACCGTATTTATACAATATATATAAATAAAATTGGAGTGTCTGTTTGTAATATTAAAATAACCGTTTTTTACTACATGCATATGAATATAAATACGGTACATACACCAAAATAACATTTTTTACAATTTTTGTCTGTCTGTCTATCTTTCTGTTTCTGAAACGGCTAAACCGATTTTAACGGGACTTTTTTTGGCAGGTAGCTAATGTAATAAGTAGTAACTTAGACCACTTTTATTTTAGTAACATTATTTTATTTTAGAAAAATAAAGTATAATTCCACGCGAACGAAGTCGCGGGTACAGCTAGTATAAAATATAACCTATGTTATTCTGATGCATAAGCAAGTAAAGTTTAGTGTAGTGTAGTTTCATAAAAATCAGTTCAGTAGTTTTTGCGTGAAAGAGTAACAAACATTCATACTTACAAACTTTCGCGTTTATATTATTAAGATTAAGATGTATAGTTACCGTCGGAGTGCGGGGGCGGAGCCCGACGAGGCTAGGCGGAGGCTCCCTTGGCGACTCCGACGAGCGCGGGCCGCACGCAGCGCTCGTGTAGCTTGTATCCCACCTTGCTCACCGTTACCACAGTGCCTGCCTCCGCGCCTTCCACCTCCTGCAATCATCATCATCATCATCATCATCATCATCATCACTACCACCATCATCATATCTCCAATCATCCATTTACAAATTGCTTATATACAGCACGTACGAATGTATTTTTTTTACTAACAAAAATTATAAAAAAAGATATTTTGGTGTAATTCATATGCATGTAGTAAAAAACAGTTATTTCAGTATGACAAACAGACACTCCAATTTTATTTATATGTATAGATTTATTTCAGGCAACTAGGCCCATATTATAAATACTTTATAGACTAACATATATATGAAATAATATTTTAAAACTAATATATTGATATTGTCTGTGTGATCACGGCACTGACGATGGCAATCTGCCACGGTAGCGCCGATATACCACACCCTTCGGCCAGTCCTCCTTCATGAAGGTTGGCAGCATGTTGGGCCCGGACCACAAACGACTTGAAACTCGCGTTGTGACTCGACTCCAGCTGCATCACCCTCAATCTCAGGTTACTCTTGGTTCGTATATAATCAATAATATTTATTATTTACGTTTTGCCACACTACCACATTGTGGAATCACCTTCCAGCAATGGTATTTCCGAACCGATACGATATTGAAACCTTCAAGAAAAGAGCTTATTCCTTTTTAAAAGGCCGACAACGTATTTGCATTTCCCCTGGTGTTGCGGGTGCTCATGGGCGGCGGTAATCACTTACCATCAGGTGAGCCGCATGCTCGTTTGTCCCCTGTGTTATAAAAAAAAATATAGATGACTGTTACCACTTACCATCAGGTAGGACGTCAGCTTGTTTACCATTCCAAAGGTATAGGAAAAGAATTACCTGTTGAAATAGCGCCTCGTGTAGGTTGGGATCGAACTTCTCCTTGAGCGGAGACACTGCCACCAGACCGTGGCGACTGAACACCTGTACACACGAACATATACATATATATTTATACACATATTTCATATATAACAGCTGCTCCCGCAACTGCGTCCGCGTGGAATTTAACTCACGAGATTAGCCGGAACAAACAGACCGACAGAAAGACAGACAAAAATTGTAAAAAAAAAATATTTTGGTGTATGTATTTATATTCCTATGCGTGTAGTAAAAAACAATTATTTCAATATTACAAACAGACGCTCCCAATTTTATTTATATGTAAAGATGCAACTGTGATGAAAATCATATTAAATTTATTGAATAGATAATAAATTTCTATTATTAAGAGATTGTACATAGTGATTGCTTACTGACATCACTCAATGCTATACAGTGGACCCGCGGTAATCCGGCCCCCCTTGTAATCCGACATTGTCTATTATTTGTTATTGAATATTACTTTGACAATATACTTCAGAGTGCATATACATACATACATATATAACATAGAATCTTATCACTGGATCTGTAATTTGTCGGATTGCAAGATACTCTTTTGTAAAAATATTCCACTATAAGCAGAGGACCCTTAAGAGAGCACTCTATAATCCGACAAATACGATGGTCCGACACTGCCCTGCAAAACGTTTGTCGGATAACCGGGGGCCCACTGTATATGTATATAATATAAAGAATCATCATTGGATCTATAATTTGTCGGATTATTATAATAAATTTATTAATAAAAAATATATAACGGACTATAAGGGGTCTTAGGCAGTACTCTATAATCCGACAAATTCGATAGTCCGACACTGCCCTGCAAAATGATTGTCGGACTACCGGGGGTCCACTGTATTTGTACTTTGTCTGAGTGAGGGCGCCACCTGCGCTTTTTACTTACCATCTGTCATTCTCTTGTAAAACACATTCTGTAGTTCTGCATCATTTATTGTACTCGAAATTTACTTAAAACATTAGAAATCTTACTCTACAATTTAGTGTTTTAATATCCTAAACTAATGAATTTATAATTGCTGCTATATATATCCTGCAGTACCTGGGCAAGTTGCGCGCTGGTGAGCCTCACGCCCTGGTGCAGGGACCGCAGGGCGGCAGCGGAGCCCCCCGCGCCTGCGCCTTCGCCCTCCTCGGGCACGCTCTCCGCTGCTGCCGACAGGGTGTCCGCCACCTGCAAATTATCTCATCTTGTTAGATAGTGTGACACCTAATATATTATTATTTGAATTCAATTCAAAATATCTTTATTCATGTAGGTCTATTACAGACTCTTATGATATGTCAAATCTACCGTCGGTTCGGAATGATATCGAGATGAGAACTGACAAGAAACTCAGCTCGTTTTTTTTAATGTTGTACATATTTACAATAATACTATTTCATTTAAATTCAAATTTGGGAGAATAGAGTGACCACCAGCATATGCTATATAAAAACATCAAAAAAATAAAAAAATCTAATCAGTAAAAATCACGGGATCTTACCACGTTTTATATTTATTTGCTGAGTTCCCGATATTTCGGTAGTGTTTCAACCGCCATGATCACGGGTAAACTGAAGAGGAACTCAGCAAATAAATATAAAACGTGGTAAGATCCCGTGATTTTTACTAATTATACGTATAAATAATGACCGCGTCAAGTTTAAAACAGTATATAATCTAATCTGTGTTCGCAACCTGAACAGACCAGTCCCCACAAGCAGCACCCGTTCACGAGTATGACGGATGAGCCAGCCATCATTGCACTCAACCATATTAGAGGGAGCACATCGACCCGGCCCACCACGCCGCCACAAGTTTGAACTTTATAGCGAGCATGACTGTTTCAGGTTACTCCACTACGTCATTTATATTATTTACAGCATAAACTGTACCAATCACAGTTCACCCATTACAATATTTAATTTAAATTATTTAAATTACAATATGTTTACATTATTTAAAATCTAATCAGTGTTCGCAACCTGAACAGACCAGTCCCCACAAGCAGCACTCGTTCACGAGTAACAAACAAACTGCCTGATGGTAAGTGGTAACAGATCCATTACTAAAGCGACGGTCATACAATAGTCTTAAGTTTAGGCTGTAAATTTCATGCGGGCACAGCTAGCATTTAATATATAAAAACTACATATATTTCTAGCCCTCCCCCGATGAACATACATAATTTTTTTCCTCCTATGAAAATATAAGAATTTTAGAAAGTCTAAGGTGGCTCTAAAAAAGTTGGGAGACACTGGTCTAAACTCAGTAGATTCAGACAAATTTGTTGATAACTCCTAATCTGGATATTCACTTACTTCATAATAATGGTAACAGTTCTTATTGCTAGCAATGTACCACGTCAGGTTGACCTCCACGCGGTTCCTCTGGAAACCATCGTGATAAATTCTTAGTGTCTAAGAAGACGCTCTTGGTTGTGCTCTTGAAATCATCCACCCAACAAACAATAAGGTGGGGTGCTAATCCGTATATAATAGCCAGTGAGAGTCTAACTGGCTTTATAGAATTTGTCACGATGTGCTAACTGACCTGACCTCATGCTTATCTTATCATCCACCACTGGTGCTGCCAGCGTAATCCGTTAGCGCAGGAGGTGAACCATTTCATTATCACATACAAAAAAAAAACCATGTCAGGTTGACCACCATGCGGTTCCCCTGGATACCATCGTGATAAATTGTTGGTAAATCTGTCACGATGTGCTAACTGACCTGACCTCACGTTCACCTTATCACAATGTCATTAGAATTTATCGAAATACTCCATAATCCGAATTTTGCGGATATATGTTGTCGATTCGAAATCAATATTTTTTTATGTTTTGTTATTCACATAAGGTTTCGTTCGAGTCTACCGTACCCCTTGACGAAATTATTAATATAAATATATATAAAATCTCATAAAAGTCAAACCCTTTCGGAGGAGTATCGTAACTAACATTGTGACACGAGAATTTTATATATAAGATATTTATGAGATAAAAATTTCATGTGGCAGAAACCGCGGGCAAAAGTAATATAAGTCTTTATTAAAATAAACTTAAATTTAAGTACTTTTGAATAGACATGCTTATTTTTTTTTAATCCTAAAGCTAATAGTAAAGCTTTCTAGAAGAACGAGCAAGAAACTAGCGAGTTGCTCTTTTAAACAAATTGTTGTGACTTTACAGTTTTAAGTTAAAACGTGTGAATATATCTTATATATAAAATTCTCGTGTCACAGTTTTCGTTCCCATACTCCTCCGAAACGGCTTGACCGATTCGTATGAAATTTTGTGAGCGTACTGAGTAGGTCTGAGAATCGGCCAACATCTATTTTTCATCCCCCTAAATGTTAGGGGTAGTCCACCCCTAATTTTTTTTTTATTTTAAGGCAAAACAACATTTGCCGGGACAGCTAGTAATATATATATATATATATATATATATATATAATATAATATAATATTGTATAAAAGCAATAAAAATAACAAGAGGAACATATATTTATAACTAAAAAAAAACATTAAAATCTTGATTAATTTAGTTTTATAAGGAAACCACATTTCCTGTTACACTGTCAGTCAAAGCACTTTTTCGATTATTATTACGTCCCGGTTGAAAGGTTTGCTTTTGAAAAAATTGTGCTCACCTCAAGTAGATCCTTGCAGAAGCTCTGAATGGCGAAGGACTTGGCGTCTTCGACTTGCTTCATCATCCGTCGCCGGACATTCTCGCCGTCTGCTAGCGCGCGCTTGTATTTATCCTGCAATATTATGAACATACACTTTGTACTATGAACAAATAACCCTGGACAATTAACACAGCGCCATCTAGTCCCACGGTAAGCAGAGCTTGTGTTATGGGTACTAGACAACTGATATAAATAAATAAATAACCCTGGACTATTAACACAGCGCCATCTAGTCCCACGGTAAGCAGAGCTTGTGTTATGGGTACTAGACAACTGATATAAATAAATAAATAACCCTGGACAATTAACACAGCGCCATCTAGTCCCACGGTAAGCAGAGCTTGTGTTGTGGGTACTAGACAACTGATATAAATAAATAAATAACCCTGGACTATTAACACAGCGCCATCTAGTCCCACGGTAAGCAGAGCTTGTGTTATGGGTACTAGACAACTGATATAAATAAATAAATAACCCTGGACTATTAACACAGCGCCATCTAGTCCCACGGTAAGCAGAGCTTGTAGTATGGGTACTAGACAACTGATATAAATAAATAAATAACCCTGGACTATTAACACTGCACCATCTAGTCCCAAGTTAAGCAGAGCTTGTGTTATGGGTACTAGACAACTGATATAAATAAATAAATAACGCTGGACAATTAACACAGCGCCATCTAGTCCCACGGTAAGCAGAGTTTGCGTTATGGGTACTAGACAACTGATATAAATAAATAAATAATCCTGGACAATTAACACAGCGCCATCTAGTCCCACGGTAAGCAGAGCTTGTGTTATGGGTACTAGACAACTGATATAAATAAATAAATAACGCTGGACAATTATTATTAATTCAGGCGTCCATAGGCTACAGTAACCATTTACCATCAGATGGGCCGTATGCTTGTTTGCCACCATAGTAGTATAAAAAAAAAAATACAGCGCTATTTAGTCCCACAGTAAGCAGAGCTTGTGTTATGGGTACTAGACAACGGATATAAATATACTTAGATAGAGTAGATTACTATACTACATTTAAGTGAACATAGTCTATGTTCATTACACTAAATTCCGAATAACACATAGATTGCAAATTTCATGCGGGCATAGCTAGAATTTAATATATAAAAACTATGTATGTCTGGCTAGGAGCTATGAACATACATCATTTCGTTTCCCATATGAAAATACAAGAATTTTAGAAAGTCTAAAGTGGAGCATCTAAAATAATTGGGAGACCAGTGTCTCCCTTATATATAAAATTCTCGTGACACAGTTTTCGTTCCCATACTCATCCGAAACGGCTTGACCGATTCTCATTAAATTTTGTGAGCGTATTGAGTAGGTCTGAGAATCTCTATTTTTCATCCCCTAAATGTTAGCGCGTTTGTGAGCGTATTGAGTAGGTCTGAGAATCGGCCAACATCTCTTTTTCATCCCCCTAAATGTTAGGGGTAGTCCAACCTGGGGCGTGTGTCGGGCAACCTGTCTAGACCCAGAGAAATTTGTTGATAACTCCTAATCAGGATATTCACTTACTTCATAATCCTTTATCTGTTGCTTTAGAGTACTGAGTTCATTAGTTAAATTATCAATTTGCTTATGACACTCCTCCACTGTGGCTGGGAGCTGTCTCTCCTCTGTAGCTGCCTTCTCTTCTGTGCTGTAACCTCGACTTGCACTTCTGTAAAATAAACAGCAACAACTTACTCCACTGAACAATAGATTATGTCTGGTAGATTGAAAAAAAAGGACATATCTTGCTTATTTCAGTTACTTGTAAAACCAACTAGATTAAGTGACAAAATCATAAATTGCAATATCAGATACAGAATGAAAGTAACAGATGTATTCTCAAGGATAGACTATTTTAAATTGAGTTGGACTGGACATATGCTGCGGTGCAAAATAAATGGAGCTAGCAAATGACTCTCTAGTAACTATTATGGATTAAAACACACTTATATTTTAGAATCATGTTTTTAATATGACCGCTTCTATTGAGGCTTACATAGAATATTTGAATACCTTACATAAAAAGTTATAAAAGACACACACAATTATTGTTATACAACAGTAACCTAGAGAAAGGACCAGAAGATAGGGTCGAGAAATAATTTGTTGGAACAACAATATCAACTTGACTCTGGGAATGTTCTGGAATAGGGTTGCGGAAGACAGAGTTCAATGGAGAGAGCTGGAGGAGGCCTATACTAAAAGGCACAGAAAGTAGCAGGACAAATTATAAACCTCAACTTTGAGAAAAGGCTATGTTATAAAAAAAAACAACTCCAGCTATTTAAATCTTATCAGAGGAAGACCAAAAAGTAGTCTCTGTGTACTGTGCAGACAAGACTGAGTAGACAAGTACAGGACTGACTGTGTAGCCTCATCTATTTCAGCCAAGCAGCTTGCTTTGTAAGCTGTTTCAGTTGTAGAGTGCAGATTAGACAGAGAAATTATAGAGTGAGATGTGTGACATCTTAGTTCTCTTATATATTATGAAACAAGTCTGCACTTGTTAGTAATTCATGGTGATCTCGAAAATGAACCGATTTTTAGGTGGTTTATATTCATTTCTGAGGAAGTTAAAACTATGATGAATGATGAATGAAGGTTTTGTGTACATTCTTATAGGATAATTGCAATGTGATTAGTAATATATAGAATTACACCATTAAATTTGCTAATACAAATAAAATCTAGGCGAATTACTAATTAATAATATAAATCGGAAAGTGTGACCAAAATCATTATATTTGTGGAATGACAATTAACCCAAAATTTCATCACCTTCTGTACATCCGTAAAGGTTGCATATTCAACCTGTTCTATATTGCATTGGCAGATATTTTATAGTAGTATATGTACTGCCGAAGCAAGTACGCAGATATTTTATATTTAAAACAATTTATATCCTGTAATTTTAAAGAAAAAAAAGAGTATGATATAAAAAAATAATGTCATAGGTTATGGTTGCGCAACGAAAAATTATAATACCTATAAATATTCCCTCGCAATGTCCGTAAACTAGTATCAGTAAAATATTTCGCAATCCTCCCGATACTTAACACTTTTAATGAAGCCATTTTCGTGAATTTTGTATGTTTCTTTTTATAAAAATTTAAATCAAAATTTAAAGGAAAATGAAGAGGTTATGTTCGAATGCAATCACAGAATAATTTGGAAATTTTGTACCGTTTGATTTCAGCTGTCATTTTTTGTGTGTCAAACTGAAACATTAATCTGTGCTCAGTGTGACCCGATGACAATATGGTATTCTCCCCTATGTTGAACTAGATCAAATATAGATTTAATTGAAAATTCCCTCCAATAAAGAATTCTGAGGACAACTTACATGGACATCAAAAGCTACCACAAATCCCAAAACTTCATTCTTTTGCCACTACAAATCCCCCACACATTTTTTCTGTCCAAATTTCCATTCAACTCCAAAAATCTTACACTACAATCACTGTTCTAATTTCATGGACTGAAGAACTAGTATCCAGGGTCATTAATAAATAAAAAAAATGTAGTTCGTTTTACAGGCACATATTTATTTACAATTTGACATTGATGTTCTATTTCAATGTCATTGTCAATATAAACTTATCAGTACCTTGGTGTGTAAGAGCTCACGAAAATGATTCCTAAGTCGTATTTTTTTAAATCACGAATTCACCATAAGTAACGTAATATGTTACGTGTGGCGAAAGAAATGCGTATTATGCCGTCATCATGCTGAAAATTTACACACCCACGCGCCCGTGCTGTAGGCATTTATAACAATTTTCTGCGATTTTCCGCAGTTAACCCGCAATTATCTTCGTGTGCGCGCGTTTATTTAAAAATGTCGAGTCTCGCTGTTTTTGATTTTGATCGTACGGTTGTGGATGATGATTCGGACGCTACAATAATAAATAGATTGCGGGAGAAAGAGCCGCCGCCGGAATGGGAAGCGAGCAACCATGACTGGACCCCATATATGAGCGAAGTGAGATTCTTTTTTATTTTTTTTAACTAGACTTGCATTTTATTTAATTATTTTTTAGACAAAGGAAATAATTTATTCATACCACATTTATTTATTTTTTATTAAATTTATGTTTGGAAAGTGACTGTTTTCGTCGGTGTATGTACAATAAAAATATGTATTTATTAAAAGGAAATAGTTATTCATTGTTAGGACATAAGGAAAACAAAAGTAATATTTAGGTATATACAACTTATTAGAACATTATCACACATCCTCAGTGTCACAAATTAAGGACAGATTTAACCTTTGTTATGTAACTAGTTCCCAAAATATATATGTAACTATTTATTAAATGGAAATTTTAAAATCAAACTCTAGTGTAAAAATATTCCATTGATATTTTTTGTCTATGGACATTTTAAAAATTTCCATATATGTTTTAATCAGTAGGAATTTGAATACAGTAGCCTTTAAAATAGAGATTATTCCAAAAACTTGAAGTTTATTCAAATAATGATTTTTTCTGTTCTCATCAGAAGTTAAAGTTACTCATTATTAAGTTACTCATTATTACATCAGCTATACATTTCAGAGATTAGCCGGAACAAACAGACCGACAGACAGACAGACAAAAATGATAAAAAATGTTATTTTACTAAGCAGAGCTTGTGTTACGGTTAGGTACTAGTCAAGTGATATAAATACATAAATGCATTTATTTTATAAATACATACATATTATACATACATCTGTGAAAAAGACGTAAATATAATATTGGACATATCATAAGAGTCTGTAATAGATTTACATGAATAAAGATATTTTGAATTTGAATTTAATAATAAGTACAGCTTGTATTATGGGTTCTAGACAACTGATATAAATACATACATACACTTTTGTTATAAATACATACATAATATACATAGAAAACATACAGACCGATACAAACCATCATACTATTTAATACCGTTTTGCACCGTGCGAGGAATCGAACCCGCGATCATCTGAAATGAGACGGTGTGCTAAACCGCTAGACCACCGAGGCCGTCGTATTATGATTGGTCTCTTTATTGATTTATATTTGTTATATATATATATATACTAGCTGTACCCGCAACTTCGTCCGCGTGGAATTTAACAAAAAAGTAAATTAGAGAATTTTTTTTAAATAAAAGTAGCCTAAGTTACTCATTATTACATCAGCTACCGCCAATAAAAGTCCCGTCAAAATCGGTCCAGCCATTTTAGAGATTAGCATGGTGTTAAGTCCGCCAAATGTACTCTACTATATTTTGTATATTGTGTGCATAAAATTAAATAAATTAAAAAAAAAATTGCCGGAACAAACAGACAAACAAACGAAAATTGTAAAAAATGTTATTATGATGTATGTACCGTATATATGTATATTCATATGTATGTAGTAAAAAACGGTTATTTCAATGTTACAAACAGAGACTCCAATTTTATTTATATGTATAGAGTATAGATATGTGGGAATATAACGAGTGTGACTTGAAGAATAGTCATATAATATTGAATATTTATTTACATATTAAAATCGTTTTACGTTCTATAAACTCCTTCAATTGTTTATCTATACTAATAAATATAAGTATATTGTAGTATAAATAAATAATATAAGTAAGTATAAATTATATAATAATAAAATAAATAATATTTTTTTTTATGGATGATCAGAAGTGCCAAGCTATAAAGAAATAAAATGTAATGATGCACCCGCCTGCGCTGACGGTTTACACTGGCAGCACCAGTGGAGGATGATAAGATGAACATGATGTCAGGTCAGTTAGCACATCGTGACAAATTCACCAGGAATTTATCACGATGGTTTCCAGGGGGAACCGCATGGAGGTCGACCTGATATGCTACATTGCTACTAACGGAGTCCTGAGTCCACATTACTAACGATCTCTTTTCCCTCCATCTCAAATATTATAAAGCTGAAGAGTTTGTTTGAACGCGCTAATCTCAGAAACTAGTTCGAATTGAAAAATTATTTTCGTGTTGGATAGTCCATTTGTCGAGGAAGGCTTTAAACTATATAACATTACGCTACGACCAATAGGAGTGGAGCCTCAGTGGAAAATGTTGAAAAAATGGGGAAAATCTGGTTTACGTTGCGTACGCTGCGCGAAGTCGCAGGCACAGCTAGTATAAAAATAAAAATTGAAATAGAAATAATTTTTATTCAAATAAACTTAATATAAGCACTTTTGAACAGTCAAATTTTTTTATTCTACCGCTTATTCGGAATGCAGATTCAACACAAGAAGAATAAGCAAGAAACTTGTGTGTTGCTCTTTTAAATAAATATTGATTTACTTATATTCAATTAACAACAAGTATTAGGCATGCGACAATCAACATAGAAACCGCTACGCACTTAATCTCTGTTCAATCAGATAACATTGTCAGCACTATGAATTTTAAGTTATATATTTTCTACATAAACATTACTATCATTTATAAATTGTTCAATTTTATAATAAGCTTTTTTACAAAGAAAATGTTCTATAACACATGTCAAATTGAGTATATAAGAGCGCATAAGGCTCATTTCCATATAAATTATTTATTGCACTTTTAAATAAAAAAATAATGTACATATTAACTACATCGTAAACTATCGTGAAACCGCGTGTTGACTAAATAAAGAATAAATATTCAATAGTTATTAATTTATTACCCAGATAGTTTAGACCAGTAGAAATAGAAATAGAAATAATCTTTATTCAAATAAACTCATTACAAGCACTTTTGAATAGTCATATTTTGATTCTACCACTCATTCGGAATGCAGATTCATCACAAGAAGAATGAGCAAGAAACTTGTGTGTTGCTCTTTTTAATAGATGTTTTTTTATATAAATAATTACAGTATAACAAGTAAGAGACATGCGATAATCAACATAGAAGTCGCTACGCACTCATTATTAATGTAATCAGATAATATTGTCAGTGCTATGGATTTAAAGTTTTTCTATAAAAACATTATTATCGTTAACGAATTCTTCAATTTTATAGTTAGCTTTTTTGCAAAGGAACTGTTTTATTTGACATTTAAATCTTTTTTCGGGCAGATTTATAACAGACTCTGTATTTTATTGTAAAACCTTACGCAATTACTATAAAACTAATTACTAACTTTAGCCAAACGACATTTAGGTAAAATTAGTTTGTTATTGTTACGTAAGCTTTTATTGGTGCAATCACTAACTCTTTTGAAACTGTCTATGTTCCTTCTGGCATGCATGATATTTTCATAAATGTATTGAGAAGCAGCGGTGAGGATATTTGATTCCTTAAAACACTCTCGCAATGACTCCCTGGAACTCATACCATAAATGGATTGAGTGATTCCCAAAGTGGTCTATATCGACCCCCAGGGGTCTATAACAAACTGTAAGGGGTCTACGATAGCGGTCATCTTGTTGTTTTCACTTCATGTTTTTAACACTAAACTTTACTACCTACAGTTAGAAATTTACAAAAAATCTATACCAGCTAAGAATGGGGGGTCTGCCCAAAACGAAAAATATGGTCTACGACACAAAAAAGTTTGGGAACGTCTGGCCCTGACCCTGAGAAAGGGCATGGGCTACTTTTTAATATGAAAAGGGTTGTAAGGGGGTTGAAAGGGCAAATAAAAGATTGTATGGAAGTATCGTCCTTTATTTTGCTTTATATTTATGCATTAAATTTTTATAAATAAATAAATAATATCTAAACAATTAAAACAGCTATCAAAGGTGACGATTCCACGCGGACAAAGTCGCAGGCACAGCTAGTCCTTAATATGGAGCAAATGATTCATGAAGTGGAATATTTGCTGGGAGTGATAATATGTTACGTAATCTGTACACACCATCGATAATAAACTGCCATTGCGAGTTTTTTTTTTATGTGACTAGAATAATAAACAAGCTGACGTCACGGCCCGCCTGATGGTAAGTGGTTTTGTAGCTTTTACCCGCGGCTTCACTCGTATAACTTCATTATTGGCTGCTAGCGCCATCTGCGCTGAAGTAGGAAAAAAGTTGATATTTTATTGTTCTTTTTCATAGAAAATATTTGTTTTTTTTTAAATAAAAAGTATCCTATGTTCATTCCAATATCTCCAAGAACGTGTGTACAAAATTTCATGATGATCGGTTCAGTAGTTTTTGCGTGAGAGCGTAACAAACATCTCTACTTTCACTTTTATAATGTTAGTAAGGATATCCTGAGGAGATAAAAACCATCGCTCCTAAGAATATCCTTCAATTCTTGTCCCTGACGGGTCTAGGTAGCGAACTTTGAAAAAGGGCGAGCACAATAGATCTATGTAGGTCGCAGTGATACAGGTTCAAGCACCTGACAATAGCCCAAACCATCCAATTAAAAAAAAATGTGGTAACCGACAGTTATAGTACTAACCTGGACAATTAACACAGCGCCATCTAGTCCCACGGTAAGCAGAGCTCGTGTGGGTACTAGACAACTGATATATATTTTTTTTTATAAATACATACATAATATACATAGAAAACACCTGGACCGATACAAACAATCATACTTATGGATATAAATGTTTGTTCGGTGCGAAGAAACGAACCCGCGATTGTTGGACGTACAGCGCTGTGTTACACCGCTAGACCATCGAGGTCGTCATACACTTACGTCTTATACAGGGTTTCTTTTTTTTATGGATGACTAACTGTACCCACGATTCGTTTGCGTGGAATTTAACTTTATTTTTCTGAAATAAAAGTAGCCTAAATTACTCATTATTACAAAAGCAATCTGCCAAAAAGAGTCCTGTCAAAATCGGTCACAAACTCAGAGGTCAAAAATCAGACAAAAATTATAAAAATCGTTATTTTGATGAATGTACCGTATTTATATTCATGTGCATGTAGTAAAAAACGGTTATTTCAATATTACAAACAGACACTACAATTTTATTTCTATATATAGATGTATAGATAATGAAATGAGTGCGTGGGGATGAT